ACACAGCTCTGAGACACACTAGGGTGAACTAGACACACATTTTACTATAAGGTTCTCAACTAGTATGACTCCTTCAAGATGCAGGAGAGTCTCGTAGTGTTGGGGCAGCTCGTGCCAGGGCGTGTGTTGGAGGTTCAGGTGATGAGGCAAGGTGTTCCTGCTGGGGGTCTCTCTCTCTCTCTCTCTCTCTCTCTCTCTGTTTGCCTCCTTTGTCTGTGTGTGTGTGTGTGTGTGTGTGTGTGTGTGTGTGTGTGTGTTTGTGTGTGTGTGTGTGTGTGTGTGTGTGTGTGTGTGTTTGTGCCTTTCTTCCTTCCTTCTTTAGTCCTTACCTCTCTCCTCCCTCCTCCTCCTCCCCATTCTTCTCTCCCTCCGTCCCTCCTCCCCCATTCTTCTCTCCCTCCCTCCTCCTCCTTCTCCCTCCAGCGGACCTTGAGACAATTACATCTGAGAAGAAACCACTGGCACGCGTTCGCCAGGCGTCATCAGCCAGGCGAAGCCAGTTACGCACATCGGTTTGTCATATAGAGACGAGTTATTTTCACAACACACTCAAGTATTTTCACCACAAATCTGATTCCAGTCGAGTCACAGTACCATCACGACGCCATTACAAGCCCTATCACACACCTGTCACATACCTGTCACACACCTGTCACATACCTGTCACACACCTGTCACACACCTATCACACACCTGTCACACCTGTCACACACCTGTCACATACCTATCACACACCTATCACACACCTGTCACGTACTGTAACATGCACACCTGTGCATACCTGTCACACCTGTCACACACTATCACACACCTGTCCACCTGTCACACACACCTATCACACACCTGTCACACCTGTCACACACCTATCACACACCTGTCACGCACCTCACGTATAGGTAATTTGTCAGGAAGATAGAACTAAAATGGCGGTCATTTGAGTGTGCAGGACACAACCACCGTGCTGGGGCTGAGATATGAATGAATGAATGAAGAGATGATAAGGATTTCCCCCCCCCTCCCTCCCCTCCCTCCCTCCCCCTCCTCCCTCCCCCCTCCACCCTCCCTCCCTCCCTCCCTCCCTCCCTCCCTCCTCCTTCCCTCCCTCTCCCTCCCTCCCTCCTCCTCTCCCTCCTCCCCCCTCCCTCCCTCCCCCTCCTCCCTCCCCCCTCCCTCCCACTCCCCTCCTCACCTCCTCCCTCCCTCCCCCTCCCTCCCTCCTCTCCCTCCTCCTCCCCATCACCTCCAGTTTACCAACCCCGATATAAGACAAGTCACAGGTTCACCATTATTGTTTTATATCAACTCTCTCTCTTTATTTCAGGTGCACACACACACACACACACACACACACACACACAGTACTACACATCTGTAAAGAATTGATACCTGAATAGATTTCCTCTACAGAACGGAAACAAACACTATTAACCTCCCTCTCCCCCTCTCTCCCCTCTCCCCTCTCTCCCTCTCCTTCCCTCCCCTCTCACTGCACCTCCCCCTCCTTCTCCCTACCCCTTCCATCCCCCTTGTCATGTGATGGTAATACCCCCCCTCTACTTCCACCACCCCCTCCCTTATTCTCCCCCTCCCCCCACTATCTCTCTTATATGTCTTTGATGGTGGTGATGATGGTGGTGATGATGGTGGTGATGATGGTGATAGTGATGGTGGTGATGGTGTTCAGTCACTTGAATCTTTAACGGAGAGAGAGAAGAAACCCCTAACTCTACATCACACAAAGATTCACACAGTCAGTTCATCTGGACGCACCAAGTCACAAGCGTGCGAGTAATTACCGCCAAAAATCTAACTAACAACTTCCGGTGTGGGCCTCAGGTTTCCCACAAAAAGGGAAAAATAAAAAAAGCGCGGGAACGACAGGAAACAACTACGTCATCACACTTCCGGATTAGAAGACATCCTCTGTGTGAATGAGTTAATGACTTACCTACATTTACCTGTAATTTACCTACAATTTACCTACATTTACCTTACACCTGGCCACACCTTTTCACAGGATCAAAATTAACTCCTTGTATAAGTTAACCAAATTTAACTTAACCTAACCTAACCTAACCAAACCTAACCAACAGGAAATCTAGAGGTATCAGACTAAACTGACAAACACCCTCTCCGTCCATGAAATAATTACTGGCCATGCGTGAGAGTGACGTGTGTCTACCCTCATTATTATGGTAATTCATGTCCGACAAAGCTCCTGACACCATTCATGGCAGAGTAACGTGAATACGGTCGCTTTCTCTCACTCGTTACGTCACTTGCAATGAAAACAGGTTGTGTGTGTGTACTATAATTACTGGATTTTGATACATATGATAATAATGATAGTTGCTGGTGTTCATTCAAGCATAAATTATCCCTGGTAAGGAATAATCATTGTTTATTTACTATTATCTCCCGAGGTGGGGGTGGGGTGAAGATGACCTTAACACTGACTGCCTTACCTACTCCTTTATTATCGTATGCAGTTAACACAAACCAATTGTCAATTATGATGTTTTTTTTTTTAATATACGAGAGTACAATTAATCTCAGGACTGACTAATGTTTAAAATATCTCAAATGAATATTGATGTTCCGTCGTTTTCTATAATGCTATGTTTACATTAGCCTAGAGTGTTTCCCTAGTGTCATCTTAGTATTAAAGAATAGATAAATAGTAATAAAAAACACTATAGAATTACTAAAATATTTATTACACTAATTCATTGATTACTTGCATGAATAATAAAATAAATGCCATCAATTATTTAACATTATTGATTAGGGAAAACGAACAAATTTTAGGGGAAACTAATCTAATATAAGTTCTCGCTTGATTTTCATGAAAATTTATAGTTGAACGTTTGTAAGAGAGACTGGGGGGTCTAATGCTTCCATAACTCGATTACAGAGAAGTTTATAATTCATAGAAGTTAAGTTGATGTTTATTTTACTTTTCTCTCCTCCCCTCCTCCACCTACCTTGAACCCCTACCCTCTTTACCTCCATCCCCTCATCTTCCCCTCCTAACTTTCCTTCCATCTCCTCCTTCACCTTCCCTCCCTATCACCTTCCTTCTATCCCTTCATCTCACCACCATTCACCTTCCCTCCTATCCCCCTCCTCCTTTTCCCTCCCTACCCCCATCCCAAGACCTTTACACACACACACACACACACACACAGTCACACACACACTTCATACATACTTAAGACGATAACTCAGGCAACACTCGACACAGTCAGAAATAGTACTCATATAAAAAAGAAAAAGGACAATTACTATAAAGCCCCGGCCCTTCATGGCATATTCAGACAGACGATTATACACTCCCACCCACCCCACACCCACCCCACCCACCCACCACCCATACCCACCACCTACCACACACACCCCACCCACCCTACCCCATACCCCAGCCACCCCACCCCACCTACTACCCCCCCCTACACCCCCACCCCACCTACCCCACACCCCACACCCCACCCCACACCCCACCCCTCCCTACCCCACACCCACCCTACCCCCACCCCACCCCACATACCCCACACCCCACCCCATTACAATATAATCATGGTATATTCAGAAATCATTATCTTGTAGTTATATATGGTATTACTAAGTTGATTCAATTGCAATATGTCTTATGATATATTCAGTAGAGAGGCGGGCAATGATAGGGCAAGGATAGGGCAAGGATAGGGCAATGAGGGGGCGGGGCCTATAAGCTAGGGTTAGGGAGACAATTTTATGGTATTTTCTCATTTTTTTACTTTATTGTGGAATATTACTTGAAGATTAGAGGTGTGTGTGTGTGTGTGTGTGTGTTTGTGTGTGTGTATGACTGAGTATATACAGTATGTAAGACTGTACTTGTGTATGTATGATTCTATGTGTGTATATGTGTGTGTGTGTGTGTGTGTGTGTGTGTACGTTCGTGATTGTATGACTGTGTGTTGTGTATGCATGATTGTGGGTGAGCGTGTTGGGAAATCCCTGGTGATGACGTCACTAAGGCAGGTGATGGAGGGAGGGAGGTAAGCTTCTGTCTGTCACCTGTCCTGACTCTTCTGTGAGTGTCTGTGAGAGTCTGAGTATGTCGTGTGTGTGTCTGTGTGTGTCGTGTGTGTGTCTGTGTGTGTGTGAGAGTGTGTGTGTGTGTGTGTGTGTGTGTGTGTGTGTGTGTGTGTGTGTGTGTGTGTGTGTGTGTGTGTGTGTGTGTGTGTGTGTGTGTGTGTGTGTGTGTGTGTGTGAGTGCCTGTGTGTGTGTGTGTGTGTGTGTGTGTGTGTGTGTGTGTGTGTGTGTGTGTGTGTGTGTGTGTGTGTGAAGAAGTATTTCCTGATGGTCGTTCTGCGTGATAACTAGGCGAGTAAGTTGGAAGTTATGTCCCCTCGTGTTGGTGGGGAGTGACATCACAAAAAAACTTTTAAAGGTAGCAGTTTTCAGTCTTGTTTCATTGTCTTGCTTCAGTGCTTCAGTATCAGCTATAAAGATGCTACTTAAATAAATTGACAGTTCTGGGGGGTTTTGTTGCTCTGTTCTGGAAGCTAGTTCTCTTCCAAATTCCTGCTTCACCTGGCTAGCTCCTAAGATTGGTGTCCATCTATCAAGTTATGTGCCCTTTTCAGCTTTAATATAATTTACCTAACCTTATTGTGTTGTTATGTGTACTATATGAATACTAATGGATTTCTAGCATCCACATATCACCTCCAACGTGAATGTCTTACTTGGTATAGACAAGGTGTGCATAGGTAAAAAAAAATCAAATCTATTTCACAAATTGCTATATTCCTTACGTCACTAATATTTTCCTAACTAATCAAATGAACTGAAGTATAGGAAACCACATCCACGTACTAAATCTCTTCAAATAACATCAAATAATGCATGGTCATTGGTGGAAAATAAAGTTAATCTAGGTTTTGTTAAGTTAGGGATGCAAGTATGGTGTTCTGTGCGTCCTGCTGCCGAGCCACAACATTCTCTACAGTAAGCGAGCCATTGTGTATGTGTGTGTCTGAGTTACAGCCGCTCTCCCAGTTATGTCGTGAATTTTAAGCCAATAAGGTAAGATTTTCATACATGTCTTCCAATTACCCTCATTCACAAGACTTCTATAGGGTAGTTAAGGTGTTGGTTGTGTCATTAGAAGCCTACATAAAGCGGGTATCTGGAGTCCAATTTGGTTATCATATTGACTTTTCGACAGGTGGGTTATCGGTAATTTGTGTATAATTTCTTTCCCCAGGTGAGAATCAGGTGGTGTTATTTGTCAAGGTGTAAGGAAATGACTGACACTAAGAGGATATAAGAATAAGGTATTAAATTAGTGGGATATTTTATCGTTTATTTTTTCCGTTCCCTCCAAGGATATGGTGACAAGGTGTAGGAGTGATTGACTGTCAGCTGTTGGCCTCAGCTGACAGTCACACAGACACTAATGCTGACACACGCCTGACTAACCAGAATAATAAGGCAGTATTATAATCTCTGAGGAAAAAATATAAGGTATTAATATACTCTCAGGGAATGAAATATATCCAGTGAATGACTCAATTCTCATAAGGGTTTAACAAGATTTTCACAACAATTTTGTAAAAGTGTAGAAAATGGTTCCGTTTTATTGTTTGGAATTATTTTCATCGTGATCAGCGTTGTTATATTTGTTTTGATGAGGAGAACAACAATCCGCTGTTGTAACGAGGAAAAAATGGAAAGTTAAATCGGGAAGAAAACCACTTTGTAAATCTCGGTAGGAATGACGGCTGTGTTTCTATTGTTGATATTAAATACTACGGGGATAAATTGTTCCTGCCGACAGACGATACTCGTAATCTGAGGTTGGGTCAGTTTGGTTAGGTTAGGTTTTTGTCATCTCTTGTCTGAAGCAGCTAATCTCACCCAATAGCCTCTAATGCCATAGCGCTGAGGACAACCTTCGATATTTTTGGACTGTTTGTGTTATCCTTGGGGTATTATTATGTGTATTACCTGTATATGATAAGTATTTTCTTGTAATTGTTGTTCATATCCATTTTATATTATATGTACAAGTGATATTTTTCTCACCCTAGTATTTTATTGTACAGTCGATAAATAAATATCTTTACAGAATTATGCTAGATAGTAATTATGACACAACAGAGGAAGGATTATGGCAACCCTTCTGAGACAACAGGAGTCGCAGTCTTCATTCTAAGATTCATCGACACCCAAAGTACAGATAGCATTTTGAGCGGCTGTACATGTGATATATTCCAAATAGGATGAATAAATCTACTATTTTTTTTAGTCTGGACATTAAATATGAAATGTTTTCCAAATCAAAACCTGGAGTATTCATTAATCATATGAGACTTGTGTTAGGATTATATTCCAGTATTTTTATAATAATAATTATAATAATATTAATCTTTAGTAAAATTGTCATATAACTTTACAGTTGTTTTGACACAAAGACAATGTAGGTACAGGCTTTATATAAATATATGGTGTAAATAAGCCATGTAGGTATACAGTTTCCAATGTACCTAGACACTGCAGGTATACATAACCATCAGATGATTATTTTCAGTAGGCTCCTTTGCCTATAACCTCTGTTTAAGTCACATCTGTAAAATAATTTTGTTCAATTGGCCTAGATAAAGGTTGGCCATTTATTATAGGTCAGCATGATAATTTAGAGCACAAGTGAATGGTGAGTAGCAGTGGGCACCATTGTTATTGATGCTGTTTGTTCATTTACAGGATGGAAGAGCGGCGTGTGGCGGAATACTTCGTGGTGGCGGGACTGCCAGTCAACCCGCTGCCACTTGCTGACTTCTCGTGCGATGGTGCAACACTCAAGTCCACACACAACCTGCCACCCATCACAGACATCGCTGTCATCAATCGCTCTCTTGGAGAAATTGTGCCAGATGGTGTGTTGTAGCTCTCTGTTCCACCTAGTTTTCTGGTTGATTACATTATTAAAATCTCACAAGTGATCAGTTGTTGTGTCATTTTAAGTTTAGTGTGGTTCAGGTAGGTCACATGATCCCTGAACTGAAATTTGCTCATTAATTAAATCATATTAGTCTTGAGTGAGTTTTAATATTGTCAGTCTCCTAACTGAATAAAGAATAATTAGAGTAGACATTTGGAAGGTGAAAACTAACAGTATTTACATAGCTATAGTGTGTTACAATATGGCTTCTTTTCTCTCTTAAGTTGATGAGGTTTAAATTTGGTCTCAGATGGAGTTTTGATAAATTTCAGTGTGTTTAATGGTATTACAGATGCACCAGTACAGTAATCTCTCCCACCACAGGCTACACGTGTATAGAGACAACACCCACTGGTTTGGTGGCCAACCTTAACCATGGAGCTCTGCGCGCCTCAGAAATGTTCCTCTGTTGTAGAAGAGGGCGCGACAAACAGCCACTGGTTGATGTAGGGTAAGTTACCTGATGTACCGTGAAGTCTAAAAGTGAAGGGGTTATGAATTACAGTATATTGGGTGCCACTAAACTCCAGAGACTTTGAAATACTGTACCAATCTGTTTGTGAAATTCAATGTAAATAGAATACACAGGATAAAAATATCTGTTATCTTTCACATAACCAAAACTACTGTGCACCTCCCCAAGTATGGAAAGAATACATTGGAATGATCGCAACGTTCATCTGTCATTCCAGTTCATCTTTATACTCTTATCTTTCTTTCTTTCTTTCTTTCTTTCTTTCTTTCTTTCTTTCTTTCTTTCTTTCTTTCTTACCTATTTACATGATAATTTCTGATAAAACGGTCTTGCTGGTACAATAAAAGCAGGTACTGTAAATATATTAGGCATACAAGAAATATTATTACTGAGACGATAGATATTTTTTAAGAGACGATTTAAAGGAAGAGAGTGGAGTCTTTGCTCGGTTAGTTGTTCCACACCTTCACACCATGATATTTTATGGAGGTCTGGGACTGAGAGGAGCACATGGGGGTTGGTCTTAGTAGCTCTGGGTGCCTTAAGTTGTATCTCTGATTACTTCGGAACTGGAAATAATTATTGTCAAGCTAGTGATTGATAGATTTGTAAACAAAGAGGGCACAGCAGTAGGTGTTATTATCTTCGAATTTTAACATTTTCAATTAAGCAAATTTTTCGTTTGTGTGATGTTTTTTCAAGTAGGTCATTGTCCGTACAACTGTCTTTTGTGCAGTAACCAGTGATTGTGTTTTTGAAGAGCCAGAGGCCTCCATAGTGTGTGACAGTGTATCAGTTGTTGGTAAGCAAGATCATGATAGATTTCTTTCATTGCTGTGAGAGTGAGTGACTGTCGAGTGTGACACATGATACCACACTGTTTATTGACTTTACTGTGTATGGCTTGTATGTGGTTTCTCCAGTTAAGTTTTTCATCAATAATAACTCCAAGGAATTTAGTATTTTGCTTGCATTTGAGGACTGTATTACCAAGGTACAGGGGGTCCAAGTCTGGGGATAAGATCGTGTAGTGGGTTTTCTCAAGGTTTAAGGTCAGTTTATTACATACAGTATTACCCAGGTCCTGACTTTAGTCAATTCAGTGTTCATAATTCTCATCAAGGAATGGAGGTCTGAGTTGCTGGCATAGAGATTACTATACTCTGCAAATAAGTTGTATTTTATGAGTGTGCTGGCGTGGACTTTGTCGTTTATGTACAACAAAAACAGTACTGGACCGAGAATGGAACCTTGGGGGACTCCATACAAGATTGGCGAGGAATCAGATTGATGATTATTATAGCAGACATACTGCATCCTGTTGGACAGATATGAGGTAAACCAATTGTGGGACAGGCCCCTAACGTTGTAATGTTCAAGCTTTGAAAGGTGGATGGTATGGTCGACAGTATCGAAGGCTTTAGAGAGGTCCAAGAATATACCGACTGTAATCTGACTGTCATGAAATGAATTTAAGGTGTCATTAGTAAAGGATAGCAGAGCATTCTCAGTTGACCTTCTAGCTCTAAATCCAAACTGGGAGTTTGTAAAGAGGTTCTTGGCATTGCAGAAGGAATTTAGTCTACTTAACCCTAGCTTTTCCAGTATCTTACTCAAGGCTGGGAAGACTGATATGGGGCGGTAATTCTTGAAGAGACCTTTGTCCCCAGATTTTTGAAATGCTGGGTGAACTTTAGCAATTTTCAGTTTATCTGGAAAGACACCACTAGTGAAGGAGGAGTTACAAATGTGTAGGAGAACAGGTAGTAATAAGTGGGCTACTTTCTTAATGATGCTCATTGGTATATTGTCTTCGCCTGCTTTGGACATTTTTATGATGGCCAGTATTTCATCTGTTGTGACAGGGGATAAGAACTGCTCATTTTGCTGTATGTTTTGCAAGTAGGCTCTAAATTCCTCATGGTGATCAGGGATGCTCTCTGCAAGATTTTTGCCAACATTAATAAAATATTCGTTGAAGTGGTTGGCAATGGGGGAGGGTTCCGTTACAACTGAATCATTTATAAAAACATCCCTTCATATCAAAATGCTGTTTTTACTATACTTAATGAAATTCTTCCTCATGACATCAGCACTTAGACCAGATAATCAGTGATACCTTTTTAGCAATAATTAATGTGACCAGAAATAACTGTTTTGACTGGAGATGTTGTTTAATTCCTCAGTGGTTAATATCTCCTCCATCTTTCAGAGTGTTGTACGAGGGACGGGAACGTGTAATGGCAGACTCGCAGGTTGTGGAATTCACTCATGGAGGACGCAGTGCAAATATCAACCCATCCGGCCAAACAACGTACATGACTTACAGGTGACCTCTCGTACCTCTCTTCCAATATTCAGCAGGATGACCCCTCCAGTGTTTCCCCTATCCATCCTGTAAATTTAAGAGAGCACATAATTGCAATTTTGTCTCCAGTATTTTACATCTGGTCCATAACTTGGTCACTAATCACTGAGACTTTTTCATCATCTTTCTGTGTCAAACTTCATCATCCTTCACCTCCATCAGTGCTCTCACTTCTCCTCCTCACATCTTTCCAGCCATGTAGTAGAGGTTATGACTATTATTTAAGAAACTCACACACCTCTCACACACCTTAAAATAACTGACTCATACATTCATGTTTCTTGTCTGTTGTTTTACCTGGTTGTGTTGCCATGTGTGTCTCCCGCGGTCCTTCACACGATTAAAAAAAAATCTGGTGCACATTCGCTCCAACAGATATCATTACGGAGAGGTTGGATGAATTTCAGAATGAACAACGTGACTCTTTTTGTCTCGGTGGGGTTGGCAGAGTCCCTCATCCATTGTCTCACAGAAAATCGTAAAGATAGTTTTTGGAGCGAGTGTAAATAGTACACATCAGTTCCATCTCATTTTGTGTCATCTCAAATATCTCTCCAGTACAGTACTTGATATTTTTAATTAATACCTCTTAAATATTTTATGGTTGCAGACGTGCGAATGACAATGCTGCGTGTAATGAACTTGTGGTGTCTGACATATGTGTTATCATGACTAATCGAGGAGACCAAGCACCTCACTCATACTGTACCATCGACCGCAACCTCAATAAGGGAACTATGGTTCGTAAAATTCCTTTTTGTGTGTGCGTTTTTATCGAGTACGTCATTTTCACCTGAGCTGTAGTGGATTTAGCAAGGCGGGCATGAGGCACATTTATACCAATTTTAATTAATGTACTGAAAAGAGAATATAAATTTTCAATGTTATTATTATAAATGTTCCATAATCAATATGACTAATATTAACTACACTGTTTGTTTGTTTTATTTAAAGGTTGGGTCAGACATCTATGTGTGCTACAAAAAGTCTATGAATCGGTCAAACTACATAGCCTACATGGCTGGTGTGCTTGACAGCTTCCCATATCTTGATCGTCCTGGCTTCCCTGTACCGACTGACTTGGCGCTCTTCTGCCTTCCCATGGGAGCTACACTGGAGTCATGGCCGGCACAAGCTGTCAAACCCCAGCCAGTTTTCTCCACTTTTGTGCTCACAGTTACGGCTGGAGAAGGGAATTCCGAAGCTGTGGAAAAAGTTTACGGGGCGGCGGTCACATTCTATGAAAAATACCCACACGACCGCCTGACTCAGGAGCAGAGAGAAACCCTTAAACTGAACGAACACTTTGGTAGACACAACGTCGTCCATACCAACAAGTGTATTTGTATTCTCTCTCGCTGGCCTTTTTTTGATACCTTCGACAGATTTTTAAAATACCTTCATAATATGGCAAACTCAGGACCTCACCAAGTACCTATAGAAAGGTAAGGCCTTTGAGGAGTTTCCCCGTACTGCTTAAGTTTTAACCAACCTTATGTACTCCACACGGGCCTGTCTTAACTCCTCTGAATAGGTAAAGGTTGGAAGAGAGATGTCTTAACTTGTCCACTACACAATTCTTTGTACACCATTACACCAGCCCCTCCAGTCAGTCGACTTGCTTTCAAATATTTAGTCATTTCGTGTGTACAGAAATGTTATCACAGCTCTAGAGAACTTATAACAGGTATTGTTCTAATCATTGTAACTTATGAATTCCAAGCAAGGTAAATTTGCTTCATAAACCTAAATGAGAAGACATAATCTTCAATGTCAGATCTTCAAACTTGTTCCAATATGGCTGCTGATGGTCTTCTTACCATGGTTCAGATAATTCTATTCTGGCTCAAAAATGCAAAATTTTTTCTCCAATTCAGTTTTATTTCAAATGCCTCTTCATATAAATCATCTACTGTACTCTAAGATATACAATCTGCTATTTACAAATAAGAGTGGGAAACTACACATTGTTTCTGTTCATATTTTCTCCAGTTTTAACTCCGTAGACAAGAAATTTAGAGGGATATATACCTGTACAGTCGTGTAGACTAGTCATAAAGCTGTTTGTCAGTCTGTCCATGATAAGTTTATAGTTTCGTACAGTATCTTTCTGTAGACTCGGTGATTAATACAAAATTTAATGTGAAAGTACTTGTGACAAATTGCTGCTTGTGAGGCATATAATAAGCCTAAATAATTTTGGTCTTGATCAGGTACATCAACCACGACTCCCACAGTTTTCTTTCTTTCCTTTTTATTAGATGGTAAATGTCCATAACATTGTGATGAAGCCGTTAACATGAAGAAAGGGAGACTTTTTTTTTCTGTAATCTTTTGGACAGCCAAGGTTATTATATTATTATTATTATATATTATATATTTGAAATTTGTTATTTGTTGATTGATCCTTAGCTGGTCTTTGTCATGGTAATATAATACAGTGCAACTACTGTAATTTCACTGTGCATCAATCTGTAATGATAACTTATTGCCATCCAGTGAAGCTGGTCCACTATCAGTATACTGTATGGCACATTTTACCCAGATACATCTATCACTTCCTGGAGGGCGTGCCGTTCCCCAGTGCGCGAAGACCTAGAATCCTCATCCAACTGGACTCTAAAGAACGTATATCACTTGCACAGCCTGAGGACTCTCCAATAAGCCTAAGGTAAGGTTTAACTGTTCACTGTTCATCTTGCTATAAGTTTTGAAGGGATTCACAGTAGGGAGGTAAGGACCAGTGTCACATCTCTAGAACTGTGAACTAATATTTGGTTATCAGAATTGGTACAAAACAAAAAAGATCTAGTATTTAATGGCATGTAACAAGACTGGTAAGAGATCAGTTAGTTTTAAGACTTTATAATATATGGATTTTCATGAAGTGAAGTGAAACTATAATGAAAAGGCAGTTTATTCTGAAGTGTTGGAAACTAAACTTTTTGAGGGAGTTTAGTGAGAAAGTGGATGGTCAGGATGAAGATATACAAAATGAGGTTAAAATCCCCAGGAGTATCGGTACAGATAGTGAGATAATACAGTAACTTGAGTGGTATTTGGGGAAGCTTCACCCCATGTATTAAGTACCTCTCCCTATATTAAATTTCCATTTGTGTTTTCACCCTATGTATATTTTTAGAAACCACCAGCTTTAATATGTCTGTAAAATTTTTAAAGACATAAAACAAGCAATTATTTACCTTTATAGAGGATATCACTAACCAGGTGTTGTGTTTCCTTGCAGTGGCGCCAAGTTCCGTCAGTTAGTGATGAACCTGCGCCCAGAGGGTTGCCTCACAGTCCTGCTCTTTGCACTCACAGAACAGAAGGTCCTCCTGCACTCACTAAGACCAGACGTCCTCACTGCTGTGTCTGAGGCTATAAGTATGGTATGTACTCTTGAGTGTTTTGTCATTTACTGAACATCCAGATATATGCGATATTTGTATCCAGTGAAATACAGTTCGTGAAAATTATGGGTTTGCTGGGTTGATGCCTTTGGCCCTTCAAGGATTTTCATTAACATTTCTGTAGCATATGTTATTTTTGTACTTTTCTAGACTATGCTGTACTTATATCTCTCTCACTTTATAGTTATATTTTCCCTCTCTCTCTGCAGATAATCTTCCCATTCCACTGGCAGTGTCCGTACATCCCCCTCTGTCCACTTGGGCTCTCGGACCTTCTTAATGCTCCCATCCCCTTCCTCCTTGGCCTGGATTCCAGGTTCTTTGATTTGTACGACCCTCCCCAAGATGTGATATGTATAGACCTCGACACAGGAGCCATGTCTGTGTGAGTTGTCTATTTTATTCCGCGTGTTTGTACGGTAAGATCCCTCCTTCCGGGAGTGACTGGAATATTTATTAATTTGAATTTAAGTTCAGTTTAAAGCCCCAAAAATGACTTAGAGTGGCATTATAACAACTTGTGTAATACATAGTGTAGGATTCTGGCTGAATGATGGAGCAAATAAGTATCATCAGTTGAAAGTACTGTATTTCTTATTAGTGTTTTCCATCATACCAAGTAGATTAATGCAGCACCCAGCTTCTCCAACACTGTGTTAGAAAACTTTGTACATTACCTTGATGAGCCAGATCTTTTGCTTCAAATACTTGTGACAGCAGATATTATGTAAAATTAAATATCTTACCAAATATTTTTCCAGTTATTTTTTAACCTTTTTTATTTCAATGTTCACATAGTTATTACTCCTGCCTCCAACAGACCTGATGACAAGAAACATTTTGTTACCAAGATTCTCCCAAATCGTCCTGTTCGTGTTCTCCGTGCATCACTGGACAGCCTCTGTGAGAAGATACATAAGTTTGAGAAGTCTTTACAGCAACATCTGAAGTCACAGAAAATTGAGCCAAACAGCAGCATTGACTCAGATTTCAAAATGAAGAGAAAAGAGGTAAGCTAAGACTACTCCCATCTCCTCCTGATCACTAAAACACTTTCTCTCCAGTGAATATTTCTGATTTAGTGTTAGATTTGCCTCTTCTATATCATTCTCATTTTTTTTTCAGCAACAACTTGATATAGAGATCCAGGAGGCATTTCTGCGCTTCACCGCCACCATCTTGAAGGGCTACAGTGCCTATTTACTTCCAATTGTGTCAGCCAAAGCCGGTGCTGCATGTGATACTTCCTCCTTGTTTGATCTTGATGGTGAGTGAGGATGGTGCTTGTAGTCTTAGTTCAAATTGGGGTGATTTTTGGTGGTGTAGTTCACATTGGGGTGATTGATGGGGCTTGTGATTTTTGATGTATTAGTTAGCATTAAATCACCACACTGGAGAATACAACGGGAATATTAATTTATGATAAGGATCCTGACATACAGAACCCCAGAAAAAACATTATTCTTTTGTTTTACAGCTTTTGTCAAATCAAGAGACAAGAAGTACCACAAGTTTTACCAGCTGATGGTCAGCACTCAGATGTTTAGCAAGTTTATCGAGGAGCGTTCATTTGTGTCGGACAAGGATGCTTCCCTGGCTTTCTTTGATGACTGTGCTGAGAAGGTGGGTGACAGTGACTCGTATACTGTGCAGATATTTATTTATTTATATATACCTGTATTTTTATTTTTTATTTTTTCTTACTGTAGTGCCAGGAACTCAGTGGGGGAATCATAATACTTGTACCATTTGTGATGATTTTAGTCTCAGAGTATCAGTTCATTGATTATAGATGCTTTAGTCATGCATAAATCTCTTGCTATTAAGTTTGTTCATATATCCTTTATATCATACACTATCATCGGTAAGGAAATCTCTTTTTGTTTAACTACAGATCCTAACTTGTATTTTCTTACCATTAATAGATGAGAACTAACTCAGTTTTTTTTTTATCATCTCAGGTGATTGAGGAGGACACCACCGTTCGTCTGCTGGAGGTGGAGTTGGCCCAGAGTGAACACACGCTCTTTCTTCCTCCACCAGAACCTCTGTACCTACCTGAAGGTGTTACTTATAGTTATTCTGTAAGTTGGTCTTGGTTGATTGAATTCATTACCTGTTTCATGCTGTACTGACCTTAAATATTTACCTCAGGTACATGTAGATAGGTGTGAAGAGGGATGATAAGTTACGTTCTTAGTTACTTGTATGGTTTACATTTTAAGTCTCATGGTCCTGAGGTCTTAGTTTCTGCAGAGCAAATGATGTTGCCTTTTTTAAATCTATTTTATAAGGAATCTGTTATTTTATTGCAAAACTGCATAACTGATTTGTCTTTCCATTCCTTTCAGGGTTTTCCTAAACTTAAACCTGAATTGTTTCCTCTTCGTGAGCCCAAGCCTGCACTACCCCCGCAGGTCAAAGCCCCTCAGACTGCTCCTGCTTCCCCCCTGGCCCGTCGCACAAAACAAGAAGTAAAAACGGATCAGAGACTTGCCTCAAAGTATTCACTGACACCTATACTGTGGGCCAAGTGTTTGCTCTCCACATGCTATAGGTAAATAATGTTATTACACATTATAACTATTGAAAGTCCTTATGGAACAAAATTTTATATAAATTCCAATGTTCTGTAGGAATGTGAATCAGATTTCTTAATTGTGTGTCTTAAAGAGTGATGATCAAAGAAACTTTAATGGCTCCTACAGGTCATACCTAACCAATATCTTGTATTTCCAGCTTGTGGTTCACACAGCTCCCGGCATTTGCCCTGACGCAGCACCACAAGGCTCGCTTTTTGCAGTTGGCTTTCAAGATCCTCACCAACATGCAGAAGCTACATCTTTCACAAGCTGATGAAGTGAGTCATCAGTGTTTTGACTCCCTTACCGCTAATTCTGTGTCCTTTGTTTTGAAGGTGGACAAATATTGGGTTATGGACCCTGTGGTTTTGTATGGATAAAACCTTCAATAATAGTGAATGAATGGGAGTTTGTGGAGAATCTTTGTTCAGTTTGTCTTGTATCAAATATTGCCGTAGTTTGTTCAGTGTGGCATACATCCATAACTGGGGTGTGTCTTTCAGGTGAGTTACCGTGTGATGATGCAGCTATGTGGACTCTACTCCCAGCCCATCATGGCCGTCAAGGTGCTGTGTGAGATGCGTCAGAATGGCATCACACCCAACGCCATCACCTATGGCTACTACAACCGGGCCGTTATGGAGAATAAGTGGACTCACTCAAACCTCTTTTGGAATAAACTCAGGTAAAGCAATAATTCGATTTAAGACTTGAATATATATTTAAATATGGATATGAATAACATTTTAACCCCTTCACTGAAGGGACGACACTTATTTTATTTTGCTAACACCAGACGATTTTATTCAGCTCAGACAGGGGACCCAGTACACAAGGGGTTAATAGAGCATTGGTGTTGGTTAATTTTTTAAGCAGTGTATGTGAGAAGAAGTTTTGGTTTTGCTACAGTTTCCTTTACAGTTTTGACTAATGTGCGCTACTCCATACAGATGTTATCAGATTTGGTTCACCATCCTGAGAACATAATGTCAACAAATGCTTCATAAGAATCCAACCTCTAGTGAAAAGTGGTTTGTAAAGACTTAAAAATAGTGTTCCTGTCCTGTTAGTAATAGTGTTGGTTTCACAGGAATGTGGTGATTGGTGTGTCAGCATTCAAGCGTTCGGGCTTGGAACGGGCTCAGAGAAGAAAATCGTCTCTCTCCCTGGATGTGGTGGACAAGTGCCTAACAGGTAAGTGATATTCAGTACCTACCAAGATTATGGTTGCCATGTTGAGGGGGTTGTAGTGGAGTTTGGCGTAAGTTAAATGTAGTAGGAAAACATACAAGTAAAATTTCTCCACACACACATACACTTGTGTATATCTTCAACATACATTGGCCAACTCTGGGCTATTTCATGACGAGAGAGAATCAATTATTTAGTTATTTAGTGCTGTGATGTCTCTGGTTTTTTCCTTTTGATGTGACTGGCGACTCCCAATGCCACAGATGCTGACAGTGCCTCACGAGTGTCGCTGGAGAGTGGCACCTCCCTGGACTCCCATCCCCCTGCACCCCATGCCAAGACTGACACTCTAAGCTCAGGTGAGAAATTAATATATGTTATTAATGCATAGAGGCAGACAAAGAGATACAGGCGGTTCTGGAGACTGACTGACTTTTTTATGTAATTTGTTAACTTTTATTTTAGGTATGCCACTTTGTCACTTTAACTGGTACTTCAAGAATATTGTATTAATACATTTCTTACATTTAATTTTTTTTTTTTTTACATTGTAGATGACCTGAACGAGCTCAAGGCACAAACTTTATAATCTTTTAGATGGACAAAAGTTATGAGTTTTTGGCCCAGAACTGTCAGTTGTGTAGCCAGTACATCATGTATTGTTTTGTTTGACTAAGGCAGAACATTGTATTTAACTGTGTTGTCTCCCTGCTGTGTGTATATACTGTATCTGTTAATGTACAGTTATACACTACAGTACCTCTTACCACAGTGTTTCCTCACAGGTGTGAAAAATAATTCAGTTTAATTAACATCCTTATACCTTAGAATGGAAGTAGTGAGGGTCTGCTTCTGTTGTGTGTGGGGCTAACTAACCCGATCATTGTTGTGAGCTGTTGGTGGGCTGCTGACCACTTGAAACATTTTGTGTTTGGTAGACTCAGACGCCTACATTTTCATTATTGGTTTTCTTTGTTGTAGATCCAGGGTATTGCTCTGTCAGCGAGACGAGCGAAAGTGTTAGTTCTCCCGGGGCACCGCCAACGGCTGGTGAGTATGAGCTCTCAGTCATCACAGTACAGTAATGTTACACTACTAGAGGAGAATTTAGGGTTATAATAACTGATATTTGTTGGCTGAAGATTGGTTGTAGTGTTGTGTTATCTGGCCACAAGAGCTGTAGCCATTCCCAGACTAAATATGGGAAGTTACATCGTGTATCACTGTACAGTACTTTCACCCGAATTGGCACTTGGTGCAAATAATGTGCTTCTCTTGCCTGTCTCCTGATAACTACTACAGTATATTAAAGGGTTATCATAGATCAAGAATATAGTGTTTTGCCTGAGAAAAAATTGCTTCCCTATTATATGACAGGACACCCAGTAGACGTACAGTACAGTAAGTCCCTGATAATATATGTACAGTATATATATATATATATATATATATATATATATATATATATATATATATATATATATATATATATATATATATATATATATATATATATATATATATATATATATATATATATACACACATATATACAAACTTATTGTTACAATATGGGTATGCATTCTAGTTTCAAGTTTTTGGACATCTGAAAGTAACTGAAATTTCACATAACTAAATAATAGAGACAAAAGTGAATCAAACCATTACTGAAATATATAACTACTGTAGATAATTAAATGAAAATAGATACATAGGAACTCGCCAAAACAAAGCTGTAGATTTCATACGCCTTTTTTGTGGATTTACTGGTAGCACGTTTTCCACTCATAGTTTTAAAGGTTAAGTGAGAGATTAATAGAAAAATAATCATAGGGAATAGCACTCACTCACTGTATTGACTCGGGGTGTAGCGTTGCCACTTCAAACACTCAGCTGTGGTTAACATTGCCACATCATATTGATTCTGGTGCACATGTTGATTTTTTTTGTAGTGCGCATCATGGCAAAAATAGCAATATATCGAACAGCAAGTAAATGGTTTACTAATTTGTAAATGATGTATTACTGACGTAAATCGGTGACTTGCTGTACTCAAATACCTTTAAATAGTTTGTCACAATAATGTATACAAAATACTCAGTGTGGTAATGACGTTATTCTATATATCCAGGAAAATGATCGTACATAATTTTTCCCACTTCATTGTATTTACCACCAAGAGGCCATGTGGCTGCTGTATGGAATGAAAAATATATACAGACTGTTTGAATATTTTCCAAAGATAATGCTCTAGATAATAGATAAATGGCTTAGAGAAGGTGATCTTGATGAGGTAAGGGAAGTATTTGTGGTGTATCTGATACAAGTTGGAAGAACATATCATTATTTTATCATTATTAATCTTGTGGTGCTATAGAATATTTTTATGACTGAATATCATGTAGGTTTAACTCAGCCCCTTGTGAGAGCAGTCAGGCATTTTGTCCCATATGCCAATTCTTACTGGAGAGTGAGTGGGACTGACCATTAGGCTGGGGAGGAAGGTTAGGCAAAGAGAAGATGTGTGGTGCTGCCTGGACTTTTAATAACAATGTTTGAGAGTAGTTAGTGTTGAATTAACCTCCATATTGTATTAACAGCCAGTTGAGATCGGGATGCTATTTGAGCAGCCTTCCCCTAAACCCTCAACTTATGTAGAGACAGATGAACTCATGTGCATTACTGAAGCACATGATCTACATAAAGTACACTTGTTTGTAGTAAGAAATCGTGTGTGGCTGTAGAACACTCGACAGCCAGAGTGTGATTGATTTGAGCACATGTCATATTTCTCAAATATAGGTCCAGGACTTGTACTGTCTCCCACAATAACAGCACACAGTGTAAGCCAACTAACCCTAATCTTTGAATAGGTTTGGTTAGTTTGTGTAGAGTCTGCTTTAGAGATGTGATGTCAGACATTCCATCCAATCATAGACTGGCTGTCAGGTGTTCTCTAGCTGTAAGTGCATTAGTCCTATTCATGTGTTTAAATCAGGGACACTAAAACTTATCCACCTGTGATGGCTAAAGTTGTTTACCATCTGAGTGCACCATTATTAACATCTTCCAAGAGAGCTCACTGTACTATACAATACTATACACAAAATTACTATACAAGTGCACAAACTTCCCTGTGATAATTATTTACTTTTGTATTAAGATGACAAATGGAATTAAATCATGTTTATCTAGCCAGTAATATGTGCAGAGTCTTGTGGTATATGTCTGTATGTCATTCTAGTTTCAGTTTGTGTCTTTGTTTTATACAGGATGTTAAGTATGTACAGTATAGTAGATGTTAACATATGCAATATACTGTGTGTGTGTATATATATATATATATATATATATATATATATATATATATATATATATATATATATATATATATATATATATATATATATATATATATATATATATATATATATATATATATACATATATATTTGGTTTTTATTGTTTAAATTGATAGGATTTGATTCTTCAGTAATTTACCATGCCTTGGTTATCATAGATATTTACTTAAATAGGCAGAAATAACAACTTTGTTAATGGAAGGAATTTGAAAAAATGGAAATACATGTATTGTGAAGAGAAATATAACCATAATTTGAATATGTTATTATTTAGGTATACTGGAATGTACTCTATATTATATACAACTGTCCTTCTGATGTACTCTGCAGAAAGTGGTGATTTTGTCATTGTGAAATAGATTGTAAAGGCATACTAGACTGATGTACAAAGCCTCAACTCTGCAGATTGTCAGAAGTTTTCCTTGGTACTGTACTGTATCGTACTGGCTAGATAAATGTGGCATACAGTGAGCGTGAGGTCCTACTCTAACATAGAGCTTTACTTACCTTTATTCACATGGCTGGTCCTGCTCTCCTGGCTATCATGACTGCTGTGCCGCTCACTTGACTGCTCCGTCGCGCACTTGACCTCTGCGTCGTTCAAATGACTGCTGCCGTGGCTCTTTTAAATCCCTCAATATTTCTGTCTTCCCTATGCAGTGCCAGTTACTAAAGACCCAGCGCCTGGGGGCACCTCTAGTGCTAATGTTTCCACCTTTTCCTTCCCACCATCTTCATCTAAGGATCCCAATCTTACCACTTGTTCACAAGCTCCTGTGCCATCCTTGTCTACTGTTAATGAGACATCATGCATTTCATCTGTTTCTTCTGTAACTACTTCCATTCGTGATTCTGTAACACCAGTTTCAATTTCTCTGCCTTTGGCTTCTATCACCACCACTACTGCCCCATCTCTCACACACACTGGTAATACAACTGCATCGCCCCTGTCCGTCAGCATCACTACTTCGTCCAGTACTACCACAAGTGTTGCGCCTCTCTCCATTAATGCCTTCATCACAACCTCTACAACCACCACCACTATCACTACCACCACATGCACCAGTACGTCATCAAGCGTTCCCTCCACCACAGGTTCCATGAAGACAACAGTAACTCCCTCCACCATCTCCATTGCATCTACACCATATTCCTCATCATCATCATTGTCCTCTCTTGCCACCATAGCTCCTTCAGGCAGCATCATTAACACAGATCCGTCATCATCTACTCCTTCACCCTCGCTACCTCTCATTGGTCCTGCTTTTACGTTGGTAAATTTAGTTCCATCCTCATCCTCTACGCTCACAACAATGGCCCCGTCCTCTTCATTGGCTTCCACTTCCTCCGTATCGTCCTATGCCACAAGTCGAGTACTAGACTTCTCTGAATCAGACGCACTGCGAGCAAGACTGGGCAGCATAGTGAGGTCATCAGCAGCTAGTCTTGCCAGCGGTGCCGACCTGCTTGTGATTGAGTACAATGTGGCTTGTAAGTGTCTAGTTACGTAATAAGCATGTTTTTCATCAGTACTGGTGCCTTAAGGCAAGACACCACTGATCTCAGTTTTCATGTTTCATTACTATACTCTTGATATTTATAAATTATGCATACCCTTCCCCACTGTAGCGGGGTGGCTTGTGTAGAACCCCCTCCACACAAGTCTACCATTATTGAAATGCCCCTAATGCCTCACTTCTTTCTGTGTTGTTCTGTCTTGCCTCGGACAACACCAGCAGATTCTTCTTAATCATATTATGGTTGAAACATTCATAGTTTTTAGTTTTTATCCATTTAATCAGGTAAAGTGTACTGTATAGGATAATTATATTATTTGACTATTTTATATTTATAAATATATTTGTAAAGTTTAGAGTTTGTTTGTCACAACTCAGATTGATATGATGCTATCCATATCAATTTTCACTTAGACAGAAATGAACATAGGTTCATCAGGAAGCATACGGTCTGGTGAAACTGTTCAGTGTGACACTCTTGTGACTAGATTACTGTACAGTAGTTGTTTATATTATCAGTTGTTAGTCACTTAAGTCTTTAAATAATCAGACTTTGTTTAGGCAGTAAAACAAACACTGATGGTCTCATATATATGAAAGGTAAAGACCAGTGTATAGGTAATATTATTTTAACAGATAATGAGACCAAACTGTATTCATAATTTCAAAAGATAACTACAGCCTTTTGAAACAGTTTTAGAACATTGATTTTGTTTGTTGTAGGAATCTCATTTGCCAGGGTTAGTCAGCACCATTCTCAAGGTCTTAAATTTTATAACTGACAGCTTAAAGAAGTTTTTGATAATTTGATGCCTTATTGAGGATGTCAACAAATATTTATAAACTGAGGTCCCTGTATTATATGAGAGTAAGCAAACAATACAGTAGACTTGTAGTAAGTTAAAACAAGAAATTAAGAGAAGAAATCTGATGTGTTGTCAGACCAGTTGCAAATGGTTGAGCTTTAGTTGAGAACTGAGAAAGAATGTAATAATCTTAGCCCATTGTAGCTTCTGCTTTAACTCACTTACATTTCTTCATTAGTGTAGCTGATGCATGTCTGTAGCTGCAATTTTTCATGCTTAGAAAGTAGATACTTGATATTACTAAAGAACATTTAATATGGGCCTTTGTGGTGACAGCTGATGTTTGTAGGTGAGTGAAACTGAAAACTTTACCTGTAGTATAAAGCATGTGCTTATTGCTACCTTTGTATTTCAGAATTACCTGGAGGACTTTCTCTGTTTTAAATGTGAAATATATTGTGTTTGCAATACTCTGCATAATTGTATCTTAAGTAGACCCATAGATAATGTTGTGCAATGATCTACAAACTTTTTATTAGTTCTTCACACTGTTGCAGCCAACCTTTTTTCACCATCTTGATAAAGGTTTTAAAATCAGTGAACAAAACATTTGATTGTTGCAGCTTGTCAAAAAGCATAAGTTTCATTAAATACTAATTAAAATATCTATCAAGTATGAGGAAGCACCTGGAGTCACAGCTGATGGTGCAAGAGGTTGTCATGCCTCTGTTGACTGGGATATGTTGACCCCCAGGACAGCAGCCCCACCCCAATAGGTTCTTCTGGCTCAAGGAAATGTGTATAGCCATCAGTGGATTATTAGATGCCTTATCCCTTTACAGTAAAATCATCTCGGTACAGTATATCAATGATGTATCTTTGAGGTATAAATATCTTCAGTTCAACAAACATAACAATATTTAATTCTATATGGTAAAATAATTTGCTTTGTACATTTATGGCTTAATCTAGCATGTGGCATCATTTTGATATACTGTACTGTACTGTATACAGTAATACTTGAAGTAAATGTTTAAGGTGATGATGCATTTTTAAGTAGCTGCATCACTTTCCAGAGACTCTTGAGATACCTGAATTGTTTTGTTTCAGTCACCAGTAGTGCAGGTCTGCTGATGACAAGTGCCCTGGACAACAGTGTTTTTGAAAACACCTCTAGAACCCGGCTGCGACCGACTGATCTGGCAGATGCACTTTCTCCCACATTAGATCAGTAAGTGTACCAAGTGTCCTCACCAGTGATGACACTTGTTTGCTCTTAAGTATACAGTACTGTGTCTCTTGCAGTGAATGAACATTATGTATTTAAAAAGTATTAAAAATACAATTTCCAAATCCAATTAAAGCTTGTTTAGCGATCTGAAAATATAAAATTTTTGCCTTTATCATTGTGAGAGTGTTGAGGTTAGATTTACTGTATGTAACCTCTGTACGTATAAAGTTAAAGATTATAAACAAAAGGTGCTGTAGTGCTGAGAAACTAAGACAGACAATGAGTTGTGCTCCCCCATTACTGTGATACTGTGACTGTTTCCATCTGTCACTTTCCTTCCTTTTATCCATGATGCTTCTATGTGTAGGCCATAACTTCACCAAAATTGGATCAAACTTTGTCTAAATTGACAACAAAGCAATATTTCCTTAAACTGTTAGATGTACAGTATTTATATTTCATCATGATCACATTTGACAGTTACAACTTCCTCAACTCTACAAGATCTCTGATTATGGTTTATGTGGGGGGGTCACCTGTTCATTCTTCAGTTACTTCATCTTGAAGTCAGATGAGCTGGCACACATTTTTTGCATAGATTGAAAATGAAACAGTATTGAGATAAACAGTAATGAAATATCTGTTGGTATTTATCTATATGATTTATTTAAAGACTGTTATCTCCTTTTAATAACAGGAAGGGCATAATAAATGTGCTAGATTTAAGACAAAATAAATTATAAGAGTTGATTATTGCTGCAGGTATGACAAGATGAGTGAGGCAACAGCTGTGAGGACACCACCCGATGTCCCTATATCAGTAGCACAGGACAAGGTGGTGCCAGAGTACCTCAGGTTAGTGCTCGAGCCTCCTCTCCTGCAGTCTCCCACCCCACCCCCTGCCACTCTCCAGTTCAAGAAAATCTGTGTATCTTGCTCTCGGTTTGAATACCTCGTAATTTTAATTTTTCTTTATATTTGTAATGGCTAACAAAATATTAAGAATAATTCAGCTCTTCAGAGTGATACAAACACTTAAGATTTGTTTCAACTATCAATTTAAGTTAATTCTTTATGTTAATTTGGCTTATATTTTCATTTAATATTGGACATGCAGTGTTTGTAGCTTTATAATTACAGATATCAAGTTATGACCTTCAGTAACTGTCCCTTATTATGAAGTTCATACTTGTATTTTACCAATAATCTTGTTGTACTGTACACGGCCGTACTCCAAAATTTTGAGAAGGGAAATTAAATTATTTCTTGTCCACTGATAACACAGACCTTCTTTGAACATGACATATTTGCATTGTATTCCCCTGTGATTACCCTCCCTTGATAACCTATATGGGCCCTGAAGACCATTGCTGCTACGTACATTTGTGAGTAGCGCACCCTGGGTGGCTGACAGTGTATGTGCACGTGGTGTATGCCACAGTGTGTACACTACACTATCTATAAGCTTGCGCTAGACACAGAGCGAACACTACCATCGCTAGACAGTTGCCTTCTCTCACCTGCTCCTCTCTCTTTAATTGTATTATTATTGTTCCTTGTTTTATTCATTGCTTGTGATGCATGGAACCATTTTTATGGCATGCCACAATTATTTTTATTTTCTCATTAATGATATGTTGAGCTTTTATTGACATGGAAAGTTCTAACCCAAAATAATGTGCACCAGCCAACAAGAATGAAGACAAATGATAATGACTGTTTTCCCTGTGTACAGTACTGCACTGTACTGTACCATACTTACAAAGCACGACCTCCGACTGATAAAGACAACCTTAAATGGGTCATCTGAATGAATTACTTCAGAATAGCTTTCAGTCTTTGCCAGCATCCTGCATTTAGCTGCATACTATGATAGATATAATGTTCCTGGCCACAGTAAGTTATACTGGTGGCTGTCTTGTCACAGTGCATTTCCATATGATGTAGTTTGATGAAGATATTTGATGATTTGACCCACAACACATATATTGTAATTACTATTCAAAGTTTAGACTCTTCATTGTTCACAGTCCAAACCATATTTTACTACGTACTATTTTTTACTGTGCTTAATATTCTGTAAAGTATTAGGACAGTACTATTTGTCAGCACAGTCGAAGAACACCATTAAGGACATATTTTGAAGGCACTAATAGTGAGCATTGCACAGTAAGTTATGCAGGGAGTGGTGTCTCATAAGGCACCCAGCAAGTCTTGTTAAGAAGTCAACAAAACTTTTGCTACAAATTGAAAAGTACTGTATTTATGTTCTGTATGTTGATAAATACAGACAGTAGCTGTATAACTATGTGGTTTACTAGCACTGAAGTATAGTAGATGTTTATAACTCCTGTGGATCATTTACAGTATATAGTTCAGTAGATATTGATATATATGGATCACTTGCAGTCTGAAGTATATTAACCAATGTTAATTTGTTAATTGTATATTTATATTTGTTTGTTTTTTCCCGTTCTCATGTGTTAGTTCATTGTTACTTTGTATATACTGTACTGTACTGTACTGTACTGTACTGTACTGTACTGTACTGTGCTGTGCTGTGCTGTGCTGTACATGGTTTTGTGGTATAATTATTATTATTATTTTTTTATATAATTTTTTTGTTTTCTTTTATTTGGTTTTTTTGCTGTTGGTAACACATAAGAATTTTTTTATAATATATATGTTATGAATTTATACAGTATTATTATCAGTACAGCTAAGTTAAGTAATTTAATATACTGAGTGAAGGCAGAATTGTGTGTGTTTACATATCAGAGACCTGTGAAAGATAGGGGGGGGGTATAAAAATAAAAAGACGTTCCACTGTGCTAACTCTTAATAAATACAGGGCGAGTCAAAAGTAGTGCAATACCCTGCGTCTCAGACATTTCATTGAGAATATCGAGGTCACACGTTAATCTGAAATGTGTGTATTTCAGCTGTATACATAAATTTGACTCTTTGTATTTCTACTCAGAGGTGTGTTTATGTCAAAGGTGACTTCCAGACAGTATTTCATTGTGAAGCTATTTTGGTTCAGTGTAACAGTCAGGAATCTCAGAACCTCCCCTCCCCCCATCCCAATAGGAGTCTCTTAAGGCACATTGGTTGGAACAGATAAGAAGGTAGTACAGTATATTATTTGGAGAGGAATTTGTTATGTTAGGTTAGGTTTGGTTAGAAAGTGCCCTCTCATGTAGGATAAATCTCTTATAAAATGTAGAGATGTCTTTTATTGTCATTATCATTGTTATTATTATTATTGTTTGTTTGTCATGGTGGTCATCAGTTATTATTTGTTTTCTTCCATTTCACCAAAAAATGTTAATCTCTTTCCTTACTATCATCTGTGTCCATGTTCTCCAGTGTGTGTGTGTGTGTGTGTGTGTGTTGACAGTGTGTATGTATGTGTGCAGTGTGTGTTTGTTGACAGTGTGTATGTATGTGTGCAGTGTGTGTGTGTGTGTGTGTGTGTGTGTGTGTGTGTATATATGTATGTATGTATGTGTGTGTGTGCATGTGTGCGTGCGTGCGCGCGCTGGAGGGAATATTTGTACATTACTTTATTTCACCTCTTTCCTGTTGCTTCTCATAATTTTTTCTTGCATCTCTCTCTCTCTCTCTCAATGCCTTATCCCTCCATTGCTGTTATCTGTCATTTGCCACACTTGTACAATAGTTAGAGCTCTTTGGAAACTCTATATCATGAAAAAGTAGACACTGTTACTCTGAATTAGACAGTGTAGTTAAGTGTAAGGAATGCTTGTCTCATCTCACCATCATCCACCTGCCATTAATGGGCTGCTAATCTTATACTCCCCTTCTCTGTCCTTGTATGTTTAGTTCATTGGTTTTAGTAATCCGTATTAATTCATTTATCATGTTATTGATTTGTATTTGTTGGTGAATTTTTAATGACAAAATTATGAGATGGTATACTGTACTATTTTTCTTCATTATAGGTCATAGATCTAGGATTGTAACTGTAGCTACAAGTTTATTTATAGTAAGTACTTTAAATCACAGGTTGCCATGACAGTATAGTGTACCTTGTAGGTGTAGGATACAGGTGATGGAATATGTTGTCATTGTTGAAAGTGTGAGCAGTCTTATTGGTGCAACATTAGGTAAGAGGGAGTTTGATAGCATGAGGTCTCAGATATATTGATTGTATCTTTTTTTCTAGAATGATATTGGCTTATGATATATTAAAGTTGAAATTAGGCTTTATTCTACAATGTGCCTGATGAATGAGAGACCACCTTGCATCTCAGTACTGTATTGAATTTCATACATAGCTATGTACAGCAAATATCCAAGAACTGGAATGTTTGGAATGTCAGCAGACGTTTAGGGTATTCATGTTTGCATCTTGAAGGCCTCACTAAGGTCCTAGACCACAACAACATAGCTGGAATGTTATGGTAATAATTGTTCCATGTGGGTGAGTCCCTTCATCAGTCACCCTATGTAAGACTGAGCCTCACACATGGTCAGTGTGATGTCCAGTACATTAAACGGTGTCCACCATTATAACTTTGAGAGAAGCTGGTCAGTTTTTGCATATAACCTTTGCATATTTCATTAAGAATTGCCACTTTACAATGCTCTTTGTATTCACAGGGTATGTTCAATAGTTTAGTAGCTTACTTTTAACAAAATTACAACACACAAGTTGGAATTTATTGCCTTACAAGTTGTGTATAACTTGTGTTCTGGTTTTACAAAAAAATTTCAAAATATTTATTTTATTTGATCTTTAAATTCTGCCAGGAATGAATACATTATGCCTTTCTCCACTACAGTGTCAGCCACCCTTCATGTGCCTCCCATCATGTAACTTTGCAAAAAAACAAAAACATGAATGAAAAGAAAAGCAATTATTTATACAGGTATCAGGTATTTGTAGTGTGGGTGACCCATTATTGATGGGAGACTCCCCCTCTGAAGTTGACAAGTTTTGTGAGTACTGTACTGTACACTTCTCTTACAGTTGTCTGCAGTAAATATCGTTCTCTGTACAATGGTCTTCAGGGTATTATTATTAAACTTGAAGCTTGTTGGAAATATTTAGTGACAATGGCTGAAATACGTCCCGCTTGCTATATTTTGTTTTAAGTAATTTAAATTCTAAAGCATAAAGTAATCAGAATCTTGATTACATGATGTTAAAGCTGTAGCTTAAAAAAATAAAGCTTATATGCCAAATATATTAGCGGTCTTGTATCACTGTTGGTGTTGCCAGCTCACCTACTAGGAGTTGTCACCACTACCTTCCCCCTCAGATCTGACAGCTACGGCAGCGATGCTAAGATAATTACCAACCTCCTGCGTCTGGCCAAGGTTGATATTGAACCACTAACTCAAGTTGGCCAATTCCGGGCCAGCAGCGAACCTCCGTGGAGCGAAACCAGTACTCCTCCCAGTACTACAGTGGACCAAAATTCCCCTTTACATGACGACATGAAGGGTGTCGATCCTCTGTCTCGCAGTAATGATAGCTTGAGTGACATTTCTGAAGAAGAGGCCGGGCCACGGACTGGCCTGGTGCAAGGGTTTTTTTCACGAAATGCACCAGAAAGGTTATCTAGTCTGTTCAAGCGGAGCGTGGACAGTGCCGACGAAAAGATCCGAGGATTCTGGAGGAGAAGTGCCAGCGTAAGCCGATCCAGCAGTAAAGATTCTGTTAATTTAGAGCAAGGAGTCACAGATTATATGGATGGCAGCATGGAAGAATCTGTCGGTAAAAGTAGTGAGAGTAAGAGTAGTGCAGACAGAAGCAGTGAGGAAAAGACCCCAGAACCCTCAGAAGTCAGTGATGATTTGGAAAGCGCAGATGTTAAGAATGATAGGTTAAGTACTTTGCAGCCACAGACATTGCTTTTGCCCCCTCGATCTCCTAATATTAATATTAATAGACCTTCCAACTACTCTCCAATACCATCTAGTCCTAAACGCATGCCCGTCACAGAAAATGATCCTCTCGGAGCTTTCAGCCCGTCTCAGACAAGCAACGACACGGGATCAATGTCCGGAGAAGCGCCGGCCTCTCTCACTAGTGTGGCTGCCTCTCAGGTATCTGAGTCTCCATTTAGTGCTCTCGATTCATCTCCAAGACAGAGCACAAGTGACGACTCAGAGATATCTTCTCTCGTCTCCGGACAAAGTAGCCAGCCCCGTAGGTTATCTCGTCGCGTTGCACGCAGTGCCACCTTCACTGGCAGAAGTGGCCAGGACTCCGTAAGGCAGCGCGGCGTACAGCGCTCGGCAAACTCGCTCTGGACGCTGTCTCCCTCTCCTAGTCCAACCCACACCTCCAATACATCTTACCCAAAACGTGCACATTCATCAGAGCGTGCAGCGTCCGACGACCCCGCCAACTCAGCTCTGATGGCATCTACACCCACTTGGCCATCCCTAAAGCTCTCCTTCAGGTAACACATTTCTTAACCGGAATAATTCTTGACTCCTAGTAACTTCCTCTTCCCGGAATGGTGTACTAATGGACCTCCAACACTCAGTAACTGGAATGACCCAACTCACTTAATAACAGCTCTTACTAGAAAAGATTTAGAAATTCAGTGATACAGTACTGTACTGTATAGTGCTTATAGTCAGCATTTAAGTTGATAAGTTTTGTCAGTTAGTGTAAAATTTCCCAAAAGAGGGAATCTGGAGTCTAGTGGTTGATCCTTATGTAAGAATACAATTGCTCGTGTGACATTATCCTTCATGTATCACTTTACTTTGTATCATTTTATTACATTTGAGACTTTGTACATCTTTCTAAGCTTCCCTATGACTATTATGATGTGTCATTTTTCCTGTATAGCATCAGAGGAAAAAATTAGAGTCCAAAACTTTTAAAGTCAACTGGGACAAAATATTTCTTAGCTGGAGCAAAATATGATTTCTTACTATGCCAATTAAGAACTGTCAGCGAGGAATTGACAGCTTTGATCAGCACTGTATCAATGAGTTTACAAATCCTTTCAGTAATTAGACCTGGCTACGTGCTTGCGTGTCTTGTATTGACCTTTATACCCGCTCATCTTATACTGTGGACTATATTTATGTTGCAAGAATTATGTCAAGGTTCTTTCTGCAGATTTCAAGAAGATGGTTTTCATGACTTCATCAAGTAAACTGAACCTTGTTGTTATAGAGACAATTAAGAGGGCTGATAAATAAAAGTTGATTCTAACATAACCAGTCAGTGGAAGTCTTCATCTTATTTTGATAATAATGAGTTCCAGCCTTAATATTTTTATTCCTGGTATTACCTTTTAATAAGTTACTATGTTTACAAGTATTTAGTTGTATTTTTTATATTTTGATGCACCTCAAAAGCTTATAGTTATTACTTTAGAGTTTTCTCACTGATGCATGCTTAAAAGTCCTATATGTCAGTTGGATCTAGAATAGACAAATGGCTATCTTCACATGAACCACAATGTGACTCAGGCAGCTCACTAGTGAACTAATGTGCTTGTAGAGCAACACTACCTGCATGGTTACTTAATGTATTTATATTTATTGATTGAAATTGAACTTGGCTCACTTCTGAAGAAAAAAGACATAGAAGCAGAACTTTCCAAGTTAAGTCTTCCTGTCACATCATTATAACATCACAGACACATCAGCATTTCTTTAAGCTCTTTTATGAGGACGATTGCAGATGCAGCACAGTGAATGGTAAGGAGGCAGTATAGCCAGCAGTGCATTTAACCATCAGTTCCCTTACTTTGAAGTTAGATACCAGTGCTAGATGGGTGGTGGTTCTGGCACAGACCTTTAGATCAGGACATTACTCTTAAATGTGTGAGCACTTCAGACCAACAGCACTTGCAACTGGGACATTAGAGTTATGTCAGGAAGTCCCACACACCTGTCACTCTTATGGCAAATTGAGTTAAACTGACCTTTTAATAGGTGTGGCCCTCTAGGTTGTTCAGTAATCATTGATGAAGAGGAATAAAACTACTGTTCAGTATTCTGTTCATTTATCATATCCAAAATGTTTGTTATTAATAGATACACCTGTCACTATTATTGACACTAGTGTGTTGTCCTTGTGATAGTGAAGATAGCCTGTGTTTAGATGTTTATTAGCTGTTAGTTAGAATCAGATGGTTGTAGAAACTGTAATGGTGAGGATAAACCAATGTGGGTGTAGTAGTCTGTGTTGTGTTAGTCATAAGTATAGCATGTGGTGTTACAGTAACAGTAGCAGTCGTCTCGGCCTGGCTTCCAACATGGCCTCCGTGGGTCTGCGACAAGCTACTAAGCAAATTGAGCAGATCCGAACTCAGTACATCGACCCAGCCATGGCCGATCTGGGTCACTACAGGTAAGTCTCTCGCTGGTGTGGAGATGCCACCTCCTACAAGAGTTTTCTTTTTCCTCCATACTGAAATTTAATCTTACCAACTGCATGAAATTTTGTACTAAGAAGATTTACACTGATGGGAACAAAAATTGATTCCTACCAAGTTACATCTGTGTAAGTTTCATACATACATTACCCATTAGTATATGTGTTATACAACCTCCCCTAAATGTTTCAAGTGTTCACTGTCTTCACATCAGGAGAGGTGAGTCAAAGATAAGACCAATGAGAATGTTGATTTAGATATTGGTAGGGCTATTGGTATGGACAATAGTAAAATAGATGGTGTTAGTATAGTCTAGTATAGTCACACAGAAAAGTCTTATCGCTTATCCAGCTTGTCAAAGAACCCCGAGATTCAGATTCATAAACCCAATACCTGTACAGTAGAAACTTCTGCATTATTCTGTCCATAAATGTTTCAGAGTCACGTGTCTGAATCTCAGGGTTCTTGGTTCAGGAGGAGAGGTGACAGGACTTTATGGATGACTGTACACAGGAGATTATTGTGAAAATACATTGAAGGAAGGAAGCAACGAGAAACATTAAATTCTTACTGTTGAGAGTTGAGTAGATTGGGTGATTTAGTTTTAAGATGGCATGTAGAGCAAGACAAGAATGTACTGTAGTATATTATGATGTGTGAATAATGTGTATTATTTTATTTGGCTAACACCAGACGATTTTATTCAGCTCAGAGGAGACCCAGCACAAGGGGCTAACTCCCAGTAATTTGATTGCATTGTACAGTGTTAAATATCAAGTGACTATATAAGTACTTAATATTTTGACATTACGAAATAGTTTGAGTCAGTGATAGCTATAGGTTAAACATAAAACTCCATTGTTATTGAGGTCAGAGGCAAGTCAAATCAGGTAAAAGTCATAACACAGGTAAGAAGATCCCCTTAAACATCATAACTCAGCTGTACTCAAGAGCTGTGGCTTGGTAGAACTACATTGTTTAAGACACTAAGACAGGGTTTAATCTATGTATTGGCTTAATAACATGTAGGATTCGCCTGGAAGATTCTGTCATTCCAAAGGTGAAAATAATCACTAGCTAAGTTTATAGTTTGTGGTGTTTTAGATGAAGTAACTGCTGTAGCAGAGGATTACAGGTACACATTCAGATAGATATTAACTTTATAGTGACAAGAGGTTTAAAGGTTTTATCATTTGTCTCAGGTTAACTTCAGACTTTATTAGTTATGAGTTTATACTGTTTTTATAAGACCTGTCTAGATGTACACACAAGACCCCTGAAGAACACCACCATTTCTTCATGTACAGTATTCTAAAAAGGAAAATGATCATGGCTGATTGTGTAATATGGAAGAAACACACAACAAAAATTACAAAAACTTTTATCCTGATTTGTACCCGAGTCAACCCATAGGAGATAATTAAGAGGGAACACAAAGCAGAAGTTTTGGACCACTAAAGAAATTGTAACCTTCATTATTTTGCTTCCTATTGTTTTTTATTTTATTATTAACATTATTTTTTCAACAGGTATTATGTTTGTTGTACGTACAGTATTAGGTAAATTAGTTAATGACAATATAGAATTAAAAGAGTATTAACAGTTGCTTTTATTTATAAAAGAAATGGGTTAGTGTCTTTCCATTTTATCAGAAGTAATGCTTAGTAACTTTGGCCCTTCCGAAGACCTACCGTAATGATGTGCATGTTTGGTGATAGCTGCCTTTAACTACAGACTGTTGAAGTAGTGTTGGTGCTGACTAACATGTGACAGTAAGACAGCAGCCAATTGATCTTAACACCTTACAATTATTATCATAAATCAACATCATGGTTAACTTAGTACTGTGTAGCCACTGGGAGAGCATGACTTATAACTGTCTTGCTGTTTTGACATGTAATATGACTTAATTTGTTAAAGAGTCTATTAATGTTTTTTCCTCTACTCCTATATTTCAGTTAGCTTCCATACTGTGTTATTTACTTTACTGTCAGGTAGCCAGTATCATGTAGGTCTGCTTATTCAGATATCTAGTGTGTTGCTGATGCAGTATTGCTTGCCTTGTAAATACAGCAAAGCAGGGTAAGTGATATTTACATTTCAACATTTGCATGAAGAGCAATTTTCTCTGACCATTTATAATATTAACCCCTTCACTACGGGGATGCCATTTTTTTTATATTTTTATTTGACAAACGCCAGATTATTTATTTCTGCTTGGGGGGGTGGGTTAAGAATTACTGGGTATTTCATTCACCACTAGGAACATTACCGCTGGGAAAAGCGATGAAATAATCCCTATATCTTATTTTAGTATTAATTGCTTGTTGCTTGCCATGATTTTTTTTATTTATAAGGACTTTTTCTTTTCCTAAGATTATGGTTTTGAATTTTTACTTTTTTGTTTTTTTTAGACGACCCATTATAAAGAATGATAATAAATCAAATTATATACAGCTAATGTCTGATGGTTAAGTGAGACATCATAAGTAGAGAAGATATACAATTTGTTTAACCCCTAAAGTACAGTATGACAGTGCAGTGAAGCCTCCATGTAGTGGACTGCCCTCTCCCTCAGTCTGTTAGATGGAGGTTTCACTGTGCTTGGTAGTTTAAGTGAGGGTGTCATTTTTGTAGTTAAAGCTTGACTGACAGCAAAAGGTCAACTAGATATGATACACCTTAGATTGGACTTCACTTTTCATGTGACTCTTTCCCAACAGTGATTTGGTATTAACAAGGAGAAAATATTCATAACTAGAATGAAAAGATTTAGATAAATGAGATGTTATAATTCAGTGATGTTTATTGTATGGTGTTCTAGCATAATTCCCAACATTTCAGCCCTAGTAACTTCAATTACCGGAAGAATGAACTGATATCGGGAGGTCTCAGCAGCGTGAAGTCAGCGGTAACTTCACTGTCCAAGAAATATAATGAAATACGCGACGCCATCACTGCCACCAACACCCCTGTTAGAGGAGGGATACACAGGTAAGGGTATCATAACTCCTGTGCTTATTAAGTTGTATCTCTCAGACTGTTTCCTAATAAGACAGCTGGATGTCCTTCTTAGAACCTCCAAGTAATTTATCTGTTATATTTCTTACCTGTATACAATTTTTAGTGCAAATTATGATACTCACATGAGGCCTTACAACAGAGGAGCTCCTGTTAGGCTTGTGGTCTCAAAGAGTTTGGTTATTTCTTTCAGCATCAGCAGCAGCCTGCCAGCACCCAACTTCTTTGATAATTATTTTCGGTAAATCTTGGTGTGGACTTGACATAATGTGTTGGTAGACTAAGGTAGAACAGTGTTTGTATTCTGTGGTTTTATGGTGGCTAGACCGTGATATAGACAGTAACAAGGAGCGTGTTTATGATGGACGACCAACACTTCCTTATGTTGTTTATACACTTGGAGTCACCGATGTGGCCCAGTGAACTGACTCATTACTTGTTGTCAGTTGGGTTTTAATTTAGAAGTAGCCATTGCTTTGTTTGTTAGTTATATTAACATTGTAGATATTATTTGACTCCATTTTTTTATTAGCAGCAAGTAATGTCACCAATTTTTTATATATAATTGAAAATTAGATATAATTCTGAAGTAAGGGAAAATTATGCTGAGTAAGAGATGGGTGGAAGTAGTAATTAGGAGTTAGACAGAGTGAGTGATAGGTAGATTAAGCTGTTAAAGTCTAGGAGCATGTCTTGATCTTACTAGTTACAGTACAGGGCCTCTAGGGCACATAACATGTAGATCTACATCAGTGCAGTACACATTGAGGATTAAAAAAAATTGTGTATGGCTATAATTAATACTTGTACACCCGCTTCAAAGAGTATCTTTACAATTTTATGTTTGACAATATCATACAACGGACGAAGGATTTTGACAACCCTACCAACACAATAGGAGTCGTGCTGTTCATTTTCAAATTCACCGGGCTCCTCCGTAATGATTCTTTCTGGAGCGAGTGCACTTACCTCCCACTTCACACAGGAATATTTAAGAACTAGCCTTCATAATTTGGACCACATATCTATATTGTGTTAAATATTTTTTTTATATAATCCAAATTGGTTAATACTGTAACACCTTTAAATCTTTTTGCTTTGATTGATTAACTTTTGCCAACATTCATATTGATTGTGATGTCACCAACAAAAGTGGCCGCATGTGGGACGGCGATGGGGACGAGGACAGTCTTGATGGTTTCTGGAGCAGAAGAGAGTCGACCGACGTACAAGGTGTGGCGCCGTTGGATGACCCGGGAGGCATCACATTCGGAGGTATTACTGCACCCATTGTTTATGTGGGCATTTAGTTTCATGTACATAGTTTGATGGGTAGAGTTCTCCTTGTACAAATTCAATGGTGTGGTATGACCTGTGCTATTTGAGGTGGTCAGGTGTAAGGGTCCTGTTGCTGTAAAATCAGTATTATAAAAGAAATAGTCTGTAGTCAGGTGTTAGTGACACTGATGGTAGTGGTGAACAAGTTACCTGTGTCTTGTGCAGCAATTGTTACTTATTATGTATGGCTTGATCTGGTCTGTGGATATAATATGGTAATCAGATTTACGTAGTAATTTTAGGTAAAGATGCATCTCTCAGTTTAACTCCTGTTTCATCTGCCACAACATGAGTGGAACATGACATACAGTATAAATGAATATATTTTGCATACAACTTTTGATTTTATCTCTGTGATTTTTAATTTCTTCTAAATTTCATATAGATATTTGATATTTGTATAACTTTTTGTGACGTGTGTATTTACAGGATCAGTGTTCACAGTGGGTAGTGAAGGAGAAGCCATAGCAATGCAGCAGGATCTCTTCCCTCCCCTGGGTTGGGATCCCACCGGTCCATTCTGCCTCGGCCTGTGGCTCACCTCTTGTACACGCTGCCACAACTGTGCTGCGCTTCTCTACGACGAGGAGATCATGGCTGGCTGGAGACCTGATGATTCTAATCTCAACACTAAGTATGTCCAGATACCAGAGCTGAACCTTTGTCATCTCATCTACATCACGTCACTCCTGTAGGGTGTGGCCACAGTAGAACATCTTCCGGGCCGTCCCCATCACTACATACTTTACTGTACCTCTTTTGCTTTCTCTCTTCCCTCTGTCTCCTCTCCTTATTGTCTTTGTAATATATTGTTCCACTTTTCCTTCCCACAACCTAAATAATACTTTGAAAATTTCAGCTGTTGTGATCTTCAAGTTCATATCAATGTTGATTTACACTGGGTCACGCATATCTCATTATGCATCTCAGAAAGTATTACAGTATAAACCTTTGCATGTGGCTGACTGCAACTCATATTTAGGAACATAATTCACACAATGTACTCATCTTCACATGTCATTGCCAATAATTTGATAACAGAAAATACTCATCTTTTTATTCTGGTACTCAGCTTGTCCAGGTTAAATCAATTTTACTGCCTTTGTATCTCTGACATTTTGACCTTAACCTCTTTGAGAATTCAATATTGTAGCCAAGAGAACAGGTCATCACAGGTCATCAAATTCAAAGGCGCCAAACTCAAGTGGTTAAATCTTATTCCCTCTTTTTATAATTTTTTATAACCCTCATATTCCTACATCTCTCCACCACTATACTCATATATCCCCCTTTATAAATCAGCCTGGGTTATGTACACTATCTTCTTATATCTTCTAGACTATTTTATTCTCAGTTTTTATATATCTTTCTTCCACAGATGTACATTTTGTGAGAAGATGACTGTGCCTCTACTTACAATCACAATATATGATCTTCGACAAGAACCGCGGCCATCAAAAGAGACTGAGGATCCATCAGAATCTGGCAAACCTACACCAGGTACAGTAACCTCTTATGGGGCCTGAGATCCTGGTTGGAAGTACAGACACCTAATATTGGCTTGTGAAAAGATTGATATTTGGGTTGTTGTCTTGCTGGGTAATATCAGAGACCATGAGTACAGTCTTCTCTTGTCTTCAACTGTAGCTGCTGAAGAAAATTATCTCTCTTCCTGTCATTAGAATTATTATAGAACTATAAACTTTTACACTAAAAAAAAATATATTTATGTATATAAATGAAAAATAATTAGAAAATATGAGAACAATAACTAGAAACTTGCTTTTGGGTGAAAAATGGGTATGGCCACAGGTTGAGGGCAGAAAGAATTTATAGCATAATGTTCACTTACTCCAAAAAGTATCTATGATTTTGTGTTAGAGAATATGACACAACGGACGAAGGATTTTGATAAACATACCGAGACAAGAGGAGTCACAGTGCTCTGTATAAATACTTTTTGGAGGAGTGTACAGTGTAGCAGTTATAGTAAAGGAGTCCATGGTAGTTGTGTGGTTGTTTTGCAGCTCCCACCGGCGGTACAGGGGACGTGACTGACCGGGGAGTACCGCCCGATGAACCTACAAAGGAAGAAGGGAAGGCAGACCCTAATCTGAAGGATTATGTTGGATCTCAACTACAAAAGAAGGTAATTTACTTTTTATGAACATCACATGAACAAATCTATTGGTGAGAAATCCTTAACACTCAGTTATGACAGTCTGTACTGAAACATCCAGACACTTCTCATCAGTTAGGTATCTTTTAGAATGTAAGAAATATTTAACCTTTTGGAGAAATGTTCCACTCTATTTTACAGCTAAAGAGAACCATAAGAAACAGAGTTAAGGTGACTTGAGGACAAGTTTAGTTTATTACCTTGATATGTGTGACCCTGTGATGGTATGTTATGTTGTTGCTGTAAGATAAGTTTAGTAATATGAATGAAATGTTTCCCCAGGGTGTCCGTTGTGAGCCAATAACTGTACCGTACCTGAGTCCTCTAGTGCTGCGCAAGGAGCTGGAGACCGTGCTTGGCCACGAGGGGGACACCTGCCTTACTGATGCAGCCTTCACCGACCACCACCCTATCCTCTACTGGAACCTGGTCAGTCACTCACTCACTCACACAAAAGTAGTCACATTTATTGGTATTATATCTTATTAAATATTCAGTTAACTTTATTTCCTCTTTGATCTGTCTTCAGTACTATATGTATTATTACTGTATTTGATCTATTACAGCATCCTGCACTATATTGTAGCAGGAAGTCTTTTGAGAGAAAAAATAAGCCTATTGCCTTTTCTCCAGTTACTAGTTTACAGGTAGTTTTATAGTAATTTTAGTGTTCCTGGAGTATTTGATCAGTCTGTAGCACACTTAGTACAACTTCTGCAAAAAATTATTTTAAGTCTATTCTCAAACAATTTGAGACATTTTTGTATCAAGACCGTAGATTCAGAATGTTGGTTAAATTCACGCCTTGAGCAACATACTTCCCATTAGCTATGGTACTTTTGTCGGCTGAGGGTGCCAAGTCATCTCCCTGGCTTGTGTCTAAGTGCCACAACTGTCACCCGTGACCGAGTACTGCATCCATCCTGGGAGGGAGCAGACTGGCAGAACGTGTACATCCGATGCCTGTGGGACAACACAAAGTATCATGAAGAGGTAGGTTACCCTTTTTTTTATTTACTTTAGCTGTTTATATCGTCCTGTAGATCACAAAGAAATAAACTAGATTTTAGCCACCAATATTGCTCCTTAGAAATATTTCCACACCATAAAACACACCAAGAGACATAGTGACCTACCCGGTCACTTGAGTTTATGATGAAGAAGCTGTGTTTATATGGTGAGACCTGCTGGATAAAACAATCTGGTGTTTGCTTGTTAGTTTATTGTGAATCACAGCTTTAAAGATCACATATACACAAGAGTATACTGTCCATGACTTCGTTAGTGTCACTCACGCATTCGCAGATAGAATTTTTTTTTTTCTCTAATGGCTTAGTTTAACAATAGATTTACTGTATATATGATCTCACAATGAATGTAGATGAACAGTTACACTGGTTTACGAACCTTAACTCTTCAGTGATCCTTGCTTCTCTCTTACTTCTACAAACAAAGACTGTCAGATCACTCTAGTTATTTTTTCACTTGACAAGATTTTCATATTTACCTTATTAATTATCCCATAAACCCAGATGTATGGCCTCAACACATGACTTTGACTTAAATGTGTTACAGTTGGGTCAGCCAATGTACCTCCAGTGGCAGCAGGACAAGAGACCGTCCCCATTAGTGTCGGCATTGGTCAAGGAGCGCACCAAAGTACCCAGGGAGTAAGTGGCTACCTTTCACTTCATACAACTGTGCCATCATAGGACAGGAGTATAAGAATCCATATATAAAAAATGGACAGCATCCAGAACTTGTACTTTTTTCTTGAGGTTTTAAATGTTTGCTTACTTTGAATAAATTTCTTGCTCATACCATTAAGGATACATTGTAATGTTGACATGGCATGCTTAGTCAACACCTCTTAGATACTTATTACAGTGTATATCTATTAGCTGACTGAGTGAGTAAGTTGTCTCTGGCTGCTGTCCATGCACTGGCTAATTTTTCATATTAGAATATAGTTCCTTATATAAATGTTCACTTGCTCCAAAAAGATCTTCACGGAGGGTCAGATGAATTTCAAAATGAACACCGAGACTGTTGTCTTGGTAGGGTTGTCAAAATCCTTCGTCTATGGTGACATATTGTCTCGCACAAAATCGTAAAGATACTTTTTGGAGAGAGATATATTGTACCAGGTAAAGCTATCACTTTACTTGAAAAGCAGTTTCCTTAGTCTTATAAATGTGGCACAGCAACATACTCATCACTTATAATAGTAAAAAGTATATTTCTCTTTGCCATCTATTTAATGTGATGTAGAAGTAGTAAGCCATGTTCTTTTCTCCCTGTGTAAGTCTCTGTTTTATGTTCCTTTAGTGTGATGCAGAGTGCGCTAACAGCTATGCACATGGATGATCTGACCACGGCCATGACCCTTGTGCTGCGGGAACTGCGTAAAAGGCCTTCCACGTTAAAGAAGAATCACTTTCCTATATACAGAGACCTCCTCTTCCTTGCATCCTCCTGTATCCCGCCTGCCCAGCTCAATCTCAGTAAGTTGTTATGTTGTTTTGTCGTAAGGCAGTTTTCTCTCAAGATAAGAGACAGTTTTTGTTGTACAATTTGATTATGTTTGGGTAAGAATATTAAAGCTTTTTCAGACATACATCAAAAAGTACATTAATTCTACCATCAGGGACTAATAATGGTCTTGAATATAAAGCTATAATTAAATTTTTACGTGTTTACAGCATCATTTGACCGTGAGTACCGCCGTGCATACGAGCGTAACGAACATACCTACAATAAGCTGTTGTCACGCTCGGACACACCTCCTCCCATTGCTGCCGTCTTCTGCCGCCGTTACTTCAGTCAGCTCAGCCTGTGATACCCGACTCATTGACTTCCACCCGGGACCTGCATCACACTCAGGACCTGCCAGTGGGACATGAGATCCCAAATAAGGAAAACAGGGCTCTCAGTGAAGACCTGTACCGTCACCGTCATACAGATCCCGTCGCTAGTATTTGGGACCTGTAGTTGGCACCTGTAACTTGAAAGGCGACTTACAAATACGCTGTTGACTCTTTGAGGTTTAAGGTAAAATTTATTATAATATGAATGTTTCCCGTCCCCACCCCAAAAAAAAAAAAATATGTGTTATGTAGAATACCTTGAAGGGTTTGGGTTTTTTGTGATAAATCTGAAGTTAATTCTTGCTACTCCTTTTAAGTGATGGGGACATATAACTAATTCTCACAGGAGAAACTGTTAATTTTATGACTGTGAGGATATAAACATGGCCTTTAAATGCACATTTTTTCTCTCCAAGGAATGGCTTTATTATTTGGTATAAATTGTAGCTGTTTGCCTGAATGTTGTCCTAATAGTGTTCTAAGGGTTACAATGATCGGTTTGTACAGTATTTTGCAAGATGGAAAATGTTAGTCATCCCGGTGTGTGTTTTTTTAATAACAAATGGGGAGGTGGAGCTGGGGACAAATGTTATAGATACAGTATGTGTAAATAAAAGGATGCTGTTCGTTTTTTATTTTTATTATTTTTGTTTTAAAGCTTTTGAAGTTAGCTTGTTTTCTTTTATTTGCATGTATATGAGACAACACACCAGAGAAATTATTTGCATAATGCTGACCAATGGTGATGACAGATGAAGCCCCAAGTACAGTCAGTTGTGTGTCTCTGGAAATGGTCCTGTAAACTCGGTAAAACAACAGATAAACTTACCTTTATCTCTACAACATAAGACTTGAGAACTTGAGATGGTAATGAGTCTTAGGTTACTGAGTGATGAGAGGTGACAATATTTTCACAGCGGTTATACTCTACGTATTTTACTGTGAGAAGCAGAGCTAACAAAACAAAAAGACAAATAAATGTGTGTTTTCCTTGTAATATTCAATTGTTCATCTCTAATGTAGGTTATAAATTGCCATGTACTTTCCTTGTGTTCTGTTTCTTCACCATACTTGGTTATAGACCCTTGAAGACTAATATGTTTATATATTTTGTCATGTAAGGAATGTTTAACTCTGACTTTCAATGGATAAATAATTTTGGCAATTTTACTACTTATAGAAATGCCCTTAAAAGAGCATTACAATATGGTGTGCCTTAGTTACATGGTTGAAGGCACTTGGTTTGTGTGTGTGTGTGTGTTCCATGCTTATATTGCCATTGCTGGCCTTCATGTTCAGTTTATTCCACAGACTATAGTAAGCTATACGATTAAAATAACGTTATGTCTCCAGTAATAGAAGGGACTGACAAGTGCCCACACACATCAGCCCTAGTGAGGTGAGCTACTTAAGAGCAGAAATACTGTAATGTTTTGTTTTGTGTTGTAATACTGTACAAGCTTATATATTTTTTATGAGATTCTTGCCAATATTTTATGAATACATTTTTGTCACTTCTCTCCCAAGTAAACAGAGGCAGCTTTTGGGTGCAGGTGAATATAAACCTCTTGTAAGTTTCTTGTGAGTTTTACAAGAATTACAGTAATGTCCGTTGTGCCCGTCTTGGTCTTCTCTTGGATGGATGGACACCCACCAAGGGAGGACAATTGGTTTAGTTAGTTAAGGGCTTTTGACATGACAGAGTGACCAGCTTGGTGTACTCAATCGATGGTACAGTAATACCCCTCCAACCCTATCTGGCTGAGGGCTCTGACTATTTTCATGAATTAGGATTTCAGAGCAGTACCAGTTGTGACTCACTAAATTGATTTTAGGGTAATGAGAATATTGTATAATGTAAGGGACCCCTCCCCAAATAAGTCAGGGAGACTATTTAAGGTCCAACCTCTTTATATCATCAGTGCTTAGTTGCTAAGGGTCTACCCTCAAATATCCTCGGCTCTCAATACCACAGTTTGGCCACGTATCGGATAAAAATCTTAATTCATATACAGTACAATATTTGGCGATTTTTAAAACCACCTTTTTTCATACTTAATTTATCCCGTCACTAGGATGTAATATGTTGCTGAGCGCTGAACACGAATTTTCCATTGGGTAGACCTTTTAGTTTTAAACACGGCTTTTATTAAAGAGGAGACCAGACAGATGCGCTATACGATGTGCAATTGTTTATTATCATACTCAAAGAGGTGAACCACATCATAGTGTGTGTGTGTGTGTGTGTGTGTGTGTGTGTGGTTATCACAAGTTATTGCCTGGCCAAAACCATAGATTACCTTTCTGTGGTTTTACTTGTCGTGTATAAAGATATCAGCCTGTGATCTTGCTTAGACTTCTTATTTTCTGTTATCTTAATGTTTTGATTCTCATCTGTTACTTGCATAGGAATTTTATGATCACATATTTAGTTGACTTCCACTACCCTAATAGCATATAAGACTTTTTTTTTTTAAGTCTTTCAGAATATGTTCAACTCTGCCCAAGGTTTATGTCCATGCCTTTATTGAATTTATGAAATAATTGGTAGATTGAGGCACTAGTTCTTGATTAAAATTTATGTTAAACAGAACCTTGTCCCACGACCCCAGTAACTTGAGTCATGAATATCCATTATGTTACTTTTTAATGTGTGTTCATGCTATTCCATATACAGTGTAAGGAAAATGAAATGAAGCTTTAAATTGTTTCCTGAAGGGGATGATGACCTTGTAGGAGTCATACTGTTTTTGAGACAGAGTAGCATGAAGTACAGAAACACTAGCTGTTGATCTTAGTGGATAATGGTGATTCATGTGAGCCAGGTCCTGGACAAGTAAAGTGCAGATATATTGTGAAAATAATATTCATGCAAGAAATGAAATCTGCATGACTAAGTTCTGTGTTACTGACAACCATTTCTCTTGTCTGTCACATGCATGCCTCAATATGTGTGTGTGCAAATGTGTGTGTGTATGTGTGTGTGTCAGTTTGTGCTTGTGTGCATGCAGCTTGAACTGGTGAGAAGTGTGTGGTAAGAAAAATAATAGATGGCCACTTTTCATGGGGTGCATAACTCTCAGTTGTCATGTGTTATAAACCTCGTCTTGTTACTACACACTTGATTGTTTCCTTTGAAGACTTGTGGGCGATACGAGGCATTTTCACTCTTACGTTGTTTAAAGTCCATACATAAATAAGATATGTGCAACATCATTGGTTGAAAGTAGATTCTAAGATTCATTACTAATGTGAGTGTAAGATAGAAGTCATTTTGTCATAATACATACCGTAATGTCCTTTTCATTTATTTGATAATCAGCAGTTGGAAGGGGCAGCAACATAACAAGATAGTTCATGAAATTTTTATTATTTATTTCCTACTCATCTTCCTAACATGCTAGATCATACTGCAGAGGAGTTAGGTTGTGTGGTTATTCAGATGATGGAGTGACTTGTCAGATCAATACTGTGGTGAAATGAGTTACGTCTTCAAGCAATAGTCAGATAAAACCTGGGAAGACTCGGCTAGCTCCTTAGGTGATGAATTCTGCAGATTATAGCGTAATGAACAACATTGTTTGAACCATAAAAGAGAGTTTGAGTCTTCAGTGTATGAGCATTGACTTTTGCAACACAATATAGACTAGTCAAAAGCTTCACAGGTTTCATGTACAGTATAATGTTATAAATTCACAATGGTACTGAAAACAGATTATGTGTATGAAATTAGGTTTGGTGTGAAGTTTCGTATGTTTGGTGAAGTTCATAAATTTGTTTTATGTAATTAGGTTACTTTATCAGGGATGGGTATTATCATAAGTAGTATATCACATGATTGTATACTTTTGTCTTTATTAATTAGGGACTCGTTTATTTGCACAAAAACATTGTATATATAAATTAAATTAAAGAAGAACTACATTAATAGTGATGTGAATCATGAGGACTGCATGGTGACAGAATGTTTGGGTAACATAACATTTTGGTGGTAAAAGACTTCAAGATATATTAGTTGTCTCTCTTCCATGGTCAACATTCCTGATCTGTGTATACATGTTAACTGTAATACCACTACCGCTGTGCTCTGTGGTGGGTGCTGCAGCAAATGTTGTAGTTACTGCTCTACACTTTTCATCTGTCTCCTAGCTCATTTATCCAAGTGTTTATGCTGTATTTTGTGTGTGTCCATCTCGTGTTGTCCTTTGAGATAAGTCAAGAAGAAAATGTTGCAGTTTACACGGTCACCAGTCATCCATGGGCTTATACTGTGATATATTCTGCACATTTTACGTCCAACTCATTTATTTGTAAAGGAAACTGTATTGTTTGTTGCTCATGTAATACAAGGAACTCTGTGTGAAGATAAACACTAAGCTGGAGCAATGTTGTGCAAACATGACTTCCAACTTTTAAATTTGTATTTCAATATTGTTATCTTATAGAAACAATCTTCCTTATGACTGAACTTTCAACCATGGGACAGGTAATGTAAAATGAAAGCTTTCTGATGAGTAGCTCTTATGTACTGTAGTTTAACTAAGTTTGTTTCTTTGTTCTCATTTTATAATAACTCTTAATATCCCTTTTAGAAATGAACTCTTGAGATGTTCTAAGTTGATTAATGATCTGAAACTGGTACGGGGCCGGACTTACCAAAATAACTGTATTATGCGATGGCTTTGAAATGAATTAATTGTTTGAAACTTGTCTAAGCTAGAATAAGGAAACAAATTGGGTGCTGTGTAGTGTATATGTTGTGTTGATATTTGGATTGCAGACCATAACAGCTGATAGTCATGCAGATGAAAGTGATGGTCATGCTCAATTGTTTATTATTGAATTTGCTTCTCATTATGCTGTTGAATTGAGACATTTTATATGGGAAATCTATTTGCTGTACATATTAATAAAAAGGCGTTGAGAAAGGTATTAGTGTTCCCGTGTATTACTGATCCCACATCCGGTATACTGAAAAAGGAAATTCAGGAAGTCAAAATTAACAAAGCAGAGAATACCGGGTAGTATATGTTTATTGTTCCCCACGATATAATTTGCTATGTATGAAGGTAGTAGGCAGCTACCAAACAGGCAGATATTGGAAGCATAATGTGTTATCTGATGGTTGATCCTGGTGCTATATGGGCAAGGGAGTGAGGTGGATATTGTGTTTACATTGGTTCAGGGAAGAGCACAACATAGTCTGGGTGGAGTGGTGTTTGAGGCGTGGAAATCTAGTTATGGTGTGTTCAACATGTTTGGCTGGAGGAGGTTGCCAAGTTATCTCAGTGTTTTTGGATGGCTGTGTTGGGAGATGATTTGATATGATTGTGTGATATGTTGTGCTGTGGTAAGTTGTTTGTCTTTGGGGAAGTGATAGTTCTAGGTTTATTGGGTGCATGGACAAGAGAGTCATTTGGGACTCTTGAGAGGTTTGAATTTGGACATCAATGAGCAAGTTGGGTATTTCTGATATAAATATCACTTTACTCTATCCATGAAACTGTAATGAAAGTATTTGTATTGATTTCAATGGAATTCATTCCAATTACAACTGGAGTGGAGAATGTGACATTAAACAATATCAACACTACATTTTAAACACAAGTAAAAAAAAAAATTGCTGGATCTGTACACTACCTGTAATTGTAAGCGCTTGTACGTAAACCAAACAAAAGGAGTACAGTACTGTAAATTGTATGAAGATATTATAAGGCATGAGCTGATGACAGCTAGTTTACTGATGAATCAATGATATGTTGAAAAAGAAACAGATACTGTAATTATCTACAAACCTAATGAAAGATAACTACATGGACACAATGCTTGGTAAATACTGGGGGTGGGGGGGGGGGGAGTAGGAAAAAGCTTCTCAAAAGTGTTCTTTGGGGGGTAGTGAAAACCCACATATACCTCATCGCCCTTTAAAAAGAATTGCACAATACTGGGACTGTACAATTGCCTGATTTGCCCTCCCCTAAAAGATCCCAAACGATCATGTTTGGCCTGAAAGTCAGAATATATAACTGTATATGTAAGCTGTTTACTAAGATCAGTTAGGCCTCAGTGATAATAGCTAAGATATAAACTGGGTTTAATTTGTGAACTTCCTTCCTGGAAACTAGTTGTGGATAGCTGTTTAAAAATCACAGGAAATTTTAAAAGCTCGCCCTTCAATCCCTTACATCCACGTTAAGTCGAATACAAAAATAACCGAGATCTTTTCTTTTCTAAACATTTACGCTGTTGACCGAAAATACACAATTTCATACGTACTGAACCACATCGATTTACTTATAAGAAGTAGTAGTAAGATTGTAGTGGATTTCTCCCCTACAAACGCTGTTTGTCGCTGCGTAGCTGACCCCGCAAATTCCCCAGTGTATGCCTCGTGGTCTGGGTCAACCAGCTCCGCCATACATCACGGAGGTCAACTACTAAGCCACGCCTATCACCCGCTATTTAAGACCTGACCTCGTGGTGATCGCTCCTTTTCTACCTACACCAAACAGCAAGCAACACCTCCTCCTCCTCCACCTGCCTGGCGGTCCTCGCTCCTGCCGGCGAGCATGGCGACCCACAAGCTGGTCCTCCTCTGAGCACCCTCACCAACCAGCTCTCTCTACCCAACGCTTGCAACAAACCCATACCTCCACAAATGATGACCCCCTGGAGATTCGCACTCACACAGGATGGAGGAGAAACTGATCACTCTCCCAGTCTTCAAGCAACATGGAAGACTGGCTTATCCACCCAGAAGCAGCTCTCATCGGCTCTACAGCTACTGTCTCTAAACCGCAGGTTAGACACCCTAGAGCAGCTCTGCGACTCTAAGCAGACAGCCGTTCCTCTTCCTGCCCCAAGCACCACGTCCTACCAACCCCAGCACACCCGTCCTGCCTCAGACGCCGCCCCCGGCCCAGCAGTACCCCCTGCCGCTCCTGATGCAGCCCCTGCTCCCGATGCGGCCCATGCGCCTGAGTGCGGACCCACACACCCCTCTTTTCTCCCTCAGGTACTCCCTGCTAATGTCCTGCACCCTGCTGCTGTCGTGGACCCAGCTGCTGTCACGAGCCCTCATCCGCTTCTGCTGATGCAGCCCCTGCTCCTGACCCAGGCCCACACACCCCAGCAGGCGCATCTGACGACTCTGTACCTGCCGTGAGGGAAGCACAACATTCATCGCCATCACACACCTTTTTCTCCCTCTCTACTCCCACAGATATTGTGTATCTAGACAGTTGTCTCTAGCGACCGGCTCATCCACGCCATCGCCGTTGTCTCACGTGAGGCATGCACCGCCCGTTCTGCCTCACATGTGCCATGCAACCCTGCAGACAACAAGTCTCCTACACCGCCTGGAGGGAAGGAGGGAGTATTGTAGTGGATTTCTCCCCTACAAACGCTGTTTGTCGCTGAGTAGCCGACCCCGTGAATTCCCCAGTGTATGCCTCGTGGTCTGGGTCAACCAGCGCCGCCATACATCACGGAGGTCAACTACTAAGCCACGCCTACCCCCCGCTATTTAAGACCTGACCTCGTGGTGATCTCTTTCTTTTCTACCTATACCAACCAGCCAGCAACACCACCACCTCCGCTGCCTGGCGGTCCTCGCTCCCGCCGGCGAGCATGGCGACCCACAAGCTGTCCTCCTCTGAGCACCCTCACCAACCAGCTCTCTCTACATCACGCTTGTAACCATGCTGCCTTCCCAGCACCAAGCTACATTGTACATCCAATACAACATGTATACAGAGAGCACATTGTGAGTTTCCTTTCTCCAACCCATCCTGAGAGAGAACAAACAACCATACCCCACAATACTACTGTATATACGTTTCCTGACCTAACTTGACCCAACCTATTAACGGACAATTAATGAAGATAATCCAATCTAACCATGTAAAATTAATCTTAAAGTAAGCTAAGTTGTAGTGGCATATCTCTTATATATCCGAAGTATGTCCAGCTTTGTTTTAGATAGACACACACACACACACACTATCTCCTTCACATCCGTTAGAGTGGCAGCTGGCGCTTTTCCTTTTTCCAGATGCTACAACTGAAGATCGTGACTATTGTCTTGTCTGCAATACTATATCACCAGTACTCGAGATAATGATGATGTTTATTTTTTGTAGAGTAACATCTAAGTCAAAGTTTATCACTAAGAAGACACATTTGTCGCTAATGGCTAGACGTCTCCTCATCTACTCCCAATCAGATTTTTCAGAACAAGCTCCATCGCCACAACACTGTACATATGTGGTGGATGCTGTCACGAGGTCCTCTATAAGAGACGTGTCGTTGTTCACACTGGGATAAGTCCTTCTCGTCACCGGATGACGGACTCAACTGTGACGTTCATCCACGATAAATGCTTCTTTACAAACCATAAAGGTTTATCCTTAGCTGTTTCTATAAAGTATTCTAGCCTTAGCGTACAGGCGGTGTAACATCTTTATGCACCGGAAACTATTATTGCTCAACCAGTACGAGCTTGTGTGTGAAGCCTTTATTTCTGTTTTATTATTATGACTGACATGTTTACCCTTCCCTGGCTTTATTCAAAAGGTTCTTCCTGTGATCAGCTGGTGTGAGCCTAAAAGTGCCGAGGTGGTATGGTAGCCGGTCAGATAAAGAAACACTCTTTCAGTGGTAGAAACATCCGGTCCACCAGCTTGAAAAAGGGGGACTTGTCACTCGGCTGCCAAATAAAGCTTAATAAAACGCCAGCGGCCAGAGCGCTGGAGACAGAGAGCGAGTGAGGATTGTACAGAAACAAGACTCCAGAAATTGATACAACAAACAGATTTCAAAAAAAGTTATCACTCTACACCAGACAGAATATAAAGAGATAACTGCTGTATAATTATCGACGCCAATATCCTCGTCCCAATTAATTTCGATAACACTGACTAAAATTTTGATACCTGCAGATTACTGTACATACATCCAGCTGGTGTAGAGTTACTATTATTAGTGAGTGTTAAAACAGGTGGTCATCTAGTAAGAAAATGATAAATAGATGCGTTTTAATACACAAGGTGGTTATTTAATGCTGTGATTACGGGAATTTAAAGGCGTTTACGGCTAATTACTAGGCTATGGTGGGTAAGTACCGTATTAATTAATATTCCCAAGTAATGTTTGAGTACAAGGTTATTACGCCATATCAAGTCAGAGTACAAAGTTAACATTGCACTCAGGTTTGTCTTCGTGCTCAAGGGGTTCGTAACCTTGCAATAACCTTGTATAATAAAACCGTACTAACTTCTTGGCATACCAAAATCTGAACTTGATCTTCTCTTGTAGCATAATACTGTACGTTAATCCAGACATGTGAATCTTACAATGGAGAATTAGCTTACAAATATATAACTTCTTGAGCTACAAATATAACAACCTAAATAGACAGGCAAGGGTTGAACTTACTTGGGGTCATAGCTTAAGAATGAAGAAGTCACAAGTTCAGAAAATTGTCAGGGCAAACAATTTTCGGAGTGATATTTGTGAACTCTGGGAACAATCTGCCAGTGTTGTGACGGCACCAAGTGTGAGTTCATACAAGAATAGACTTAACCAACACTGGCATAGATATATATGCATTCTGGAGGGAGTACATGTTCAGTACTTGCCAACTGTGCGTAATAGAGACGTGACCGACCGCCAAAGCGGCTAACAGACCGATCAGTGGCGAAGAGGATAAAGTAACGATAACTATGAGTATGGTTAGGTTAATTTAGGTTCTTATATTGATTTGGGTTAGTTTAACAGGGGAAAATTAGATCAGGTTGTTCCAGGTTATCAGAGACGACATCCTCCCCCCATAATGCTATTCCACTGACATGATTACGTCCTGTGGTGGCAGTGGGCGGCGGTGATGGGGCTGTGTGGAAGGGGACGGTGGTGGGCGTGTCGGTGGCGGTGCTGATGGTGGCGGCGGTGGTGGTGGTCATACGAAGGCTAAGGGCGAAGGCTGACAAGACCCAACTGAGCAACCAGTACCAAGTGGTCAGCAAAGGTCCTCCTGTGAGTATTGTACGGCTGTTTTGTTTTATTATTTGTTATTATTTTTATTAATGGTAGTAGTTTTTGTAATATAGTAATATTAATAATACCTGTAGTAGTGGCAGTGCTAAATGATAAGGGAAGGAAAGTTTAGCAATGAGTGTCAGCTGTATCAGCTTGTTTAGTTCTGTTATTAAGTAATTGCAAAAGGCATCAAGCTTATCCGGGCAACTAGGGAATTTACAAAAAAAAAAAAAACCAGCAGAAAATAATGCTTGTGAAAAATAAAGTATAAATTAAATAGAGTATTACAGAATCTACCTTTTATGGGGTAAAGACATAATAAAAGAAACTAATTTACTTTTATTGTTTATTTGTTTTAATTTTATCTTTTCAATTCATTCATTTATTCAGTCACTAATTTATCGACTCTTGTATGTATTAGGCCTATTATTCTTTATTTTATTTAATCCCTTATTTTTTCCACTGTAGCTGTCTTTTCTAAAGATGTAATTCCTTACAGTTGTTCGAGAGTCAACAACCGGTGTTAGTGAGGGCACAGGTGGGCTCCCAGCCATGTGGGTTGGGCGTGGAGAGCGCGGGTAGTGGTGGTGGGTGTGCGGTGTTGGACGCGGAACAGGAAACTCACCAGAACGGCAAGCTGGCAGTCTTCAACCCGATGTGGAGGGCAAAGTCTGCCGACTGTCTCCTGAACCAGCAGGTGTGTTGTTTTGAACATGTTTGCGGGAATATAAACGGCCTTGAATTACAATAATGACCTTACCATGAAGCTTCCATTATTGTTCAGTGGCTGGGTTATCTCATCGCCTTCATTATTGATACTCCCACAGGATCGTGACTTTTCTGTTAATATTCTATAATGCAGAACATTTGGTTATCAGAATTTATATACTGTATGTACACGGTCTAACAATCAAGTCCCGACCGTGGAATGATTTTTGTGTACTATATCCTGAAACTTCCAACTTGTGAATGTGAGGCTGTGTAAGCGTTCAGATTATCAGTTTTGTCCATTGATGTTTTTCACATGAGGGTCAGACAACACCTCTAGATCGGCGGGTCCTTTTGTGGTTGAGTGAGTCTGTAAAATGCGTTCTCTTATCCCTTAGATATGGGGAAAACTTTACTTTAATCTTTGAGAGTTATTATGAGTCGATGTAAGAATTAAAATTCACTCTGTACTGTATAATTATATAAGTTCAAGATAAGATGAAAGTGCATCTCACGTTGCCATCGCATTTTCCTGTCACTTTCCATACTACAGCATCTCTGCTTTCACGGGTTTTATCTAGTGATACTCAAGTGTGTGTGTGTGGACACAAGGGTTTTTGCTTAATTGGTTGGCATCCTAATTGGCTGGACATCCTAAGTAATTTTTGACAGTTATTTAAAGTTATACACCTGCACAGTGCAGCTCATTAACACTTTAATTAGTGTCGCACTTAGGTATTTTGTTCTGTTGCGTTAGTGATAGCTCGGGTTGCTTCATACATATTCGTAAACTTTCTGTACCGTAACTTTGGCCCTAAGTCCGTCAGAGAGAATAACTTCTACTCAAATTATTTCCCATGACCATTTTCTTCACCCATTTATTCTCTATTACACCTTATTAATATCCCATCTCCCTTTTTCTTGACTTACTTGTTCATTCGTCCATTTTTGTTTGTTTGTGTACAGGGTGAGGGTAAAAGTGACACCCTGTCTCTCACTAGGACCCGTAATTCTCGCTCCGCCTCCATCAATTCTCTGGACACATTACCTGGTGATGTGGAGACCTTACCTGACACACGTCGGAGCTTCACCCTCAAGGTAACTTCCCATTCAAGGTAATTCGCCCTCAAGGTAACTTCCCATTCAAGATCAATTATACTACAAGGTAATACATCTTCATATTAACTATTAAGGTAACCCGTGTTTATGATTACGTGTCTGCAAGATAATTATTTTTTACTGTTCGGTAAATTATCCTCCTATTTTAATGATCCCCTCTCTGCTTAGTGGTGTTGGATAGAGTTACTCTGGACAACACGCTTCTCATGTGTTCTGGGCTTGAAAATTGAACATACTGTAGCTATGATAGGCACCTCCTCCCAAATTTAGTTAGATTATATTTTGGTTTTTTGCTATAATTATTTTATTTATTTAGTATTTACATTTTTTTTGGCGTTGCCTAAAAAAATAAGTTGTACCGTATTCTAACACCGACCTTGTTCGTTTGTCAGCGTGGACCGTTTGTGGAGTTCACAGTACAGTGGGCCAGCAGCACTAGCAGCATCAGTGTATACGTGGTACGAATAACTAGTCTGCCACCTAAGTACCGCAAGTGTAGCTGTACCCTCACCGTCACCCTCACCAGAGAGAATCACGTCGGGATCACCAGGGTGTCACCAAGACTCAGGAACTCCACACTCAACCCTGAATGCAATTACGTCTTCTCTTTTCCTGGTTGGTGCGGGTGTGTGTGTGGGGGGTGTAATGTGTGTGTGGGGGGTGTAATGTGTGTGTGTGGGGGATGTGTGTGTGTGTGTGTGTGTGTGTGTGTGTGTGTGTTTTATAATAATAATAATAATTAACGGTTTATTGAAAAAGTCGGCAGCCCGAAGGCTGAAAATATACATTGGACAAAAATGACTTATTACATACAAAGACCTGGGGTGGGTGGGTCGTTTAACAAAAGCTTTCATTACCGAAAGAAGAAGGAACATGAATTGAATATACAAATTATTATAGTTTACAGTTGATGGCTCGGGCCTGGGCTGGTCATGGAGACTCCAGGTGGTGTGGTGTTCACTCGTCCTCGGGTGCTGATAGGAAGGACCTCACGTGGTCATGGGGACACCGAGTGGTGTTACAGTACCCCACCCTACTGGGTGGTGTTGTGTTATTTCGTAGTCAGGTGTGAAGCCGACCCACTGTTGTTCTCAGGGTGGACTGATTAGCACCTCCTTGTCAGAAGACGGCGGTCAGTTTGTGGCTACAAGTTCCCAGGGGTGCTTGTCTCACTGGTAGGTCACGGCTCTCACTGGTACTGTCCAGTGCTGAATTCACTGGGTTAAACATTGTTCAACACTGGTCCCACTTCTTTCCGAAACGAAATTGTCACTTTTGATTATGTTGATAGCCCGGTGGTGAGGATGGGTCGGGGAGAGGGACTTGGGGAATGGGCCGAACATTCGCCAAGGGGAGCCGCTGCTTACAGGAGCAGCGCCTGAATAGGTCTTGACCCTCCGGTGGTCAGGGATGTGTGTGTGGGGTGTAATGTGTTTGTGTGTGTTAATCATGTTGTTACGTATCTTATCGTTATTTATTCTCGTCTCTATTCAAGTACAATATTTTTTATAGTTCTTTTATTTCCATTGTGCTTTTTTGTTCTTAATCAGATGCTTTGATTTTTTTTAAACTTTCATCAGAGTATAGTAACCCCTTGAACCACCCCCTAGCTTAACCTAATCTAAATAAAACGTAATCTAACCTAAAGTAACCTATTCTAATATAACCTAGCACCACCCTTCAGGTAGTATGAGGGTGTTTAATTATCAGGTGAAATAAAGGGTTGAGGAGTTAATCTTCAGTTGAACTAAAAAATAACTTAGGTAGTCGACTGATTCTTGCTTCACATACCCCAGAAGTGTCCCTCGAACACCTGCGTCAGAGTGTCCTGTTGTTCGGGCTTCAGATCAGGCGTAGTAAACACCTGCTTAATAAACAAGTTGCAGACCTTCGCTACAGCCTGAGTGAAGCCCAGCTTGAGCCTGACACCCCACGTACAGCTACTGAACCTTTCGTCCTCAAGAAGAAGGTGAAAGATTGCACCCTGAAGCCTTGTTTATCCTTAGAACTATGTAGATAAATAGAGAGATGTTTTAACTGTTGAATAAATTGATTTACAGATTGATAGAACCATAAACAGATGTATAGAGGGATGGATAATGAGATTGATGATGAATACAGGTATACGTAAGAGTGGATAGAGTGGTAGATAGGTACGGACATAATAAGACATATTTTTTGATGTACAGGAGACAACAAGCCCGTGGGCGAGTGTTGCTGGTGGTTCTGAGGGAGGTGGGGGAGAAGGAGCGTGGGGGCAGGTACAGGTGGTCACTCAGTACAAGGTGACCGGCACTATGCAAGCAAGAATCAAAGTGGTGGTGGTACGCGCCCACAGTGTCCTCATCTCGAAGGTGAGTTTTATCAGTTTACTCGGCCCCTTATAGCTTACCCAACAAAGCTGACAAGAGAAACTGCATTATTATAGCACTGGGTCAAGAGTTCAGATTATCAAGGCCCCATACAAGAATACGCTTGATTGGTCTACCTCAAAACAATTTCCAAAACTAACGCCAAAGCAACACATAAATCGTCTTCATTAGATGTATCCATTAGACACTCAGAGCGAAAACAGACAACGAAACTATTTACAAATATTCTGTATATAAATTTTGTCTCCAATACTCGGTACGATTATTTAACCCTTTGAGTGTGATGACTTAATGCCTTGAGTACGATGATTTATACCTTAGAGTACATTCAGCTTTCATGAGGTTAAACTAGTACAAATTATGATATATTCTCTCCCATTCCCTCTGTCTTTCTCTCATGCTCTTTCCCTCATACACTGTTTCTTTCATCCTCATTATCTCTCTCATATTCTCTTTCCCTCATACACCCCGTCTTTCCATTTGTTTATAGGGTGGCGGGGGAGACTATAGGATGGAGATGGTAGTGAAGCGCGGGGAGGAGACTCTCGTGGTGCATCAGACCAAGGCCGTACCAGGACCTAACCCAGTCTGGAACACCCCTTTTATATTTGACGTCGCCCAGGATAAGGTGAAGAACACGTTTTGTATCTGGTGTGAGGTTACTGTATCTGTAATGACGGTAGTAGTAGTAGTAGTAGTATGAGGTTAGCTGTGATGGTGGTAGCAGTGGTAGTAGCATGAGGATATTTGTGATGGTGGTAGTAGTGGCAGTAACAGTATGAGGATATCTGTGATGGTGGTAGTAGTAGTATGAGGTTAGCTGTGACGGACATGATAAAAGAAGTACTGTACTGCATTGAACTTGTATTCCAGTGAAGATTTTTATTATTTGGTTTTTAGCTCTCGAGTATCTCCCCTGTGCTGCCATTATAAACAGCCTTTATTCTGCAGGTCAAGGAGCATTGGATCGAGATGAAGCTCATGCGGTTTGGCATGATGAAGAAGACGAATATTTTAGGCCACATGTTCCTTGGGTTGGATACTACACCCACAGGCTCCCAGCAGTGGCAGGATATTATAGACTCGATGGACAAGGAGGTGACTACTTGGCACCCCATCATTCTTCATGACTGAGGCCATATGGCATTGGAGGTGGTTCCCAGGAGGACAAGCGAGGCGTGTTTACGAGTTAATGACACGTTAGACATTATGTAACCTAATGACCATGTTCAGTACAGTTGGTTACTTGGCGCCACCTGTAGTTCCAGATTGATTAAGAAAGCCAAGGTTTTGTATTCATTCAAGATTATAGAGGCAGTAGTATAGGTTAATAGTACCACTTTTAGAACTACTGCAGTTTATTGATGTAACTTTAGCTGAAGTAACTGTAGTTTATTGATGTAACTTTAGCTGATGTAACTGGTTTATTGATGTAACTTTAGCTGAAGTAACTGTAGTTTTTTATGTAACTAGCTGAAGTAACTGTAGTTTATTGATGTAACTTTAGCTGAAGTAACTGTAGTTTTTTATGTAACTTTAGCTGAAGTAACTGTAGTTTATTTATGTAACTTTAGCTGAAGTATGTGTAGTTTATTGATGTAACTTTAGCTTAAGTAACTGTAATTAATTGATGTAACTTTAGTTGAAGTAACTGTAGTTTATTGATGTAACTGTAGCTTAAGTAACTGTAATTTATTGATGTAACTTTAGTTGAAGTAACTGTAGTTTATTGATGTATCTTTAGCTGGAGTTTGATGAATGGTAAAGAGACCAAAATACTGAAGAGGTTATCAGTGACAGCTAAACTTAAGTAATACTACATTACTGTAATTATAACACTGAAATCCCACCATAGAAGATAAATCACAGAAAAAAGTATAGCACTGTATGATCCTCTTCACTCTGCTGGAGGGCCGTGGGTTATTGTAAAAATATACTGCTATAGTTTTTCTGTCTCATCTCACACAGTGGGATCTGGTGTTCATGATTTATGTGGTCTTACATACCTTCTTCAGTTAATGACATTAGTTTAACTGAAGTATTATGTGGTTTATGTGTACCTGAAGTTTATGGTTTTGGTTTAAGTTGTAAAGTATAGCTGTTAGTTACGGTCATAAGGGAGTGTACTATTAACGCAGCTGTACTTTGAAGTTTTATTACCAGAATCTTTGATACTCACAGTACTGTAATATATTAGCTGCACTTGAAGGTTAGTTATGTAGATAAAACAGACTTAAGTAGAAGTAAAATGCATATGGTTCTTTTGCTGACACAATGTAATTTTTGTTCAATTGGTAGAAAAGAAGCACAGAGAGAGAGAGAGAGAGAGAGAGTACTCTGATGCTGGAAATACAGATGTAATAGCAGAGTACTGCACTGTATATATGTTGTCTAAGAACCATCACTAGCTGTATAAACTTACTGCTGCACTTTATCAATGAGAAATATTGTTATAACCAAACTTGAATGAAGGTTACAGGGTGTCCTGGTTGCCATCAAGCAAGTTTTACAGCTGGATATTCTTCTGATTGCCAAACCACTTTTACAGAGTGGAAACTGGGTATATTACATAGGACTTCCAAGTGGCCACTTTGGTGGCAAGGTTGAGGTGCAACTCCCCGAGGTAATCAAATTTGCCCTTTTACCACTGATAACTCGACTGTTATGACCAAGGACTAATGACCTTGGTTCGAGCAGCATTCATAAGCTATAAGCTATTGTGGATATTCTTAAGTGTTGAGGGAATTTTAGCTACAGCCAAACCTCGAGTCCCAAAATTGGTGATTCAGTTGTGAGATGAAAGGCACAGTGTAAACATAACACTTTAAATAGACATATCATGTTGCTGTAAACAGATAATGGAACCCCCGTAACTCAAGTTGAACATTTTACCAGTGATCTAACTTGATATACACAGTGTATTAGTATGGAGTATTTTAAATGACATGTATGCAAAGATTCAATATGTACTGTACAGTATATTGTGTGCAAGTTGAAGATACTGTATCAGCAAATGTGTAAATACACCTTTTCACACATACGTTGAGACATTGTTATACAGTATACCTATTTGACAAATTTCATAACCGAATGACAGAACACATATCGAATGACGATCTAAATTAACTGTTGGTGGTATGTCATTCTCCAATTTTTATATTCTCAAACTATATGTAGACTGTTGGTTTATTGTTCAGGCTGTCAATTTCATAACTTATGTCAATCATTTCTGTTAGCATGAACGAACAGTTATTTTAGATTGTCATTTGATATGTGTTGTGTCATTCGGTTATGAAATTTGTCAAATAGGTATATAACAATGTCTCAACGTATGTGTGAAAAGGTGTATTGTTTAACTTGTCTTCACACACTTCATTTGTTTTCTACAATTGTTTTTCACCATTTTCCCACAATTTACCATGTATTTTTTTTTAATCCACCCATAAAAAGTGGTACTGGAGTAGAGGTGATACTGTTGATACACAGCTGACACTATGTATTATATTCTGGGGTGTATGTACTGTATACTGCATAGATTTTTATGTAGTAGACTAAGAAAACTGATAAAGGCATGGCAACAAGGATCTTGTGAAGATTAACCCTCAAACTATTTCACCTATTCTAACCTAGTGTACCTTAAACTAACCTTTCCTAGTTTAACTTAGCCTAACTCCCCCAGGTATCATTAGGCTATGTAATCATCAAGTGAAAGAAACTACACCTGCTAATCTTCATGTGATGCACCAAGCAGCTTTCTTCGTATATTTTGAAATCTACAGGAAATTTTCACTTACGAAGGTGTACATTGTTTTATTTACGTGTGCAATAACCAGAGCAGTTAATTTTCAATTGGCTGATGATTCAATGCAATGGTTCTGTTTTTTTTTTTTTTAAGTGCTTCGCAAATTTTGTGACAATAGGTCATTCCTGAAACTTGTTCGGCAACCATGCTACCCATTTTCAAGCAACTTCCAAACATTAACTGTCAGTGAATTGATCCTGCACAGGTCCCCTTGTTTGGTGCAATCTGGGAACATTAAAGGTGGGTCTGTGAAAGGTAATAGGTAGAGCCTTGGTTACATATGAAGAACTTTATACAGTTTTAATTGGGTGAGATGCTCTCATCCACCCATCTGGTAAACTACAAGAACCTGAACCATTAGCTTCTTGTAATTACGTTTATGGTCTTCCCATTAAACCATTCCCTTTTTGTTATCATAAGAGGGCAAATACAGTACGGTGTGTATAGTACTGTACACAGACACAATAACATAAAGCAATAGGATTTTGATACTATAGTTCCTCATTGCAGTATATGAAGACTTTATTCAAGCAAGAGCCATATCTACAGTCACTATTTTTAATAAGAAAGCATCAAATGATACAGTACGTACATCAAACATATACAGTATACGTATCAGATACAGTATACGTACACTTTAATTCAATAAGATAAATGCCAAGCTCTAATAGTTTGATTTACACACATTATTTTACAGCTGGTCACCCCAAAGAGAGTTTTGCCTCTTAGTTCTGGCAAGAAAAAAAAAGGCCAACAGTTCTAACACAAAATTTAGTATGGTACACAAAGCAACACTCCAAGATTCAAGTGTAAAAATTCTCGGACAAAATTTCAACAACTCGACACAGGAGAATATAAGAACACAGTATTTAGCTCAAAGTCACGGAAACCACGAGAAAGAATCGTCTTTTTACTAAATTTAAACACGGTGACAACATTGTATTAAATTTAATTTAATTTTAAAGAACCAAGGGAATAGCATTGTATTTTACCGATGTACTCTTAAGTTTTTTTGAACAAGAAATACTATACGGTACAGTACAGTGGGGTAAGCTATAACGAACGGATCCTACTACGAATATTCCTATAACGAACGGTTTTACCTATAAAATTGAGAATGCTATAACGAACGAAACTCCTACAACGAACATTATTTAAAATTTTTTTTTTTTTTTTTTTACTAATTTATTGTTTTTTTATTACAAGTATTAATGAGATTCTTTATTTCAGGGGTTTAGATGCATATTTATGCACTTTTTTACAATTTTTACAATTTTATATATTTTTCAGTGTTAAGTGGTTGTATTTGGGGGCCTGGAACGGATTAATCCTATAACGAACAAGGTTCTAGAACCAATTAGATTCGTTATAGCATACCCCACTGTATCTGTATTCTACCTACCCGACCATGCTCTTACAATACTGTACTGGACTGTACTTGTAAAACATTCTCCTTGTCCAATACAATACTGTATTGTACACTCTAAAAAAACCCTTTATATACAACCATGGGCTACAAACCCTACGATAAGATTAACTTTTTTCATTATGTTCTTTATAATTATCACTAGCCATTTGATATGTATGTATAGTTATATACTTTGCATCATACAGTGTCACATTAAACTTTGCATCATTTGGCCACCAACAATTTGTACCAAACATTAAAATATGGATTATTTGACCACCAATTAGTACAAAACATAGGAGTCACCACTTGGTAATTTCCCATTATAAAATGTATTGATCCATATAACATAACGGTTTAGATTTTTGCAAGTAACATATTTGTGGAATATTCTTGTCACAGCCAATACAGTACAGGCATCCCCCAATTTACAAAGGGCACTGTACTGAAGTGTTTTTCCTCCCCCTAGTCAGATCACTTTTTTTTCAATTGTGTGTTAAAAATTCAGACTCAAATTTCACTGACATATGAATGCTATATTACATGATAAACTGTATTTTATTTTTTATAACTTCAACAACCTGATAGGGCAATAATGGACAAAGCTACTACAATACATTCACAGATGAAATTATTAAAAATACCAGCAGTGATTCTGTTACTGGTAGTTAAGCGGCTCGCACAATCCTGTCAGCAATAACATTATGGTTTAAGAGATTGTAAATTATATACAGTATTGAGGCAGTTGCAGTATTCAGCTAACAGCTTCGGCAGTTGCAGTATTCAGCTAACAGCAAAGAAGCATGAGTGTATTATTTATAAATCAAAGTGAAACTGGAAATTCTATTAATCTTTTTTTTCAGCACAAATATTTCATTATTTTCTTTTTGACTGAGGAAAGTTTATTATCACTTTTAATATTAGCTGCAGTAGTGCAAGATATGCTAAATGTGTGAAATTTTCTCTATAATTACCTTTATTACTATCATGTCTAGTGGGTGACTTACTATAGAAACATAACTAGAGACTATAACCTGATACTGTACAGGTGTTTATCCCTATTACACACACAGCAATAATCATCATCGTTAAAGTACTGTATGTGTTTTCTTAAGGTTAAGAACAGAGGCCATATTATTTCCAAACATTATATGTTATGATCTTTATGGATACAGTTCTCTTAGTTTTTTGGAAAAAATTTTGTGGCAGATAATAGGGGAAAAAAATATCCACATACAATACAACAACTATAATTATGAAGCACCTCTTGAGACGTCACCATTTTGTGAGCATTCAGTTCTTCAGAGGCTGTAGTTCAAAATCATTCTTACTAATAGTCACGACAAACCAACCAAACTTAACGACCTTAATAAAATAATTTTGACTGCATAATTACAAGATGGAACAATTTATACTGTACATTATTTTCATAAGTTCATAATTGTCTCTTTCTCCACATTGAATCTGAATTTTACAAATCTTAAAAAACATATCCATAATGTTCTCTTAAAACAGGCAATAAAATGGCAACCATCTCCTTAACCTTTATTATTGCATTTGGTTGATATTGATAATTACAGTACAGTATCTGAATCTCATGGAGACAAGGAAACCCCACTTGTTTCACCATGATTCAACACCCTACTGCTAAATGGTCGGGTTAGGTTAGCAGTAGGGTGTTTAATCATCGGGTGAAATAAGCAGAGGTTGCTAATTTTCACAACATCCAATATTTTTGTTTCTTCATATTTTGGGAAGCAAACTGACAATATATTTCTAATACTGTACGTTACTTAATTCCACAGGGAGGCAGTTAGTTTACGATCACTATAACAAAAAAAAATTGTGACTGGCAAAGATAAATTTCATAAAGGTTTAATAGTGAACAATACTGTATTTACTCCTGGTAAAAACTAACCAGCTGGAGTAATTGTGCACTGCGACAGTATACCTTTATTGCTAATCCCTGTATTCAGCAACATTATGTAAATAACAATGCAGGGTGTCCGTAAAGTCCCCATCTGATTTCAAATATATATTATGTGCAAACGGCATAAGATACTGAAATGCAGTTTTTTGCATTTGCTTAGGTGAAAAACGAAACTGGAATAGTTACTTTCTCAAATGCAGAAATATTCATTTCAATATGTCATGCAGTTTGTACATAATAAAAGTTAGAATGACACGTCACAGCTCTCATCTAATCTTTCTTAAACACTCAGGGTCACAGTGGACAGCTGACAACACTGAACAAAATCTGGGACCCTCTGATTTAAATGGTGATGCTTCATAAAGAATCTATACAGTTGCCTTATTTTAATAACTTTTATATCGACTTGTGTTATCTAGTAATTGTCTACAAAAGTATATTTTTCCTTACCTCAAGAATATTCCCCATAAGTGGAAGATTTGCAACTTCTGTAGTTTTTGTATTGTGATTGTTTCTGCCCTCAGCATAAATCTACATTGATGTTTCCTAGGATAGAAGTATATTGTTTTAAGTTATGTTTGATGAGTTAATTTATATTAATTTAGGTAAGGTATGGAAAGGTTGCTGGGAAATGCTCAGTTGGTTCTTGGCACTTGTCTGCAACAGAAGCACAAACATGGTGGTCTTGGGTGACAAAATATATTTATTCAAACAAAATTTGGGGAAAACAAAATTTGAAAAATTGCAAATCCTCCACCTTTATTGGGATATTTTACAGGTAAGAAATTAGTTTACTAAAATTAAAAATGTTCATGAAATTGGTGGTTAGAATGAGTCAGTGTTCCAGAGTATTAGAGTTTTATACAGTACTTCCTTTTCTCTCTAACCCACTAGACTGACATACTGTATAACTCTAAAGAAACGTATCCATAAAGAAACCATCCTTAATATTAAGAAACATTGTTTGGTTTGGTAGTAATGTATTGGATTATTCAAATAATTTTTAAACTATCTTCCTGTAACCATTGGGTTTTTTTTACACAGTAGTAACTGAATAATTTACTGTACTGTACTTCAGTTCTCAACTCTAATTTTGATTCTGTGAGTGAAATATCAACTTATACAAATTTTAATAATATAAATGCAACTGTGAACTTCAACCTAACAAATGCAAATAAATTTCTCATTAGCCATCAAGATATGGCAAGAAAATCAACTTATCCGATGGAATATGTTACTTCACGCTTTCTTCAATTATACGTGGAAATTTTAATAAACAAATAAAATGTAATTTTCTATAATTTATAAAAATCGGTAATTTTTTCTAGACTTAATTAAACTCGCATAATAATACCAGTAAAGTATATGAAAAAAATCACTTTGTGCCACAACACTTCACAGATGATCTATTGCAAAGGGAAGAACACCGGCAGTAACTTGTGATATAAGTTAATGTCTACACTAAGAAAGAGACAGAAAATGATGCGATCAAATTTGTCTCTGTTAGCTTCAAGCATCGTCCTGATAATAGGGAGCACCACCTTCACGGCCGATTCATTAGGGTATCCATACACCCCGGTAGAGATACAGGGAAAAGCGACCGTTCTGATGTTGTTCTCGATGGCCGTCTGTAGTGCCCGCCTGTAGCACGACTCCAGCATAGCAGGCTTTTCTCCCGTGGGCCCTACAGTGTGTATGATGTACCGCGCTGGCAGGTAGTATCCCCCGGTGATTTTGGCATCTCCAGTGTCGCAGCCGTTCAGCGACTGACACTCCTGGTACAACATACCTCCGGCCGCTTTGTGTATGGCACCATCAACACCACCTCCTCCACGCAGGCTATTATTGGCAGCGTTGACCACGGCATCAATCTCTAGGGTGGTGATGTCCCCTATGAACAGTGAAATCTTCTTGTTGAGGTCACTGTCCACCTTGTAAATGCTGCCTTCCAGAACCTTGGCAACAGCTGCATCATTGAGAGCGACCTGCTTCAGTACATAACTGTTCTCCCTGCCATAATTTGGCCAATTTGGAAGATCACGAAGAGTAACAAACACATTTCCACACCTGTAACGTTTACGCTTGTCCTCCACCTTCATGGAGAGAATCTTCCTCTTATCCTCCTCAAAATTCCACATTGTCAGTGTTGCAGAGCGGCTGACGCCTCTAGCAGTAGAACAGCTGTTGTGGGAAGATAGGGGAAGGCTGTGATTCGTCGACAAGGATTCTGAGGCAGCACAAAATACCTTAATGCTGGAGTATGGTGCCCTTACAAGCGGCCTGCTAAGTATGTAGTATGGACAGGTTATAAACAGGGTCATTTGTGCTCCTCCCTCGTCATCCACAAGTATATTCTGTCTATCCTTTAACTCGCCTTTGGAAATTATATTTAGTTTAAATTCACAAACGTATTTAACTGAATTATACTGGTACATGGAGGATGACAATGTAATATGTAAACACAGGAAAAATCATCCTCCCCGAGCAGTGGATAATAAGTTTTAATAATCAAACTTTGTTACATATTATTAAAAAAATAAAAATTTATGAGAAGCAACAATATAATACATGTTAGTATAGTTATAGATCTTACAAGTGAGAAAATGGAAATAAAGACACTGTAAAAAATAGTAAACACTTACAAAGTTTGGCCTATTTGTTGGACGAATTATATCGACCAAAACAAAAAATTTTCATCATGCCTTATATAGTATAAAATGTGTATATAGGAAGTGAAAAAATGAACTACTGCTACATCATTAAAATTAACCACAGTATAGTACCTGTATAAACCAAAGGAATTTTCGAGTAAAAAATTATGTATTGATTAATTAGTTTTATCTCGTAATTTTTTAAATATTGTTGAGACTGAATTACTAGCCTTGTTACACGTTTGAAGACCTTAGTGTTTGAAGGACACTAATAACAACTATTGATCAGGGCATAATGTAAACAGTTAAAATTATTGTAAACCTTATAGGGTGATAGTAATAATGATGTATCTTATATTCCATCTTAATTTAAATTTCACACATGTCTGCTGTACTAAGTTATTTATTTTACAGTATTTAATTTAATTTATCTTTTGCGTGATTCGTGTTGGATCAAGGAATTTGTTAGTTAAAAGGAATGTGTTAGTTCGTGATATGGTTAGTTACACCCTTAAATATGTAAATATTTATATGGATAGATGTAGTTGTAGCTTGTATAGTATTAGGTTATATAAATATATTTATGAAAAAATGGGTATCAATTCAACTATGGTCAGATTTTATAGTGAAAGTGACGGAGGAGGAAGGTGTACCTCGCAGTGTGAGGAAACAGAGACAACAGAAGTAAACACAACTGACCAAGTGACTCACCTTCTTTATCGTCAAGTTATAAATCAGAAACAAACCCCACAACGCCTGAAAAACTTCTTCCTTAATTTACAGTGCAGCTATGTGTCTTGCAAAGCTTCCTAATGAGAGAAAACTGACGCTGTGTCGGAAATATTACATGGGTTAGTACGTGATATACTGTACTTGTTTGGTGTTTAAAGGGAATTTCTATGGCTCTGTTCTCCCTGGACTGGAGGACTGACTACGTGTATAAGTTTCGTAGTTGTTAAAGGTTTAATGGCTCTGTTTTATTGGAGTTTGGAAGCCAAATTTGTAATTATTCTTTTTAGCACACCCTCGAATTTGTTCACGAGTTGTTTGATTTCTGATGTATTTTGATGTGTGTTTTGTTCAGATCTGACCTTTTGTTTTCATTGGAAATGCGTCGTTAAAAAAGAAAGAAAGATGCAAGTCATCATTGACCAAAACGGCTATTTTCTATAAAAAACGAAGGTGATATCTGAACAAAATACACCAGAAATCAAACATCTAGATCCTTAACTTTCACTAAACTAACTTAACCTAACCTACCTAAACCTAATCCCTGCGGGGGGGGCTGATCCCCTGTGGGCAGTGGGACAAGAAATGGCGGGTGGAGATTCATTGATCTAATTTCTTAGATGTTCCTCACTTGTCCAATTTTTCTGAAAGAAACAAGTTTCCAAGAGGCTTCAAGGGTTGAGGAATGTATATATGTGGTAGAAATTGTCTAAAAGTAAGTGCTTCTTTGGGATTTGAAGATGTGCTAAACTGAATAATAACCGCCAATTTTTTTTAATACTTTACGGATACACGTGAGAAGGGTGTTATCCAGTGTGACCTTCACTACCAAACATCACAGGTTTCCCAGTCCCCGGTTTCCTCCTGTACTAACACTGAATAAACCGCCCAAACGGCTAGTAAGCTGATAAGTGGCCAATATGATAAAAACAAATATATCCAAAATCCATCCCAGGGATTATAATTTAATGTATTTTATTTGTTAATACTCCAGACCTCAGACTCAGGGAAAGGAACTACTTCAATGAAATTGTCTACAGAAGAAAACATAGTTCCTTAGCTCATGAATACCTAAATATGGGTGGATGAATTACTAATTTGATAGTAGTTAAGTTTGGGACCATAATTAGCTACAATTATTTTGATGTGTTTTTTAGGTCTAACTCGTCAAATTAGACAACATTTCTTCTATGGCATTTCCGTCATAAATGAATACCGGTAATAACCGAGATATGGGATGTGTTTACTTTAAAAATTTTAAGTTATTTTTCATCTTGTTCTGTACACGGGTCGCTCTTAGTCTACGTTAGAGTGTGTCGACCGTGACGTCACGGCTAAAGTTAGGTTAGATCTTAAAATCATTCTTGTGATGAAGCCTAGGTTTTTCTGATGGTTTTTGTTGTATTTTATTCGATTGTGATATTGATTTTTGTCAGAAATCACTCGTTTTGGCTGGGGGGCCATCTAAAAAACAAGTGATTTCCGACGAAAATCAAAATTAAAATCGAATAAAACACAAAAAAACGTTGGAAAGACCTCAGTTTCATCACCAGAAGGATTATGGTCCGAAACTTAACCATTACCGCAAATTTCCTACTTTACTTTATCCTCTTAATTAGGAATTTTGAGGCTGCCATTGTGTGGCTTATAAGTGCCGTAGACTGTACTAGGATATATTTATGAAGTGCTGTACAGTGCACTGATTTCCTCTCTGGAGTTGCCCCCTTACAAAGTGATTTTCTGATTTTGTTTAGCACCTGACTTAATTATGATGATGCAGTTTGTTTCTATAGCATCTGAATAACATTGCACTTTCTTTACAGCTGGATTTGCCTTCTTGCCCTTTATGTGGGCAATAAATGCAATCTGGTTTTTGAATGAAGCTTTCTGGGCGCCTCCTTACCCAGAACAGAAGCAGATACGCAGATGTGAGTGTACCGTACTGTATAGTGTTGGAAAATGGTTCTCTCTATCTTTCTTATTCGTAATTTACTTGTAATTAAACAAAAATGGTGAAGGTTAAAGATAAATGGAAGTACAGTACTTATCACAGAAATAATAATATGTAAGGTTGTACTTTATATATAGTAATTTCCCTTGCCAAGATTCTATTTCATCTTCTTACTGAAACTTTAGAAGCTACCAGTCAGTCCTTTTATGAACATTTAATATACTGTATTTCACCATTTTATTGACAGATGTGATCGTATCAGGAGTAGGAGCACTGTTGTGGCTGGTGGGGCTCATTAGCTGGGTGGTGGTGTTTCAACAGAACCGTAGTGTTTGGGGAGCCACCGCTGACTACATGTCATTCATCATTCCTAAGGGGGTTCCATAGTTAGCCTTCTTGTACAGTACGTCCCGCAACAGGTTACGGATGATTGTTCGGAGGTGATTGCCGTATTTTACCGTTCAGTCACAAAATATTTAAGGAGTGAAACAACACTGATAAATTCTATTTTAACAGCTTCATTATTTTGATAATTAGAAGACCAAATGGTAAACCCCCAATCCCTATTGGTGTATCACTGAACCCAATTATACATTCCATTAAATGATGAGACCCACAGAAACTGTTCTCTTACAAAGCCAAGATAACACTGGACTCACTCAAGAAACTGTTTTGACTACATCCATTGTGAAGCTTCATTGCTTATGAGGACATACTTCCCCTACAGGGGAAATGCTCACAAATTTAATGATAGTGTGTTTTATACCTGTATTGCTAGATGAAGTGGCCACAACCACAGTGGTAACTAGTTTGTGCTCAGGATGACCTTGTACAGTACTATATATGTACTCCTGAAGGAAACATTGTACTGTTCTTTAATACTGTCACTACTGTGCTTGTACTTACCACACTAATGTTCCCCATTAAACCTTGATCTTCAGGTACCATATATAAGTATAGACAAGTTAATACATAACTCTGTGGTAACAGTAGTTGGCACAACAGGTCCTGTAGGTGGTCCTAACTTAAGTTGCTGTTGAATGTATCAGGATGTATGAGAACTTTCAGTAAATTTCACAGAACACTTAAAAGTGTTACTATGTAGAATGGTTTAGGATTTTGCCCATATTTTGTTAGTCAAGCTCATACACACAGTGGCCAAGGTTATTGCTCGATGGGTGTTGGTTGTTTCACACACACACAAGTTTTTTTGTACATGGGAATTATGATCATTTCATACATAAGTTGTGGGTTGTTTCATACACTGTACAATATTAAAATGAAAAGTTTGTGTGCTATTTCTTGATATTGTTACAAGTAGGTTAAGTTAGATCTGGTAAGGTTTGGTTTTATTATTTTTTCCATGTAAAGTTTAATTATCTTGAATGTATGTACAAAATGATTTGTGGGTCTATAAATGAAATGACGCATTTATGAGATGGTTTGTGTACAAAATGACCAACACCCTTTGGCTTCCACATTGATGTGATGATTTACTCTACTGAAAAATCAGTTGAAATATAATAATTAAATGAAATATTCATGATTTGACTCAAAGAAAGAGTTGTTCAGTGGTGTAGCAAGTCAGTATGTGCTCTCTTGAAATATCATTAATAACAAAAAATTGTCAGAGCTACCGTAACATCTATGGCATAAGATTTGTGAACTCTAGGAATAACCTGCCAGAGTATGGTGTGATACTACCGAGTGTGAGCTCATTTAAGAACAGGCTTGACCAACACTGGCACATGTTTAGGTACATTAAAGACCCCGTATATGCACTTTACTTGCCAACAGTATGCAAAAAAGATATGACTGTTTGCCCAACCATCTAATAAGCTGACAAGTGATAAAAAGCAGAAAAGAGAAATTCTGTATAATTTAGTTGTGATATTCAACATACAAAGTCATGAGCCACTGTCTTTAATATTTCAAAGTTTATGAGTGCTGTTGAAGAAAAGTCGGTTCAGGTTGTCAATCAGTGAATCTCTACCATTTTATTATAATAGTTGCTGAATAGTTTTCCCTTCTTGATGTAAGAATGTGTTATGGTTACCAAAACCTGAGACCATCAAGATAATATTTTCAAGACTCCGATGGACACGCATTGAAGAAGCAGTTGCAACCTGTAGTATTGTAGGAGTCGGTACTGTATACTTGTATGTGGCTGAACGATGTTAACAAATCTAAAACTCGGGCAATTTTATATTCATTACCTTTAAAATGAAGCTCTCACAAGTTGATATATTGTAACGCTGTACACTCACACCTGTACCAGGTTCATGGGGCTGCCTAACCAAAGTTTATGTTATATTCTCTCATAATAACTTTTGTATTCCTTTATATTTCTCCAAACTAAGTTTTGTTATGTATGATTGTTCTTTTTTTATGAATTGGAACACAATATTCTGGATAAAAAAAAAGCTGAATTACCCTAGAGATTTTGTAGAGACTCCCAATTTTTCTAAAAGTGAGACCCCCAAAATTGAACAGTAGAGGAATACTGTACTGGCAATAACAGTTGAAAATCACTTAATAAATTTTGTGAACTTACACTTTTTGGTACTGTATTAACTATTCAATAAGGAACTTAATAATTAATAACAAAATGGAAAAAAGAAAAGACAAGACTTAGGGAATAAATATGATGATGAACGTACACTTAAGTCTCATTGTGACGTGTTGTATTGATTATTTAGTTCAAAAATTATAACTTTTCTTGTGCTTTGTGCAGTGTTTATATTTGCTTATACAGTACTGTACATTTAATCTATATAGAATCCTAATACTGTACTGTTCTACTGCCACATATAATTCTTTACAAATAACATAATCATTTGTTAATAAATATGTAGATAAATCCTTGTTTCTTTAATCAAATATGGCCACACACTGTTGCTCCTTTACCAGTATTTCCTGTGAGTAGCAAGAGGTGTATGTGAGTGGTGTTGGAGTGAGTGTGAGTGATGTAGGTCGCTGCAGAAGTCGATTGCGGTTGGGTGGCTCATGCCCAAACGCCAATAAAGTGTTAAATATTTATTTCCGCAAAAAATTAGTTGCATACAGGTACTTAGAATCAGCATAAAAAACACTACTGGTGAAAAAATTTTCAACAAAATTTAACAGGCCAAATTTTTAATAAGATCCCATGTTTATATTTTCCTTGGTCAGTTGAAAGTATATAGATATATATTTATACGTGCATTACTTGATCAGCTGCATCACATATCAAAGAAAACAGAAGTTCAGATTCGGAACTTTTCGGAGCTTGAGACATCACTTCACAACAACAACAAGCATACTGAGCACTTACTCAGTTTTGAGGAGTTTATCACAAATTAGAAGCAGGGAAGATATAACTTTCCATCGATTTCCAAAGGATAAAGAACTGAGAAGAAGGATTCGTTTGTGTAAGAGGAAAGAATTTATAAATGCTGAAAATATCCATATATGCAGCTTGTATTTTGAGGCCAGTGCAGTTGAGAACTTGTAATATAAACTACCGGTAGTTTTATTTTAGAACCTGTCACGGTTTGCATAATTTTATTTTTTACCTTAAATTTAGTTTTTAAACGTTATTAATGTTATAACATTACTCAAAAATATTATTAATTATCTTAAACTGTGTAAATTTTGTCACTGTGCGTTTTTCGCCAATAATGTCTTAATAATTTTATGTAAGGCCTCCCTCAACAAGGGATATCCCACACTCAGAAAAGTAATGACAACTTAATTACTTTCCAGCTGATTCTTGACGATAATGACATTAGCAATATTTTGTAACCATAGTTTTTTTTTGTATTTAAATGTGTTTTACTCAAATCTGACTTTCATTTTTTGGACAAATGATTGAATTTTGTAAAAGAAATCACTCATTTGCACAAGAAATGGAGGTCAGATTTGAATAAAGCACATCTACAGTAAATACATAAAAAACTATCCTAACCAAACTGCACACTATAGTAACATCTAATGCTGATTGGGATCCTCTTCACAGCCCCTAAGACGAAAGTTTTAACACTGTTTTTAACAGTTCAATAAATATGTCCATAATGCACAAATTATCTGACATCATGTAAAATTAACATTAACAGATATAACATAGGTGATTGTACACACTATCAACTAGAACACTTAACATTACACCCCATTTCTTCCAAATGAGGACTTCCTGTTATCATCTCTTCAGAATGAAAATTACTGTACGTTACCACCGTAGCTCAGTGGTCAAGACTTATGCCGGCCGCTTTTAAAGGTCCGAGCTCGATATCCGGCACTTCCTTTTTTACCCTTCATTTTGGAGATTTATTTTCGCTGTATTATTCACTAAAAACGACTTAAAATTGAAATTGGCCTACAGTATGTTGAGCTGCCACAATCCCTCACCTCAGAGTCAACAGGGAACGTGAGCTATAAACTCATTGAAACGGGTTGAATTATACCATATTCACTGTAGCTCAGTGGTAAGGACTTCTGTTTGCCATTTCTAGTGACCCGAGTTCGATACTGTAGCGTACTGTATGTGGCCAGTTGTCAAATTATCTTTGCTTGACTATTATCTCTTTGTATGGGCTCACATATGTACGTACATGTAAGATATCTCACACCCAGGATGGAGGTAGAATAGAAACTCACAATGTGTTTCCTGTATATATATATTGTATGTACAGTGCAGTGCTAGGGAGTTGCTGTGTGGTGAGAAGCTTGCTCAGAGGTCCTGATGGGTGAGGAGCTTTCTGAGGGAGCTGGTTGGTGAGGCGCTGTTGAGGGGTCTTGCTGGTCCAGATGAGTCGAGTAGAATGATGTGCACGGCTGTTGTTGTTGTTGAGATTGTCGGACCGTAGTCCGACACGGGCCTTTGCCTGTAGGCGGCCCGTTTGGTGGTTCCGGCTGGAGCTCTTGGAGCAGCCAGACCGGATTGAGGATTGGAGGTTGTCCTACCTGCAGATATGAAAGGATACTCCAGGTTGCAAGTGTAAGCAGACCCTCGATCAGTGAACGCTTACCACCAACCCCCACTCTTGGACGTGGTCAGTTTCGGAGTGGCGCGCCCCCTGATCTGGGGTCCGCACCTGCTGGGGGAGGATACTTCCTGAGCTATCTGGGTGGTGGGTATCGTGTGGTGACCCGTAGAAGGTGGTGAATGTGGTTTGTTTGGGCCTTTCGGGTTAGAGTGGCCGCTGGTGTTGTGTGTGCTTCTTGGAAGTTTCGAATTTTGTTTCGGAGACTCTGTGTGACTTCGCAGTCGAGGAGATAGTGTTCCAGTGGGTTGGCTGCTGGCTCCTGACAGTAGGTGCATTCCCTGACGTCATTTCCGATCGTCCGCCAAGTGCACTTGTACCCTAGTCGTAGTCGATGAAGGCTAACTTGGGTTTGTCTTGGTGTTTTCTTGTCCGTGAAAGGTGGTTCCCCTTTTGTAGCCACCAGGTACCATTTGGCTGATTGGGAACCAGCGTTGAATGCGTGAAGGAAGCTCTTTTGGATGTGGAGCATGGTAGTCTTTCTGAGGTGATTCTTGATCTGTTGCACGCTTGCTGGAACTTGAATGTGTACGCTTCTAGAACGTGTGGCTGCCTTGGCTGCTTCGTCTGCCACGTCGTTTCCCCCGATCCCTACATGACTGGGAATCCAGTGTAAGACGACTGGGTGATTTTGTCTTTGGAAGTCCTGTAGCTGTGTGATGATCGAGGTTATGATGTGGACGTTGTCTCTTGGTTGACTGTGTTGCAGCGCCTGCATGGCCGTTTTCGAGTCCGTGTGAATTATGATGGGCTTGTTGTGTTGTGTCGCAGCGTGTTGTAGGGCCTTTGAGATTGCTACCAACTCTGTTTGTCGGGTGGAGCAGTCATTAGAAAGTCTCCATAGGAGGGTCTGACCTTGGGTGTAGAAGACCGCTCCGGATCTATGATGTTTTGGGTCCACCGAGCCGTCTGTGAAGTATGATGCTGCATCAGCCGGTGTCTCGGTGGCTATGGCTTCCTGAGTTATTCCTTTGAGGTCCTACTTCTGGAGGTTGGCTTTGCTATCACCTAGTTCGGTAATTTTGAATGTGGCTGGTGGAGGGCTCCATGGTGCTGGAACTGCATAGTCCTTGTCTCGTATGTCTTGGTTGTTCTTAACGAGTGTTTCTGCTTGCAGGAGCCCGATGACCTCGCTTGCCTCGTGTGACCAGGTGGCCCCTCGCACTCTGTGGTCGAGGTGGAGGGAGGCACTGATTCGTGTTTTGACAGCTGTGGGCTTATCTGATCTCCAGATTTTGGCGAGGAGACCGGCTGTCACCTGCTTGACTCGTACTGCCAGTGGTGGTAATTCAGTTTCCATTTGCAAATTGCAAATTCTGGTCCACATGGGTGCTCCGAGCATGGTCCTGAGGGCATTATTTTGGATAACTTCCAGCTTAGCTATCTGGTCTTCTCTCAGTCCAAAGAGTGCTATTGAACTCAGAAAATCCCCTAATATCTTTTTACTTTCATTTTTATCCTCTTCACCACTGATAGGCTCGTTAGCCTCTTGAGTGATCGGTCACGTCTGTGTTACGCACTGTTGACATGTACTGGGCATGCACCGGCTCCTGAATGTACCTGAACTTGCTTCAGTGTTGGTCAAGTCTGGTCTTGAAAGAAGTGCGCATGCTTATGGCCTCAAAATACCCCTCATATTGGTCACATTTAAAAAAATCTTCTGGCGGGGGCATACATGCCCCCCCCCCCAAAAAAAAGAACAACTCCCCAACAGGGTGGGTTCGCTGTGCTCGCCATGCTCCCCCACCCAAACTTCTAAGACCCCCCTTTTTAATATTCCTGGATCCGCCCCTGAGAGTATTGGTTAATTATTCTACTGGGAACAGTCCCCCCCTGTTGGTTATTTCACCTCACTCAACGACAACTGAACACCTTTATCTTATCTCTTTCCCTGTTGTACATGGCGGCACAAGGATCTTGCACACTTCGTTTGGTTCCAATAAGTTTTGACATGCTACACAAACTGACCAAACCCCAAGAAATTCAGCGTCTTCGTAACTATTCTCCCCCTGGCTCTGAACACCACATCTAATTTTCATAGAATATTCATATATATGATTATTGCTTTCTATTTATCGACATTTCCTATAGAAGACAACAACAAAACAAGTGACCGTGAGCGAAGAAAATCGAAATAGTGTACCTTCAGTGACCGACACACTATCAGCGCCTCGTTTATCTTTTCAGTGAGCTGTATACCTGGCGTTCATTTACCCTGCCTCGCTCCCTCAGTCTCCACACTCGCCGAAATACTCCCTGGTGAAGGGAAGCAGAACATAAACTACCACAGAAATTGTGAGGGGCACGTAACTGAAGGACTTGCTATTGTGAGAACCTGACAGTGACAGCTTGACAGCTGAGAAACGAATGCTGATTGGTTTTCCTCGTGAGTGTAAGGATAGAAAACTTTATAGTAACGAATTGGAATTTAATTTAAAGTGATTATAATAAAGAAATAATAGTGGTAAGGTGGGCGTGCTGTGAGGTGAATACCTCGCAGAGAAATGAGGCTACGTTAGCCAGGCAGAGAGGAGTGGCACCCACCCAGGATGTGCCTCAACATGACAGTGTGTTGCAGTAATTACCCGTGACGCCCTTGAACCATTCACTGTGGGACACACTAGTGTTATAGTTGACCCACGCACACACACTGCACACAGTTTCTCGCCAATCTAACAACTTAAAGCTGCTTTTTGCAAACATTACATGAAGACAACCTTTAGGCAAGCATAATTATTGTGCCAAGCAGTTTCCTTGCTAACTACGCTATTTTCAAGATACTTTACTGAACTCTCTACCATTAAGGCAGCTTATCCCTAATTTAGCTACATCTAAGACATAAAGTAGATTCTTGCTAACGTAACTGCAAGTTCAAGTGTATCTTTAATCTCCACACGTAAAACACCTTTGCCATATCAACTCGACCTCTTCACTAATCTATCTAGGTAACAAATTTGCCACAAACGTAACAAACTGGTAAAAGTTTAATACTCTTAAGTGGCCTTAAATATATCAATGTATTAGAATTCTACTAAATGTGTGATTTGGGCATAAAAGTGTAAAATGACAATTTAACATGGAAAAACAGAAGTGTAACACAGGCAGGAAGTACACTTTGTATGAGATGACTGGATAAATAAGAAGGTCTGACACAATATACCGTACAGCCACAGTGTATACAGCTGTCACCGCTGCCACATCTGCGCGCCTCTCCCTTTATTGTAAGTACACAAACAATTAAGTTCCTTGGCTCCTGTCTGTAATTTTCATATTCTGAGTCATGTTAACCTTTGATATCATTATGCTCCTAAATACATAACATTAACTAAGACAATCTCAGAGGAGGCGGCAATCATTAATTTGCAGATGTTTACAATAGGCGTAGTATTACATTATTTCCCCTTAACTTGCCTTCTTCCCTAACCTTTATCCGCCCAGTGGTGTCATACATGTTTTAAAAACAACCCTTGATTTTGGTTATCCTAAGTTATGAATGTTTTACTCTGTAAACACAACAAACCGGAACTTGAGAGGCATATTCCAAGATACTGTACTTTTTATTGTCTTATAAAAAAATCAAGCCATCGGTTGACAGACTGACACAGGCACCCACATACAGACACATGTAACCTAAAACTAGTGATAATAAGCTTGGCGGGAAACACTCACCAACTCATGACATTGTTACAAGACCAGGAGACCTCGGGATAGCTATCCATATTCCATTTTGATAAACTATTGAATATATGCGAGAATTTTTAATTGTTGTTGTTCCCGCTTTTTTCTGTAGGTTGAGATAGAAGTCTCCACCACCACCACCCCACCACCCCCAGCACTACTAGCTCTGCAGCCTACCACTACCACATCACCACCACCACACCTAAAATCATGAAACCTCGGCCCAGTAAGCGTGTGGCCTTCGTGGGTGTTCCGACATCACAGGAGGCAAAAAGAGACACGCCTATTCACCAAGATCTGACTGAGGAAGAGGAAGAGGAGGAGGGAGAACACACAAGGCGACCCAGCTGTATGTTTACGGCCTGGAACGAGGTGAGGTGTAGGGAAGATCGTGACTATATGTTTCTCTAAGTGTTTTATACCACCACCTGGAGTTATCGTTCGAGAGCCACCGTCAAACTTATTTTTTCTTCTTCTATTTATCAGTTCATCGGCTGAATATTACAAGTGGTATGAATCTATGTAGAAGAAAAGAGATAAACAAAATATCTACCTTCCAAATATATATATATTGTACTGTTATTGTATGGTCGTCCTGCCACCCTGACGGCGTCTTAAGATAACTTCCTCACTACAATTTAAAAGGTGGACCAAACAGCGGGCTATCAAGGGTCTCGTTAGATAATCCCATATTATGTTCTGGCCAGTCTTGCCACCTGAAGTGTTGAGTGGCATCCTACAAGGGGAGTGTGTATAGGTCGGTCCTGTTCATGATACAGTACTTGAGAAATGTTCAGGGGCGTGACTCCTCCTCTTCCACCCAGACAAGTGTAAGTTGATAGCTACTGACAGGACACGAAGAAGAAACTATTGTAAGTGTTTTATGAGGAGTGAAGATAAGAGAATTGTGTGTAAGAAGACAGGGATGGTATATTATTGTTTGGAGATCATGTTTACGAACGGTCAACTTTACAGAGAGAACTGAGACGGTTCACTTACATATAAAGACAACTTAAGATGACTATATAGATCTCTGCTTCGTCCCTAAGAGTACAGTGAGCTAATACAGTAAGGCACCCGTCTTAAGAGTACAGTGAGCTAATACAGTAAGGTACCCGTCTTAAGAGTACAGTGAGCTAATACAGTAAGGCACCCGTCTTAAGAGTACAGTGAGCTAATACAGTAAGGTACCCGTCTTAAGAGTACAGTGAGCTAATACAGTAAGGTACCCGTCTTAAGAGTACAGTGAGCTAATACAGTAAGGTACCCGAGCAGGAAGAATGACCCGCCGCGTGATGGATGTGTTCAGAGATGGAAAAATAAACTGATGCCCGAAGACTGTGAGAGAGAGAGTTAAGGGACCACCAAGAGTGTACCGCAGGACACAGGGAGACACGCTTCACTCGTTTAAGATGGTTCATGTATTATATACCACAAAGAACAATGCTGCTTGTTACAACACATAGCGGCTATTGTCACTTTTGTTTGGTGATGACGTGTCCATATCTGTTGGCCTTCGAAAGACAACTGGACAAGCACTACACAGATCAAGAGGAAGATATACAGCAAAGCCACTTGTCTATTCAATTCAATTCAATTTCAATTGTTTATTCCTTGATAGAGGAAGCGGGATCCTAGTGCTGTCACTAGGTACCCCTGTACAATGACACCAGAATCATCTGGCAAGTGTGAAAAGTATATACAGTATAAATATTATAAAGGGGCTTACTAAAGCCTAAGGAAGGAAGGATGTTCCTTTAACACATAATCAATATTATTTACAAAATATCTGGCCGGTATGGGAAGGATCATCGTGTCTCCGTCAGGGGGTCGTGGTCCAGCAGGCGTCACGGAAGCGTTGTGTGTGGGGACATCTTAGGAGGTAGTGGATAAGGGTGCTGCTGTCGGGTCTTCTGCATAACGCACAAGAGCGTTGCTCAGGGGATGCGGGGATACCAATCTCCCAAGCAAAGTCATACCCAATGATGATACGGGCAGCAATCACGTCCCCCTTCCGCGACCCTTTCCCGTAGACGTACGAGGTCAGGAAGTTTACGGAGGACATCGTACCATGTGGGCGGGGAGTCCAGGGGGATGGCTGCTTCCCGAGCTTCTCTCTGTTTGCGGCGGATTTGGGTCCTAATCTGTAAGAGTGTTCGAGGAACAACGTAGTCAGGTGTGGCCTTGTTGCAGCCAGTCTTGGCAAGGTCATCTGCTGCCTCATTCCCCAAGATACCGACATGACTGGGTATCCATAGGAATGTCACAGGGCGGCCTGCATCCTGAAGTGTGGATGTTAACCCTCGTATTCGGAGGATGAGGTCCTTATTTTCCCCAGATCCAAATCCGATCCCGTCGAGAGCAGACCTGGAATCGCAGCAGACAAGCAAGGGGCAGAAACCATCTGCTTCTTCCTCAGCGAGAAGGGCAGCAAGGAGGGCTATTAGTTCAGCCTGAGTGGAGGATGCCCCGTCAGAAACTCTGAGAGACAGTTTGATAGGCTCAGGGGCATGAGGACGGGAGATGTAGACACCAGCCCCGGCCCTACCTGTAGCGGGGTCAACAGAACCATCAGTGTAGAGGACGACCCTACCTGGGGACCAGTGAGCGATCCTGGAGAGGTGGTATTTGCAGAGAATAACAGGGTTCACCTGGGATTTCGGGAGCGGTCCACCGAGGGCAATCACTTCAGGTTGAAAATCCAGCCAGGGAGAAGGAGACGAACCAACAGCAGGGGTGACAACAATATCAGGCAGGAGGTCGTGTTCCTGAAGGGCTCGGATGAGTGACCCTCGCCACTGTCTTCTAGATGGAGGTCGGTCTCGAACAGCAGTAGTCAAGTTGGTTTGGACATAGTTGCCCCTAGGATCCCGTAGAATGGAAACGGCAGTTTTTAGGTAAAACTCCTGGACACGATCCTGTAAGGGGGAAAGACCAAGTTCGTTATATAGAGAAGTAGAGCGTGTCCACTGAGGAGCCCCAAGGATGATACGAGCAGCTTTCCTCTGGATAACTTCGAGACGGTTGACAGCAGTCCGACTAATGTTGACGAGGGCAGGGGCGGCGTAGTCGACACAGGAACGGACAAAAGACTTGTACATGGTGAGAAGTACAGGGATGCTGGCACCAAGGGAACCCCTGCACATGGTAGAGAGGGGAGCGAGACGCCGAAAACATATGTCTCGAAGATAGCGGACTTCAGGGATCTGACAACGTGTGCGAGTTACATACACACCCAGGTATTTTGTCTCATTAACCCAGTCCAAGGGCGTTTCTGATAAGAAAAGGGGTGGAGGTACAACACGACCGTGCCACATGGCTTTTGTTTTCGCAGTTGAAAGAAGGAAACCAAGTGAATCACACTCTCTGGAGACCAGATCAAGGGCTTCCTGCATGCTGAGGTCTTGTCTATTTACTTTAATATTGACTAGGTTAGGTTAGGTTAGGTTAGGTTAGGTTAGGTTACGTTAGGTTAGGCTAGTTTAGGTTAGGGTAGGTTATAATAACAATTGTGAATACTGATGTTTATAAGAATTGTGAAGAACAGTCTGGCAGGATCAGGTCACGTCGCTGGACACATAACGAGCTTTAGACCTAAGATGAACCCAGGAAATTAACAATAATATCAAGATAAATAACAGTGATTAAATAAAAGTAAGAATATATAAAGGTCACTGAGACACTTTATCAGGTCCTTGGCCAACGATTCACCGAGGAGGCTCAGATTTAAGGGTTCGATTCCACAAAGTAATTGACAGTGTTTACGATGGTCAGACGGCGCGTACCACACGACCATAACTTGACGTCATCATCTTCAACCCGAAGCATAGTATTTAAGGGGTTAAGTCATCGTGTTAAAGGGGTAGATAATATTCTCAAAGGGTTAAAGCATAGTATTCAAGGGGTTAAGTCATCGTGTTAAAGGGGTAGATAATATTCTCAAAGGGTTAAAGCATAGTATTCAAGGGGTTAAGTGCTCAAGTGTTTTTTAATACACCAATTTCCACCAAATATAACAATAAAATTGCTACATCTCTCTCAACTCCCGCCATTCCATACACACTTAATTTTACCCACTACACAAACGTCACAGTCAAACAACAACAAACACATCAAAACTCAATAAATTCATTCCCTCCATCATAAGTCAATTGTTAGTAGGTGCGGGTTGTCCTCCAAGGGTTACTGACTCTACACTTCAGACCTCAAGGGTGAGAGTCGATGCCTATATCAGATGTACACAAATGCATCACTCGAGGAGATCATCACCCCCCCCCGGCCTAATTTATTTCATCGGGTGGTTATTAAGGTAAAAATTGAAGTACATTTTTGATTGAGTTACATAATAATACAGAAAACTTGAGCCAGACAACTACACGTATTTGTATGAGTCATTCAAATCCCTGAATGGAATAATGAGAAGTTTACACGTTAATATTCTTTCGCACAGATGAAAAAACGTGGGATTTATCATTTAAACTTAGCTAAGCTCCCTTGACCGCCTCCTTCCTAGCTGAGACATTATTAGTCATTTGTACAAGCGGCGGTGATTCATTAGTTCCGTTTAGTGAACTTTGTTATTTAGCAGCTGTTACGACCGTGTCGAACTTTTTTCTATTTTTTTATATATAACATGCTCCCATGTTCCATATTATTCCTGTAATGATGTGTTAAATTTACTATTATATATTCTAGTCACCTTACCCTGTGCTGTTAAGGTTTTAACTGTCATTATTTGTTCAAGCCCATCTTATTTCTTTATTTTGTATTGTAACCAGCATTCTTTGTTCTCTAACGACCATCTGCATCGTTAAACGACCCACCGGCGGGTCGCGTGGCGGGAGCCGACCTTATATATAGGACCCACCAACTGACTTGAGTTAGTTCAGTCCTCTTGTCATACAGTCCACATCCTTTGAGTGTCACTTGTTACTTATACTTAATTTATTTGTGTTGTTCCTGTCGCCACCAATGTGGTATATCTATGTGAGTACCTATTTATGTCTCTGTTTGTGTCCATCAGTATTTGCTTAGTTGTATTCAAGTAATTCAGTGTTGTTTCACGTTAGTTAATTTCAGTGATAGTTTTTATATGTTTATGTAGTGTTAACATAATCCAATGCTTTATTTTTATTCTTTTGATGTTTCGATGTTTAGTATCATTTGTCTTAAAAGTTTCGATGGTGAATCAATTTGTTGTGACAGCCTACGAGGCTCTTTATTGTGTTAATATTTAATCAATTAAATTCTTAAAGGTTTACTTTATTTTTTATTCTCTTTTAATTTACTTCACTTTTTGTTTGGTTACGCCTAGAACCTGGATATTTAAGTAAATTAAGAAACGGCGTAACACAGCCAACATTTCTTCCTCATGGGCAGCTCAGCCGTGACGTCATGTAGTGATCTCATAATTAGGTTACCAGAGTATTTAGAAACCTCAACTACAAGACGATCTGTTACTATTTACTATCCCTTTGTTTACTCTGGCGATGATGTTACTTAAAGTAGTAATATAAATAATTAATATAAAAAAGTTCTAAAATACGCACTGGTAAATCTGTATGCGGGAGGCGTTGATGAGTGAGAGCTTAGGTTGACCTTGAGGTGTGTACCCAGATGATGAGGTGATATACTACAACAAGGTGAGAGAGAGAGAGAGAGAGTATACTTCCACATACACTCGTACCAAGTAAGACAACTACATCAAACAACACATATATGTACCAAAACAAAAGAGACACGTAATGCGACACACACACAAACAATATACATGTGATATTAAAGGCATTTCAACCTCGATGTCATGCTCAAACAGGTATCTCTCCAGTCACCTTATCTACCACTCAATCAGTCAGGCATCCGGTCAGTGTGTTATGTTAATACCCCAAACTAGTCAGGGTCACCGCTAGCCTGGGAGGGGCGCTGAGTCGGGACCTCCACGTAGCGGGATTTCCAGCGTGATGGAGCAACAGCGTCTACACCTCTCCTTCCCTCCCTTCCTGTTACTCCTTATGCTTGTATGCTTTCAGAGGTCTTGCAAGAAGCTCTGAGTCAACATTATCCCGCTTTCTGGAACTTGTGTGTGTGTGGGTCGGTGGGTGTGTGAGAGTGTGGGTCGGTGGGAGGGTGTGTGTGTGGGTCGGTGGGTGGGTGGGTGTGTGTGTGGGTCGGTGGGTGTGTGAGTGTGTGTGGGTCGGTGGGTGTGTGAGTGTGTGGGGGGTGGGGAGGGTGTTTACAGTGTGTTTATGCATGAGTGTAAACTATAAACAAAAATCTAATCCTGGCAACTTTCAACGACTGAACTTAAACGAGTATAAAATGTTAAGGTTTTTGATGGTGTGTGGAGGGGGACACATTCACACATAACACAGTACCGCACCAATAACCAGTCCTTGCTTTGACCCCTTAACTGTTACTGTGTCGGGGCCGGGCTTAACATATGTCACTGTTCCGGGAGCCTAACATCGTTTGTTTACAAGTGTTAAAGGCAGTGGTGGTGGTGATAAGGGTGTGAGGATGGTGTTGATGGTGGTGATAATGGTGGTGATGATGATGCCTAAGGGTGTGAGGATGAAGGTATAGTGGTGATGGTGGTGGTGTTGAGTAAGATACGATGGTTGGTAAAGTGGTGGTGGAGGCGGGGGCTGGGGAAAGTGTGAAGGTGAGACTGTGGGGGTGCGTGCATGACGGCGCTCACTGCCTGGACTAGCCTAGCTTGTCAACACTCAACAGTCTACCTCAGTCACCTCAGTGTCGGTGTCGGTGCGGCGGTGGTGCGGTGCGCTTATGTGTGTGTGTGTGTGTATGTGTGTGTGTGTAATACGTGTTTGTATGTGAATGGTAGTACCGTAGTGCCTGGTGGTAATCTAACCTCACAAGACATGGTTGGAGATGAGAAGAATGAGAACAGTACTATCATTCATCACTGGAGGAGTAAACATAGAGTCTTTGAGAACGTTTACTGACAGAGATAAGAGAGAGAGAGAGAGTGTGTGTGGGGTCTCACTGCTGACTGACTAACACAACCCACTATTTACTCCCTCTACCACTCACGCTTCACCAATCACCGTGCGTGGAATTTACGTCACCGTCAAGAATGCCAACAACAATAACACCAACACGAGTGATAAAACAATACAATATAACCCCAAGAACCAGACAAATAACAAGACATTTCTAATACCTAACGCAATTTCAAGACGTCGAAAAGAAAAAAACAAATCCGGGAACCATTTAAATTCCCAGTGTGTAGAGTCAAATTAAGCCGAGTGTTAAAAACGAAGAACATGTAGTGAAAGAAGAAGAAAAAATGTGATAAATGACAATAAAGGGAAATGTTTGAGATAAATATGTCCCAGAAAAACACATGATGAGTGATTCCATCGAGAGCCTGGTACCTGAAGAGAAGACTTTGCCTAGGTTTACTATTAGGCATGAGGTGAGTGGTGAGGGGGTGATGTGAGTGGTGAGGGGGTGATGTGAGTGGTGGGGTGATGGGTGATGTGGGTGGTGTGATGTGGGTGGTGAGGGTGATGTGGTGGTGAGGGGGTGATGTGGGTGGTGAGGGGTGTGTGGGTGGTGAGGGGTGAGTGGTGAGGGGTGACGTAGATAGTGAGAGGGGTGATATAGTTAGTGGGGAGGCGTACACAGATTCTCATTCATCCTTATCTCACTCGTACAACGTTTCTCACTGCGTGTTTTTAAATGTCTTACTTTATAGAATTATGGTAATTGTGTTATCCTCCCCGTCTCAACTTCTGGAACTCCCTAAAGTACGCCACTAATTATATCTTGTTTTGTCTTCGTTTAAGCTACATAATGTACTTTCACTTTACCTTTTTTATGATACGATGCGCATAACTTCTCATACCACAGTTTAAGTAAGTTATTTAAATGTATTCTCACATCTCCTGTTACGATGATAAAGTGTACGAGTCTCCTGGCTTTATGGTGAGGCGATATGGTGTAATAAGACATGCCCGAGTACGATGATTACACTTTAAGAGGACCCCTCCACCCCCTCACTACACATCATGTTATATTTATATCATTTGGCTCACTGTTCTCTCTTCAAGTGGTCAACAGCATACCGAAGTTACCTTGAGTCACCTGAACAAGTTATGTAAACAAAGAGTAGTACATCAGCTGTGACGACTTTTTGGTGGATGAATAAATTAAACAAACTGGTAATATTACGGTTTCCTGTGAGCTGTGTGTTGGGCCATGGAAGTGACGTCGTTGTCAGCTAATGATGCATCTTCTCTGTCTTAGTCTCTCTCTCTTATAATGTATGACAGAAAAATGCCTCTTGCCAATATTATAGCCTGCTGGGCCCTCCTGCTGGACCTGACCTTTGTTTGGATGTTCACTGATTGTAACTATGTTTAAAATAACTCGCTTGTGTGGTAGAGTCGCAATGGCTATTAATTTCAGATTAGTTTTATTCATTCGACCAGCCAGATAGATGTATTTCTCTTAACTTCTAATTCTTGATGTCCAGCGTATATGACCTAATCCAGTTAGTGGCAATTAAAGTTATACATTAAAGCAATATGTTCACTTGGAGATACTGAGGGTGGTGTGACATCCCCCCCCCCCCCAACAGCTTATAAATCGGTGTCAAAACTGCTGTAGTCTTCTTGACAGTGATTTGATGGCATTAACACACCGCGGGCACAACCTTGCTGGAGGTCATATTCCAACACTGACTATCATCGTACATGAAGTGAGGCTCGACGCGGAGTGGGGACGGGGAGTGGGTCGACGTCCACCTCACCTACACCACCATGATGTATTCCCACCTGGCGTAAGATGACCAGTGTTGGAATACGACATCTAGGAGGCGTTCTGGTGAGGTCAGGCACCAGTCGGCTGAAGATAGAGCTCGCTTCCTATTTACTAGTGGTCGCTGGTTCACTCTAGGAGCACCCCAAGTCTACCCAGCTGTGAATGGGTACCAAAATTTAACAGCTGGGAAATACAAGTGACAGAGTTCAATACTCACTATACAGTTTGCTGTATCCACACTGCCATTAGGATCCATTTTCGTAAGCTCACCAATGATCTTCTCAAACAGCAGATCAGTAGTGTGTGGTTGACTGCCCGGCGGCTGTGGAAGTGAAAAACATGTCTTGATACTGATTAAACAAACCGTTCATAAACAATACCCAACATCTGTTTATCTGTCTTTTGTTCTGAACTAAAACAAAAACTTACCCGGAGGATGAAATTCAGAGACGCCACAAGTTGAGAACACTTGGAGCTAACATTTTTAGAGTGAGGGTTGTGAACACTTGGAAAACCTGTCAGTGTTGTGAGTTATGAATTGTGATGGCACCGTGTGAGCTTTTAAGGTCTCTACACGGTCATTGCACAACTCTCTTAACACTCTGGGACACACTCTATCAAGGTCAGGTGTATTATGAACCTTGAGTGTCGACAATTTGGATCTAATACTCTGCTGATGCCCAGTACTTGCCAACAGTGCCTAGCAGACATGACCGACCGACCAAGCTGCTAACAGACTGATCAGTGACAAAGAGGATAAAGTAATTAGCTGTTTGTAAAATTTAAGTTAAAAAATCTAAATATAATTATAAGTACGTCCACTTTATAGTCTTTAAAATACGTTAGATAATAGATACATTCAGTGACTCCTCCAAGGATGGTGGGAATTTAAGTACAGTAACGAGGCAACAAGGGCAGATCCATGAGGTCCTGAGGATCCGGACCCCTCTTTTCACCAGAAATTTCCAATACTTTCTCTTTAATGCAGTATTGTACTCAGGCATTTTTGTATAGTAAAAAGTAATTACTATTAACCTTATAATATCTCCTCATACCAAGTGCACACTGCTTGAAAATCCCGTGGTATTGGTGTTTAAAAAAATCGTAGAGGGGGAGGCTTACAGCGACCCCCCCCCAGCTGGGTGGGCTCACTGTGCTCGGCCTCTTCCCCGACTCGCAACTTCTTGAGCTCCTTTCCCATTCCTGGATCCTCCCGACAAATTTTACTCACCCTCACTGGGAGTAAAGATCACGTTGTTGGCCCCAGACACCTTCTACCCAGCCAGATGTTGCCTGATTGTAAACCATTACTTTTCACATCACTAAAATCCTGTCTTTAGTAATTTTCACACGGTGATGATGTAACTTCTGCTGACGTTAACATGTCCGGTGATGATATTCACTTAACACATCCATGGGATTATTTATGTCAGAGTAATTTGTCAAAGTATCTGTCAATCACAGCTGACTGGATATTAATATTTTTTTTTCTAATTATCTCTGGGAGTTTCATTGTAATGCACTGCTCCATGTGACTTTTGTAATGTTTTGAACTCATTGTTGTCATCCCATCAACTATGTATTCAAGTGTGGAGGAAGTAACGTCACTTATGGGGATCTATAGTAACAAGAAATTTAAGATGGAAATAACCTTCACCAGGATAATATTTAATACGTTCACTACCAGATGGTAACCCTCATATTCATGCACTCAGATTATCAAAAATTCGAATATTATTTTTTTCCTTTTAATGGGGAACTATGCCGTTTCTATTTCATTCAAGGTATAGCGCAAATTTGGTAGACAGAATGTCTTCAAAAGTAACTTGTAACCTTACCGAATGCACAAGTATGGGAGGAATTAAACTCACAACCTTGAGACCCAGACCTCACCTACTGGTGGTCACCTTTGTCTGCTCTTGTTCCCTGCTCCCAGAATCACTTAATTAACTCTTTACTTTATCCTCTTCGTCACTGATCGGCTACTGGTTTATAATTTCTGTTATTTGACGGTTTTCCTCTCATAACATATGGTAGTCACAATGGTGCCCTATAGCTTGTGTCAAGTGATATAAAATAGTAAAGGTAAATTTCTGTATAAAAAACACAGTTTCTCCTCTTCATAAGATGGCTAAGAGTGAATAAAGGCCTTCACTATAGACCCCCCCTCAGGATCCACCCGACTCCCAAGTTCCATTACACATACAACCTTCCATGTGTTAATTCTATACTTTCACATATCACTCCCTCACTTTGTTATATCTTTTATGTGCATGTCCACCCTTATGTTATATTAAACACAGATTTCCTTTAACTAACATTGTACAATATTTGTCAATTCTATCTTCTTCACACCCTTCACTCAGAGGTCATCATGCAACTCCTAATTTTATTCCGTCATTCTCCAATTTTTGTGCCAGTCATTAAGTTGACCTCGTGTTTCAGCTGGTAATATGGTTCTCCGTGACCTTCTACGTGGCTGACCTGTGCCTGGACCTGTGGGTGTGTGCGGCCCACTTCGACGCTGGCCGCCCCAGGTCCGCTTGGTTCATCTTCTTCTGTATCCTCCTACCCAACCTCTACGCTGGCTACAAGTCTCTGCAGTGGTCTGTCTCACTTTCCTCTGGCTTGTCTCTGGTTACTTAATAATACTTTATGGCTATAAATATACTTTGAGAGTTAAAGCATTATTTGTAGTATAAGTATAGTTTGTGAGTATAAGTGTACTTTATAACTGCAAGTATACTATGTGGACATGAGTTCTTGAATAGTTGAGATAAATGGGAACAATAGATTGATTCATTTATGTGAAGGTGTTGTATGTCTACAAAGGGAGGAAGAACAACAGTGTTACAACTGCTATACATATTCCAGGTACCTGAGGGCCCATGAGATACTTCCCATCAGGAGGCCATCAGTCTGGATCATCCGGGTCCTCTTCTTCCCTATTAGCCCCATCCTGAGGTAAGTCTTGCCTCTTACTTCCTACCCATCATCAGTGAGGTAGGTCTTGCTTATTTCATTCTTGATTAAATTAATCCTGAGGTATGGTATGTTTTTTTCTGTTAAATGACACATGGATATAAAATATATAGAGGTTCAGTACACATTTCATTTTCTAGATACATGGATGCATGGATCTATGGTCGACGAGCACGTCAGAACTGGCACAACCACAACTTGGCACAGGAGCGTAAGAACTTCGAGAACTACCTGGTGGAGAATGCTGAGGTTGCCCTTCTGAGGCTGGTGATCATCTTCCTTGAGGATGCTCCCATTGTGGTACTCAACCTGGCTCAGCTCCTTGAGACACCTCCTGGCATGTGGGCCATGATTCCTGGTAGGATTGCATTGCTATATTACACACCATACTGGTTAGACATCTTCCTGGAACTTGTAGAGGCTTATGAGTAGAGACCATATGAGTACAGTACTTCTGGTAGACATCATACTGGCACTGACCAATAAAACCTCCTTGTTGATGATGACAATCTGTAGAAGTTGAATGGCAATGGGAAGGGCATCCAGCCGTAAAATTTGCTCAAAATCCCCCTAGTGGCAAATCAGACACCAAACTATCACGTAATCTTGTCTAACTCGTGTAAGTGTGGAAAATGGCTGTAAAATGGTAATGATGATGACACTTGTTCATTAAGAGTGTAAGCTTTAAGGTGGAAGTTACCTGAAAAATTTTGAGGTTTAATTGAGATGGTTCAGTGTGCTGGAAACAACATATTTTACAGTGGGGTTCCCCAGGTCACGAAAGGGTTCCTTTCCTGAGGACGTTCTTAAGTTGGATTTGTACATAAGTCGGAACACATGTTATGTGCTTACCGTACTTACAGAACAATGTTTAAAATCCCACTATATCATAGCTTAAGTCCTTATATACTGTACATCTAAAATCACTTAATTTAAGAGAAAAGAAGAAATAGAATGACAAAATACAGTAAATTAAGTAAAAATAAGTCGCCGGGTATATAAAGTTTTGTCAATTTCAAGTTTAACCTCGTTCATATTGGCGGGCGTCCGTAAGTTGGACGCTCGTAAGTCAGGGACCCCGTTCTAATAAAATGGAAATCTCATTTTCTTTACATTTCTGTGAAGTTTATACTGTACTTTCTTTAGTGTTAGCTCATTTATACATTTCATGTTCTGAAGAAAGTGAAACCACCAGATAACAATAAATTGAATAAATACAAAATATTTACAACCTCCTCACCATCTCTTGGGTGCCCAACACACTCCCTCTCTCTCTCTGAACATTCTGGTTAAGGTCATAGGTGTAGGAGTTGGATATGATTATTACCTCATTGTTACCAATATTTCTAACAGAGGGTAAGCCTGATCCTGAGATTGTGAGATTTGGGTCAGTAATAGCCAAATTGTCATGCACCATGACACTGGGTGTTGTACACTACATGTCATGCAACAAGTTGGCATGGCACCTGGCCAACTCCCAGGGCAAGAAAACTCAGGATGCAGACTCCCCTTCTACCAAAGACACCTGGGAGAATAATAAAGGGGTGCTATCCTGGACTGCTGAGGTCACCATATACTGTTGGCAACTGTTGGCTATCAGTAAGTATAACCAGAATTGCATTACTGTGATTAAAGTTTCATGATCCTATTTATAACATTTATCTGTTGTTCCTAACTATAGCACTGCAGCCTCTAGTCTACAGAGGTGTTGGAAAGTGCTTCCCTTCTGTAAATTCAGTGATGATTATCACATACAGAATGATGACAATTCAGTTGCTGACCTTTTGCTCACCTTTTAAGAGATAAACATCAAAGATCAGTGCTGGAAATATCTGGTGAATATTTCTTGATGTGATTATTTAATAAGTGAATGAGGCGGTCACTGTGAAATAATATGGTTACATTAATGCACAAGGAAAAAACAAAAACAAAGGTTTGAAGAAATTAGGTGTAAGGAAACATTATAAATATGAAACAGGAACAGGAAAACAGTAACCTTTCTTGGTGTATGAGAGCATGGGGCGTACAACCACGTGGTAGTGCACTGTGAACACTGCCAGGAAAAGAGCCATTAGTGACAGCAAGGAATTTTGTGCCTCTCTCAGGAGTGACCAAGGCCGCCTCCTGCCTAGAACTAGTCTGCTGCTCATATTTAATGTGTAAACTTCTCTATTTACAGTTTATTCAAATGTGTATCATACTCAAATTCCCTTTTCTCAGTACAACCACCCTGATAATGTACTGTAAATAATAAATAAAGCAAGATATTCCTTCATACAGAATGCCTGATATACCTGTATCATTTTTGTATGTACTGTAAGCTATACTGTACACATGAGAAATATACTGTACTGTACATAAAAAAAATTCCTTCATTCATAATAATAATGTTATTTTTCAAAGATGTAAGCAATTAAATGAACTAGTAACGACTGGGATCCTTTTCGGCAGCCTCCAGAGTGGTAGCCTATGCCTTATTCTGGGTGGTGCACTTTGGTTTGCTGTGGGTGCCTATCTTGGTCCGCTGGATGCTGCACACACTCTGGATCTACTTTGACGTCGCCGAGATGTCTCTTGTGAACTCCATTGCCTTTGGGGGAGTTTACCTGTTCTCCTTCGTCACGACTTCACCGGGACGTCAGGTAACCATATAAACAACGATACAGTCGAGGATATGAAAATTTTCTTGGATCACTTGAAGGCTAGACACCCCAGCTTATTTTGCCTTTAGATATACCACTATGATGCTCCCTGGGAGGGTTAGGTTAGATTAGCATTAGGCTGGTTAATCTTGAGGTGAAAAAAATATGTTTAATCGTGTGGTGATCCATTTTCTTTCTTTTCATAAATGCTGCTTCAGTTTTTGCTGGGAGTTAAACAATGATATTAGTTGTTTCCTCGACTTAATTGCAGTTAGTAGAAATAAATACTGTGTGCAATTAAAGATTGAAAGAGAATGCTATATAATTATAATACAATATAACAGAGCAAGGATACAGATTAAACATTACAGTACAGTTACAGTACCATTATTACCAGCATAACAATGTATGTACTGTATTGGTACACAGAGATTACAAAGAGTCTTGCTAGTCTCCAGGTATATGTGGGTTACTGCTATTTATACAGTATTAAAACTATCAGTCCACATCTTATGTTTTTCTGCTGGTTCACAATAAACCGATTTTTCCCTTACAATTTCACATTTCTTTGTGTAGTTCACATGGGTTGTATTTTAGCAGACATAAGAATGCAAACACTAAAAACTGTCAACATTATTATACTGGTAAAGTATTTCCTTTCTCCTTCAATAACAGATCCTGCGTATCACACTGTACTATGTGATAACCTTCGGGGAGCACATAATCATTGCCATCATCTGGCACTTTGGTGCTCCTGACAACTACTTCCATACCTATGGCATTGGAGTAATGTTTGGAGGAACTGCAGGTGGGGTTCTTTTCTTGACTCTCTACTACAGCTGCTGCCACCCAGACAAGGAGACAGTCTGGATACGGCAGAAACTGAGGGAAGTACAAGAGAAGGCGAGAGCAAGAAGAGAGAGCCGTACAGCTGATCAACTTGAGTTACCTTAACCATTACTACTACGCACTGTCATTCATTTTTACAGTTTATGGGAATTTGTGCAAATAGCTGTAGGGATATATGATGCCCTAATTCTGGTCATATTTAGATTAAGATGTCAAACTTTCATAAGTGTTTTCATTCATACTGTGTTTATGTTTATGAGTAAGTCTGAGGCATTGATTTATTTATATTACGCAGGGTATTTATGTAAAATTTATGCATGGCAGTATTTAATGATCCAACAGAGTCTGCCATGATATTAAACTGATTTTTAAGAGCATATCATGATGTGGTAGAGTATGTTGTAGAGTAAACAGTACAAGTAGAATCGCTTCACCTGGAATAAGGAGATTTAGTCAGTCTATTGTGTATACAGAAACATTTACCGACTCTCTCGAGGCATTATACTCCTTACTACAGATATTCACCAGAAGACGGCAAAGACTGGATGATATTGAAACCATATCTTATTTTCTCTAGTGGGGGTCATAGTACCTACTTCAGTTGCCCCAAATGTGTATCTGAGTGGTGCTGGAATGTGTTCATAGTATCAATAATAAGTGCCTTGTTTGTCTACCTTAGAGACTATAGACTGTATTGTTAACATTTCACACACTACAGGTTATAGTCTTTACACCAGTACATGTGTTCACTGATGACTACTACACCTACCTGTGACCTTTCAGCACAGTAATTGTGAAAAATAGAGAGGGAACAATGAGGTTACTGGTAGTTGTGGGTTGAAGTCTTAAGTCTGATAGTCAGATGTGGCAGATGTACATTATAGTTAAGTGCTTACAGTATAAATAATATTGTGTGCAGTATATTTATGTCATTAATGGCAAGACAAAGACTAGAAAATTATTGTCACTTAAGTGCATTTTTTGTCAAAATGACCAAATATGTGTCAGAATCATTACTAAATCCTTTCTGCTGATTCATAGGAAAGTTACCTATTTATATCAAACCTTACAGTATGTGCTTCGGTTCATTGCAGTCATAAATAGTGCAACAATAATACAAACAACTTTTTATAGTGTTCTCACAATACATAATGAAAGAAACGTATAAAACTGTTGCCATCTTTGAGTGTTCAATAAACAGTACTGGTAAATGAGAGCAGTGGCTCCCTTAGGGCAAAACAACACCTACAGTGTTAATGGCTAACTCTTCTGAGATAATTAGTTCAAGTATCAAGTGAATGGTACAAAAAAAAAACAGGAAATTCCTCTTGGATTTCCATATGTATCAAACATATATGACCTCGCATGTATGTAGAGCTAAATATATTCTTGTAACGTTTGGATATTGTGTGTAGCGTATGTTTGAATGACAAGTGGATAACAGTGGTGAGATTCTTGATGAAAATAATATACAATTAAACAAATTGAAATAATATATAATACTGTATACAGTATATGCATAAATATAAATTTTTTCCCCATTTACAAAAGGTTCTTCATGCTACAATGGTTAGGCTAGTGTGGATCTCCTGATTAAGTTGACATCCAGTACAAGTGTTAGTGTACAGTTATGGACAAAAGTTTGCTCCCTGTGGTGAAAATGAGTCACGGAATGAGTCTTTAAACTGACTTACCCTGACTATCATCTGGTGTGAGTATTATTTTATCTCATTTGGGGTCGATACCGCCTCAGTTTGGGAGAGAACGAACTTTTGACCCCAACTGTACAAGGATGAGGAAGCCCGATCATCCACCGTGGATAAGAATTCAACCATCAGCGATTCTCTAGCGAGGTGTATGTGCTACCAACGGAGATACACGCTAAGGTGATGGTGATTAGTGTCCTCCACCATGAGAAATCTCTAATGAATGATTACAAGTGTTTGGAGATAATGGAATGTAATAAGGATGACCAAGCTCAGAGAACACATAAAATGAAGGATTATCTTCTCGAGACTCTTGGAATGAATTCTTTTGGATATGTATCAAGCAGATACTGATATAAAATGGTGCCTTTTTCCCAGGAGATGTTAAACCATTGGTACAGTTCAGGACAGCACTATTCGTGTCTTATCTTTATTGCTCTCAGTCTTGTGTGAGGTAGATCCGGGGGTTATGGTCGCCACATGGATGGGAGGAGAAAGAGAGGAGAGAGATGGACGAGAAGTGTGTGGAAAGAAACGGGGACGATTGACGACAAGGATTTATACCCACATAATTATACTTGATCACATGAGGTGGTCCAGGGGAGAAGCAGACGAGCAAAAACCTTAAAAATGCCAGAAAACGCGGCGATGGCAAAGTAACACGTTCTCAAGCCTCTAAATTGCTTCTCTCGTTCTCCCCCAGATTGACTCGTATCCTTAACTAGCAAATACAGTCTAGAGGCATCCACAGTGACTCGCAAACCTTCTTATCATATCACTTAACTCTTTGTGTACAGGGTTTCTCTGTCGAATAAAATCACGTGGTGGTAGCAAAATAAATTATCTAAAGTGACATCCGTAGTGAAGGGGTTAAATTTCAGTAATACTAGTGTAACTGTTAACCTGTGATAACATGAAACACTCCCACACATGTACTATCTACTTGTTTTCAGGAAGCAGAACAAAATGCACACAATTATTTTTTTAGAAATGGTCTACATTTATGAACCAAGAAATGTACAAATGCTGCTGTAAAATAACATTGCTTCCATATCTTATACTAAACAAAATGCAAAACACTTGTCGTACAGAACAATAGAGGTGTACCACTATATATACAGTACAGTCTCTTAATGCCTGAATTATATAAATAAAACTTGACTTTTATTTACAACTTTGTTTCATTTTTTATTGAGTAACAAAAACTGAAAGGAAATAATTTAATATTATTGCAAAAAAATATTAACTTAACAACTATATTTAGATACTGATAACTATCCCAGTACTTGTGTGAAGTTATGCAAGTATTAATCACAACGTTCAAACATTATTTAAAAAAAATAATTTGCGACGGAGCTTATTGTACTGCAATATGTGGATTTAACAACCTCCAGAAAACAACAACTCAAGACTGGCATAAAGAACTTATCCATGACCACATGAGCTCCGGAATGACCGGAGGACATTTTGGGAACATTCAATAATTAACCTCAATGAAAAAATAAAAATTTACAAAAAATCCACATTATATATTTTTCTTGGACCTATTATAATCTCATGACCCTGAAAAAATAATAAATGTTGGTTAAAGTTAATACACAGTTGATACAGTACTGGCTGGCATTTTACTGCAACAGTATCCTGTAACATAAAGATAGGATCAATAATAAGTAGTCCATGTTATACAGTATGAGTTTATTGATGCAACTAGTGTGGTAGTTAGCAAACTTTCCTCACACGTAAGTGGTCAAAGATTAATCCCGAAGCAGTATGAAAATATTAACAAGTTTCTTTTTAACTTTTATTTCGGTCTACCCAGCGGTAATCAGGGACCTGTATGTTATGTGGCTGGCTGACTGTACAATATTTGGTGGTAACTGACAGCCAGTGCAGTTATACAAAACAAGAAAATCAAAGAGATCTTGATTCTAAGACAACACACTCATCAGAAACAAACATATATTAAGCACACCGTGTACAATAATATTAAGTAAAATACAGTATACAGGGGGTATACTCATAAAATTACAAAATGCAACACATGTTTCATTGCAGACAGCGTATAAATCCATCCCCATTACACATTTCATGATAAGTGATCACCTAACATCAATGATGCCTCACTCCTTCCTTGGCAGCTCCTCCCTGAGCAGTCAAACACCACCATGTTACTCTCACTGGGTAGATGTTCCCCCCTCCCCTTCCCCTACTGCTATTTCCTCCTTGTGGTAATGCTTCATTTAAAAAAACATAATGTAGGTTGTCTCTGTCTACCCAATACATGTACTTAGTGCTACTTAACCTCTATACTGTATACTGTATATCCTCTTTGGCTTCCTATCCTCAGGCATTGTTTTCCATTGAGGCGCTCCAGGTGAGAACTGGATAAATGACCAAAGTTAAAAAACAAAACAAAGCACAGTTAAAGTCTGGCAATTTTGAAATAAATATAATGGTACAATAAACACATCTCAAGTCACTTTTTTGTCTGTCTTGTTAGTACATCGGAGCATTCCCTCTCTTCACTCATTCAACAATTCACATCCTCGGCCCTCTCAGTCATCCCATACCAAACATACCTCTCACTGCTACTCATTCCATTAAAAAATCAGCCCTTAGGTGATTCATTTCTCTGGCTTGACATTTAGTATCATCATTCCTCCTTCACCTCCGACCTTACACTAAAATAAATAACTACCTATCAGTGATGTAGTCAAGACCATCTGCAATTTTAGTCTTTAAAGATCACAAGAATAATAGCCTCCAAGTGCTCACCGGAAGGTTCACCCCCCAGTTTAACCATCCTGAAGTTTAACTATCCCAAAACTATCTAGGTCAGCTAATCTTCAGGTGATCCACAAAGGCTAAAATTGTAAATACAGGTCGTGTTGTTAGTAGTATCGCCTACATCACTGCTACATAAACCTCTTAATAAACTATACTCCATCCTCTAAATAAAAATAATTAATCTAATGTGCAATTCCGATATTTCGCAGATTTATCACAAAATGGACGGAGTTTTGTTTGAATTGTGGAACACGAGGAACATACAACCATTATATGCTTGGTTTAGTCTTTTGTTTAAGATTCATCATATACTGTAGCTGCCATTTCTTGCATTAGAAAAATTTCACTATCACACTTAATACAGTAAATGAAACTCTCATAATGATCTTATATGACCTTGCTTCCACTTATCTTTGTGCTTTCTTGTAACTTTACTTATATTGTAGGCCTTAAGTCTTCCCACATGACAACAGAACTAATGAAAATGTAAGAAAACAAAAGCATAATTAATTAAACTTCAGATCCCTCATACCAACACAAATAAACTTCAGATCCCTCAGACCAACTCATGGAATGGTTTCCCGTTCACTTGTTTCATCGCTTGGCTCCCACTCACTGCGCAGCTCCGATGAAACCTCAGTGAAGATCGTGTCCCACTTCCACTGTATGTCTGGCTATGATAGGAAGACATAACAGTAATAAAAATACTACAGAACATGATGAGGGTGACAAAAGACAACATACTTTAATATACAGTTTGAGAAATAAAATAGTCTTTGTCTCATTAACTAAATTTTTAAATACAGACGTAAGTGTTACATAAAAACTAGATTCAATCCAGGGACGGACTGGTTGGGTGTATATTATTATGGTATATACTGTACAGTACCTGGGAACAGTCAGCGGGTGTCATCAAGGCAATTTAGTATAAGTCAAACCATCTAGCTGGTTGTTTGTAATTTTGCTACAGAAGGAAAACAAGTTGAAGATCATAGTAAAGGACAAACCTCTCGTATATCAGCCTCATTTGCCAGGGAGTTGGTGAGTTGTCGCAAGTCTATATCATCCAAGGTTGAGAAGGCAGCATGACGCAACAGATCGGAGTCCAGTTCCTTGTATGTGGCTACCAGGTTGACAGCCACACTGCCAGAAAAACAAATGGGACACTGTAGTTCACATAAATGACACTAACCTAATGTGAAATTTCATTATAGTGTAAAACAAAAATGGAAACATCAATTACCATTTTAGTTCTCTGTCAATTATGATTTTCAGAAGGGTATGGAGAACAGTGTCATGTGAGCTGACTGGCAGAGGACAGCAGGATGGAGAGAAAGTAGTGAAGCTCTTAGGATTAAAGCAACAGTACACTAAACTAACAAATACCTTATTTACTCAAGGCAATGAAGAGATAAGGTCTGGTAAGTCCTATTTCATTTGGTCAAGAAACATTTGCTCATGCAAAAACAAAATAAAAAATGAAAGAAGCAAAGAAAAAAGACTTTCATACATTCTGATGACTCTGTCTATAGCCAGAAATTTATAAAGACACCATCATGAAAAAATTACAATGGACTAAAGATTTTTATATCCTGGAGATTTTTCTATTGGGATTTTCCATATTTCATAAAACATTTCTGATATTTACATTTTTGGGGGCTATACAGTACAATATGTAATAAAATAAGACTATTTTCAGGATCACCCAAAGATTAACCACCCAAATGCTCACCAAACTTAACGTCCCAGGGTGTTTAATCATCAGGTGAAATAAGCTGAGGGTAAATCTGAAGGTGATCCTTTATTAATAATATTTTTCAATTTTTTTGTGTGTGTACTTTTGTATGAACACCCACCTGGGAGCCTGAGCAATCTGCTGAGTAAAATCCTCCTCCACCACATCATCCAGGTCTGGGATCACAGGAATTTCTGTAAAAAACATTAACAGGTAAACATAATTATGATGTTTGATAAGAGTCCTTCTAATACTGTCCCACTTATAGAAACACACCCAGAGGTATGTTAAGTTACTGTAAATGTAAATCAAAAGTGCATAACTGACCACCTATACTGGCTAGTAGGCTGACCAAGGGTGAAGAGGATAAATAGTAAAGTAAATCAAACAAGTTCTTGAAGTATGTTGACCATCATCCTCCATCTTTACGTTACGTCTAAGCTATGATACGTTAAAGCCTAAAAAGCATTAATTGTGATCTCCCACCAGAATATAAACAAATTCTTTAACTCAACTCCTAAATTACTCCTAACCCTCATCTCCCACTCTGACACTACCACCCATCTAAGTCAAATTATCCCAACACTACTCTCCCCTGAGGCAGCAAATAACACACACTATACCTGTGTCTGAGTCTGAGTCATGGTGAAACCTTTTATCCTCTTGAGGTGGCCCAAAGCCCCTGAATTAAAGAAAAGTGAGAGAGAAATCCTGTAATCTGGCAATCAATCGAAAAACCAAAAACTCTTAATATTGCTCCACTGTAGGAAGCAAGAGAAGAATTAAGTCAAGTGATTAATTCATGTACAGTATTAAAACCAACCCAGATTTTTCAGACTTAATGTAATCAACTAATGGCAAACAATTACTATGAAATCAGAGCAAAACTTAATACACTATTGTCATGTCATCACAAGAGTACAGATATACTTTTTATATTACCCAGTTTTGGCTGAGTTTGCCCAACCTCCAGCTCGCCTCCCTGCAGGAGGACCTGAGACGAGGGCTTCCTGTAGGGATGAAGGTTAATCACACACCATCCTGGCAGATTAAATCCTGTATATGGTGAAGGGAATAAAGTATTCATACACCACTGCAGAAGACTCACTACTGTATACAGTATACATCATCACATCCCTTCTGGCAAGGATATACAATACAGTATTGAACTGTAATAATACACAGGGCAGTCATTACAGTGTAACAACAAGCACAGCAAATTATAATCCCACACTTCATAAACTGGACTGATAAACAGCATCACCAGTCACAGTTAGTTTGCATTCTGCAGACACAGCACAGCTAAAGGGTTTTGGGTTATTTACTGAACAAATACCAGTAACAATTAACAGATGTAAAAACAAGATTACATTTAAAAAGCGAACTGGTATTCCATGGATTTATTAACCTAACTCTGAGTTTGATGACTACATAATGATCCAGTAATTTTATTATAGGCTACAGTACTGTAGTTGCTGAAATTCAAAGCTCCAGAGTTTACACTTTATGGGTTACTGTACTGTATTGTAGTATAAAATTAATCATACCCTCGGTGATGATGTGCTTGTCTTCAATGGAGAGGCAGAAACACCAGGGTCATCATTACCCATGGAGTCAGAGCCCATAGAACGACGACCTTTCCGAGGAGAACTCTGTTAAGAATAAATAAGTCACAGAACAATACAATAAAGGGAGGTACAGTTAAGTACGGGATCTCGTCTGAGCTGAATAAAATGGTTTAACCAAATAATAATAAAAGTGGCGTTCCTGTAGTGAATGGGTTAAACATTACTTAGCGGGTGAGACAAAAATAAATACTCAATAAATCAATCCAAATATTATACCTTTTTATTTGTGGGCGAGAGGTTGAAGTCTAGAGAATCCATAACTGTTTTAGTAACGTAAATAAAGACGACGCTGACACTGGTCTTGGATCACGCCTCCTTCAAGTCTCTACTGTGTCTCCTCTTGTCTATTTCTTCTGTCTCTCCCCATCTCCTGTGTCTCCCATACCTCACGAGTCTCCTCCACCAGGCAGCTCGTCATCTGGAGGAGGAATGTGTTGTTGTTTTTAAAGTGTTGGCCAGACCATGTGTGTCGGCGTCATTGATTGGTGTTTTCCTCGGGTGTAATGTGTCGGGCTCCCTGATTGGTCTGGTGACGGTCCTCCTCGGGGGCTCGTGTGTAAATCTTAAAAGAAGTAATTGATATCATTGCTGAGTATTAGATATATAAATATAAACTATATAATTATATAATAATTCTGTCAAATTGCTATAAAAGTTCACATTAGTTTATAGTAATTTATGGAAAATAAGATTTCGGTATATTCTCGGTTAATGTAGAAGAAGTACATCATAGAAAGCGTAGAAAAAGCTAAGTTTTATGGGTATCTTGTGTATTTTGTGTATTATGAAAAACTGAAGGAGATAATGCCAAATAATTTATGAAGAGTAATATAATATAAATCCACATGTGTTATATTTAGCTAAAATGTTAAGTATAATCTGTTTTTATACTTTGTTGTTATTAATTGCTTTATGAAGTCCACCCTTGTGAGGAATGACGATACTGACACAGTTGATCGACATATACGTTACATCCCGCTATAAACAATTTGATGTAAAGGGAAAAATAAACATATTTTTGTTCTGTTATCAGAAAGACGGATTATTTTGTATAATAATTTTTGTATTTACATCTTAAATTCCACCTATAGACAATATGCCGTACAGTAACTAAGTTAATATAAAAGACACTAGTTTATTTAAGAATCACGTAATAGAGAGTTTCGTCATAATTTCGTCAGTATCAAGTAATAATAAAGTATAGCAAAGTAAATTACAAAGCTTTACATGATTTACAGTTGGATAAAACAAGGAGATAAAGTGTAGTAAAATACCAGTGAAGTTTAATGTGTGGTGGATGGCCGCTGACCGTCAGCTGACAGCTCCAAAACACAATGTGTTAAGTTGTCATTATTATCAGGGAAGGATCACAGGTAACCGGTCACTGCCGAGTCAACCGCCTCTCACTGAAGATTTGAGAAATACCTTTGAAACGAGGCAGCTATGTCTTCTCAGTGGAACGTGTATGAGAGTTTCCAGGCTCTTCTACAGGTATTTACTAAGCGGTTGTTGGGTAGTTAAATGGCATGGCGTCCACTATTGATATATTAAGGTGTCAGAAGGCAGGTGCTGACAGTTACACCTTGATGTATTTGATGTTTAATGTTGAGGGTAAACCGGAAAGATGTAATTTATCAATGATTTTAAGGCATTAGATATACAAGAATGTAGGTACAAGGTAATGAGGCGTCTGGCTCTTTAATTTATTCGACTTTAATAAATGCATTTTAATTCGACTTTGCTTCATTGATTTTCAGATATTTATGGACAACAATTTTTACTATGTGACCCCTGAATTGTAGCCTTGAGTCCTGGGATGTTAACTTGAGTATTAAGGAAACAGTGAGTCAGAAATGACATAGCAATATTAAGAGGAATTTTTCATCTAGGTCAACCATAGGACATAGGCGTCAATATTACTTAATATATATGTAGACTGAACACTCTCCAGGTGCTTATCAGAGTATGGTACTTATAAGACATATGGTATTAAACTGTTGAGGAGAGATGCCATTAACCATATTAATATAACATTCAGATACATATATAGTGTCTCCCATTTATATATTCAAGTTAATTTTTATATCATTTCCTTTGCTTTGTGGAAAATTAAATAATTATATGTCACAAATAAAAGCTAATGACCTATTTATGTAGTAGTGACCCGATGAACTTGACTAATGAGACTGTTACTTGGAGCAGGCTGGGCCGTACCACTTGGCTCTGGAAGGTGTGCTGGTGATGTGCATTATCTGGCTCTTCACTGCCAAGAAGCAACCCTCCAAGCTCATCAGGCTGACTAAGAAGGTATAAGATTATTAGTAATACAGGATTAATAGTTACCAAACCTGAATGATAACTTATGTGAATGATGTGGAATTTGTATCTGGGAAACTTGATCACATTCTCTTAGCGTACTCTTCCCCTTCCCTTTGCTTAGTCCTCCCCTTCCCTTTGTTTACTCCTCCCTTTCCCATGATTGAATAAAGGAAGGAAGAGATAGGAGTTGTTTCCTTTCCCTTTTTAACTTGTCTGCTCCTTTCCACCCTCTTCTCATCACTGTTCTCTGTTTATAATTTCATCAACATTAACACAGGAAGAAGAGGAACTGATAGCAGAATGGATGCCAGAGCCACTAGTGCCAAACCCACCCAAGGAAGACCACCCGGCCCTGCACACCCGCACCATCTATGGCAAGGTATTTGTGCTTGTGTGATCATGATTTTTCTAATTATATCCCCTTAGAGAAATGTTGTTTTAGCTTATTTTTTGTTTTTCGTTATTTATAAATGTATCTTTCAGCCTGGACGTTACTTGGACCTGGGGACTGGTGAAAAGCTGCTCAACTTAGGCACACACAGTTATCTCAACCTAGGTGAGCGACCAGAGGTGGAGGAGGCCGCCTTAGAGTGTCTCCACAAGTATGGGGTGGGATCGTGTGGTCCTCGTGGGTTTTACGGTACCACAGGTTAGTTACCATCAGTCTCGCCATTCACTACTTTAGTACTGTTTGGGTCTGAGACAAATGAAACTTTCTGTAATTTATTCCGTTGGCAAGTAATACATAATAATGAATACTATACTGTACCTACTTATCTATGCTATGCTGAGATTTTAGTCATGGTAACTTAATATTTTGAGAGGCAGTGAGTATGTCTGTAGAAAGAATTATAATTACAATGCTGCATGTGGTGTGCTCCTTGTTGAAATAGCTGGACATATAATACTAATGACTGAAACTAATCCTTTCAGAACTCTTGACAGTATAATCATTTGTTAAACATTTACCCAGAGGTCCACTTGAAGCTGGAAGACAGATTGGCTGTCTTCTTCAACTGTGAGAAAGCTGTGCTGTATTCCTATGGCTTCTCCACCAGTGCTTCTGCTATTCCAGCCTATTCCAAGAGTGGGGACGTAATATATGCGTATGTGCAAAGGCCTTTTAATCTATTACATTAAATGCTTTCAGACAATCACAGTCTCAGTGCATGCAGGCATAGTGTAAGATTATTGTATTTACCTCTCAGCCACTATTACTGGAGGGATGATGTCATAACCCAATTATCTGTGAGTCTGTGCATTTGCCTTTTAAATTTTATTGACATTTTGAGTTGCCATAAATGTTAGTACAGTCATTAACCAACATAACCATTGTATATTGTAGTGTGCATGGCTGTGGTCCCCAGATATACTTTTTGAAGGAGAATTTAGTAGTGGATCCTCCAAGTAGTTTATTGATTTATTTTCCTATTTCTTGTGTTCATAATATTTCTCTCGTACGAAGAAAGAAAATCGTAACGCCACGAAATTCTTCTAAATCTTCTTTATTGCAAGATGTGCCATTCAGATATCCCAGATTTGTATACAGTATTCTGCCTTTTTACATTTTTTTTTGTCTTGCTTACATCTCTTTCTGTGTTTGGCTTCTCTAACTTTTCAGTGTGTATTATTTCTCACTAACAGAGATAGATAACCGTAGGAAGCTATATTTTCTGAACACGTTATTCGTCGATGTGACTTTTTGAAGGTGAAATGAATTGGATATTTTTTAGTTTGAATGGAATATTTTGCAATTTCTGGTAAACCAAAAAAAAAAAAATTTACTTCAATCAAACTTGGCATTTAGATATTGTACATCACAAGATCTCATGTGAGTGGGTTTCTCTCCCTCTCTTTCATCAACAGTACATCTCATTATCACTTTGACAGGGATGAAATGGTGAACTTTGCCCTTCAACGAGGACTGCAAGCCAGTAGAAGCCGTATTGTTTACTTTCGACACAATGATGTGGAGCACTTGAGGGAGCTTCTTGAGGAACAATCCAGGCTTGACAAAAAGGTACATAGTGCTTAGTTCATCATGGTATCAGAATTTTGATTGTTAGATTTCTTCTTGATATTCCTATTTATTAAAAGTATTGTACGTAACATACATGTTCCTTATTGTAGAGTGGCATATCCAGCCTCATATGCATGGGTGACAGAGAAACGTATGCTTACCACATGAAAGATTTTTGAGCATTCGGACTTTTCCAACCAAGACTAAATTATCAGGGGAATTTGAGATTTTGTGATTGTGTTAGAATTAGTAAATGGTGTCACAGTAATAATGTCTTTAGAAAGAATGTTATATATATCATACGGTAAGATAGATGGATGGGTAGAGCTTACAGTGGCGTCCTGTGTTTGACTGGTGTAAACACTACCAACGTGTTATAATGAAGTGTCAACGCCATCGGGCACACATGTTTTGTTGTCGTGGGTTACAGAGGTGAGGCTAAAGAAAAAATATATAAAGGGAAGGATGATGTGGTGGATATTTTTGGAGGTGGTAGTTATTATTTACTCTTTTCTCCTCTACACATTTCAGGACCCAAAGAAGGCTAATGCAACCCGCAAGTTCATGGTGGTGGAGTCCATTTATATTAACACGGGAATGATGTGCCCCCTGCCCGAGTTGGTTAAGCTGCGTCAGAAGTACAAGCTCCGTCTCTTTATTGACGAGTCGGTCACTTTTGGCACCTTGGGGCCCAACTGCCGAGGGATCACTGACCATTACAACATACCGGTTAGTTTGTCTTGGCAGTGCAAAGTTTTAGGGTAAATTGTAAGTTTCAGTATCTTTGCACATAGGTGGTTCTGTACAGTACAGAAATACCCCAGCTGTTGTAAGCGATTCATTCCTAGAAATCATTGCTGTTAATGAAACTGCAAATATTGGGACAATTTTACCCATAGAATTAATGTAAATAGGGGGGGATGCATTCCCAGCCAGCAACTTTTACCACATTTTTTTATATATGCTTGTCATTATCTGAGGCTATAAGGGACACCATTTTCTTTGTATTCACAATGGTGTCAAAGGAATATACTTCATTTTACAAATTATTTCATCAGTTAAAATTTTCTCTTTTACCAGATGAAGGAAGTGGACATGATCATGGCCAATTTGGAGTCCTCAGCAGCCAGTTCAGGAGGCTTCTGTGTGGGGACAGAGTTTGTTATTGAGCATCAGCGTCTCTCTGGCCTTGGCTACTGCTTCTCAGCCTCCTTACCCCCTATGTTGGCAGCAGCCTCTATTAAGGTACATCTTTGATATTGTAACAATGCATTGGTACTTTCGTCTTCTTTTCTTCCCCCTTTTCAGGGTGGTTGGATTCAAAAGTAACACGCTCAATTTTTTTTTTTCTTCAAATTCCTTCTAATTCCTGTGAAATACTAATATGAACTCTTCTGCCTCAGGAAATACTAATCTGTCATGTATGAGAAAGGAAAAACACAAAAACAAATTAAAACAATTAGATTAAAATGATAAAGTTTAAAAGTTATAATATTAAAAATAAGAGTGGTTATTTACCTTATTTAGCTGCATGAAGGCTGGGATTGGGTTTAATGTCTTGCGCTCAAAGGGTTTTCGGGTTTTGGTGGCGAGCCAGATTTGGGTGGAAGGTAACTCTGGGGATCAGTGTGACTGTTTGTGTGTGATTGTTTGGGGACTGTGTGTATTTGTTTTTGGAATTTGGTTATCTGGTTATTATCTTTTTTACTTAACTTACACCATCCAGAATACAACTGAGAAGATGCCAAAAGCCTCCAGATGGTAGGAATCAAATATGAAGGTGAATGAATTGTTAAATTTCTGTGCCAATTCAAAAACCTCAGGTTGCCTGATGACTACAGTTATATATTGTTCAAGAAATTGTGTTGGTGATGGAGGGACACAATGAAAATTACCCAACATTATGTTTTCACAAGTCTGCTTATCTTCACGTGACTATAGGAGTAAGTTATATGGTGACTGTAGGTGAATGATGACACACTGAAACATGATTTGTAGATTTATTAACATTGTGAGTGTTAGAGAATAATGAAATAAGCATACTGGTAAACATTACAAAAAGGGTGAATTTTGTTTGTCATAGCGTCAGGGTTTAATTCATTAATCAAAGCATGGGACAAAAAACAATCATATATTTGAATTTTTGTAAACTTAAGCTTTGTAAATAAGGGATATCTAATTTGTTTTCATTATAGTAATTGGTAAACTTCTCCACAGGTGTTGGACATCCTTGAATCTGAGGGCTGTGAGCTGGTGGTGGTGCTGCAGGACAAGTGCAGGCAGATACAGGAGGTTCTTTCAAAACTTTCTTCCAAGGTTAATATCTTGCATCTCAAATGACTCTGTCTCTTCATTATGTTTGTCTGTGGACTGTACTGCTTACTTTGTCTCGGTGAATTAGAGAGTTTGGTTGTATATTTTGATGAACTATACAGGAGAAGACTGTTAATGTTACAAAGATTAAACTTATGGCAAGTAAAAGGGAAGGACAGTCTTGGTTTAATGTCAGTGTGCATGAAGAACAACGATAAGGTGGGGGAAATTGGATACAATATTCGGGAATAATGTGTAACAAAGATGGAAGTAGAAAATTGTCAGTTAATAATAAGAAAATGCAAGGAATAGCAAGAAGTGGAACCCTAAGAACATACAAGAAACAAGAAGTGGTTCAGTGCAGAGTGAACAAGAGAATGATTTAGGTCATACCTATGTATGTATGGATGTGAAACTTGAATGATTCAGAGTAGTGACCACATCAAGACTGAGAGCAACACTGGTCCACTCACTTATGCTCTGACCAGTACTTTGTCTGACAGAGCATATTAGACCATGAATGATGAAATTTTCCCCCGTCTTTTGATTCCCATTCTGCCATTACTTCCACAAAAGTAAATTGGATAAAGATAAAATAGATAACTGGTTAATATATGTAGAATCCTCACCATCGTTTGCCAATACTATTTGTTACCATAAAAGAGGACATATCCTTATAGATTATCACAAGCTGACCAGCATGGAGTGGCCGAGTGGTTATAGTACACGTCTGCTGACCCAGTGTTATCTGGTTGGAGTCCTGTGACCAGCGCACCTGTAATAAATCCACAATGAGTAACTAAATATACTGTTGAGGAAATGAGAGATAGTAATATGCACCGCTGGCCATGCTGACCCTCTAAAGGCGGTCTCGGGGTTCTATATCTGCACTGACTTTAACAAACCTTCATGGGTAACTTTGTAATGGTTGTAAGAAATGATTGAATTAATTTTTTATTTTTTTTTCTCTGACCACAGCTTGAGGTGAGTGGGGAAGACATTAGCCCAGTAAAGCATCTGAGGCTGAGAGAGTCAACTGGAGACAGAGAAGCTGATGAGAATATCCTGCGCAAGATTGTGGAGAAGGTAATGTGTTAGAATATCCTTCTTGTACTAGAGGTAACGTCTATGTATCATAAGATGTTTAGGTTTATCAGTAGAGTGGAAATGATGATGATGTTTACCTGTATAGAATTGTTATATTTTTCACATCATCCCTGTGTAACTGTAAACCTTATAAAGTAGCCTTATTTCAGTGTAATTTTGCATTTATTTATAGTCCCTGTATTGTTATAGTGTGGAGCTGGATGCTATTATAAGAACATTATCATATACCTGTATTGTATTGCAGCTAAACCACACACTAAGTAGTCAGTATTATATCACTTTGCAATAGCAGATTCCCTGAATGCAAGGAAACTACCTAAATGTTTGTGATCCATCCATCAATGCAAAATAGGTACATGTATTGTTATTTATTTTTATGAAAGTATTTCATCCCTTCGTCTGTTACCATTCAATCTCAAATTTTCCCTCAGGCGGAGAGTCACGGCTTAGCTCTAACCCTGGCATCCTACTTATGGGAGAAAGAGGCGTCTCCTCCTCTGCCCTCCATTCGAATCACCGTAAATAAAGACTTGACTACAGAGGAGATACAGAAAGTTGGTGAGGCCATACAGAAGGCTGTAATGGAAGTGATGGAGTAGACAGACCATGTTAGATAAGTTACTTTGCTGTATTTTGAGCATTAGAGCAGAAATGTACTATGTTATAACTACCCTGTATTCTACTAAGTTTATATGGAAAGTTGATTATTATGCCAGGAGCATTCAAGTGCAGCATACTCTGTAGAACCACAGCAGTATTATATGCTTATGGCATGGAAGTGATTAAAGGTACAGTACTGTCCATATGTGTACTGTACACATAGGCATGATTATTGGTGTAGGATGTGGTTGAAATCCTTACTTGTTGTTAGTTTGTTGTATATATATATATATATATATATATATATATATATATATATATATATATATATATATATATATATATTCCTCTTTTAGGCTCTGGACAACCTCTCAAGTTTATGGCAAAAATGGTAATATTGTGCTGTAAATAACAAGTCATTGAGCAAGGTAACTGTTAAAGTAAAATATAAAAAATGTCTTTTTATGATGCAAACAGAGGCAAATTGTGGTAGAGTCAGGACACAAAACAGTGGTTAAAGCCTCTCCTAACTCCTATGACACAGGATTGAACTTTTCTCTTGAGTTGTAAATCCAGAGGCCCCAACTGCTCTGTGAAATAAAATTGGTTTTAACTCATTTGCTTTGTACTCATAACTATGGATAATGTTTTGGAAACTTAAGAAAAGATTCACATTAAGGATGATGATTTAACCCATTAATATGGTAATGCCATACTGAAGGGGTTAATAGGAGTACACCAGAAGGCATGAATGACTTTGCTGAATCTCATGGTAGTTCACTCGGTATTCATTTGTGATGCAAATTCTAATTTTTTAAGTTTATATTGAAGTGAGGAACATACAGAATCATAATATGCCACGAAGTACATCTCACATTTCATTAGCAATTAATGAGTTTCACTTCTCATTACAATTTCTTCAGTTTCTTTTGTCTCTTAATTAAATACAGAGACTATTCACCAGTATTAGTTGTGTGTATTAAAGTGTTTGCAACAATTAAAATATAAAAAGTTGAGCTTTATTGATATGACATTATTTTGAAAAGTGTTCTGGAAATTACTTATGATGGTCACACCATTTGCATTGGTTTGTCTCTGATTACCATGGTGCTTTCCTTATGTTAAAATAGGTAGCCCTAGCATAGTCATCTCTAATCTCTCTGTCTCGCACAGTTACCCCTCTTGCGCACGCAGTAAGTTTTAAGTTTCCGTGACCGTGGCAAAAGTCATATGGGACCACTCACGTGAGGGCTGGTCGTCTTCGTTCTGCAGCCAATTTATCCCCCCTCAAAAAATTTGTTTTGTTTTTGCATGATTTATACATCGTTGGTTATGGCTTTAACATGAGCAGAAAAAAATAAATAAGATGAGAATAACACTTGAACTGTATATTTTTTCACTCTCAATGAAAAAAAAAAATTGTGTTCCCAGCATCATATCTTGGATATTTTCTCTCAAACCTACCAAGGAATTATATACCCATAGAAGCAGAATTTTATGCGCTTTCCAATGATGGCTTTAGAATTTTTGTATGACTAATTTAGTGGAGGATGGTAGAGGAAATATAGAGAGAGAAATGTGACCTACCAGCACGGGTGATGAGAGGAAACTGATGGACAGCGGAACTCCACCTGCGCTTTGGTACTTTTTGTTTAATGATGCAGTTCGTATCACTCGTGCAAATACTGTCGTGCTACCCAATGATTTGACGTGATTTGTGTCATGATGCGTGAGAGGGTTAATAACTAAGTAGATTTAAAATACGCTTCTGGAGATGAATCTGTAAGTCCATTAGATTTTTTCATTATTATTTGATTATATTTAAAGGAAACACATTAAATGTGCCTCTTAGCTTCACAGCAGGAGGGTGCGGTGTACCCTCATATATTAATCTTGGGGTCACACACTATCAGTTTAGGGTTATGGACATAAACCTGGAAAATGGATTCAGTGTAAATGTATATCTGCACCTTTGTACTTCTGTGTTTTATCTGTGTGGGGTCCATATTCATATATACATACAGGGTACATGTTTTTTAGTATACAGTGTATACATACATTAAATATAATATCTCTATATTATATATCCAATATACTGTTTCAGTTTGTACAACAGAGTGATTTGTGCAATATTTCCAAGTATTATTAATTATTCTTGCACAAATCCATTCACTCTAACACATTTCATGCACATATCCCTTCACTAAACTTTTACCTTCTAACAACAGTTTAGTCACTATTTTACTGTAGGTGTTTCTTGGACAGAGTTGTATGAAATACACAAAAATATTTTCTATTAATATTGTGTGTTTGTATTTGCATTGAACCTTAAGACTTTCCTTGCTGCATTATTCACATGCTAAGAGGCAAGATGAAAGTGTTAATAAGTACACCATTGACAGCACCAAGTTCACATTACCCATAATACTTTCAAGTTTGTGGATTACATAATAGTTTGAAGTTATAGCATGAAGGAGCTTGACAGCTTCTTATAATGTGTAATATTCTGCATGATAGAAAACTTAACTTCTGGATTTATTACAAGTACTGTACTGTTGATGTATCATGACCCATGTACTTTGAAATCTTCAAAATAAATCTGACTTATGGCCATAACTGCATAATGCACAGGAGACTTCACTAGTGTTTCCTGGATTTCTTTAATAATGTCATACAGTATATAGAATCTATATTATAGATAAGCTTTGATTAAATGTTTTACACTGACCAGGATAGCAAACCACTGCAGAAAGTTGTAGACCTCATGAAGCACCACAGTAAGAGTATATCTACAGCTTTACAGAGCCACAAGAAATATGTTGCTATTTTCTTTTGACTTTGGGTAAGTGTCATAAATCTGTTGCATGAGTGAAGAATTAATTTACAGACTTTTTCATGTTGTTTCATACAGTGGCAGTAGCATTCGTGGACACTTGTTCTAGCACGGTATTTTCTGTTCTGAATGTTTATGCAGTTTCTGTTGACGTCATATATTTTAGACATAGTTATGGGATGCTGTTTAGGATTATTTATGAATTGCATGATTCTTACGAACAGTCACATGTTTCATACTAGTCTTGTGGAAAGTTGAAGGTGCTTGTCAGTGAGTGAGGAGTAGATTATCAACTTGTTTACTTTATTATACTAAAGGGCTCATCAAGTTGCATAAAAATAATAAAACTATAATTTTAATATTAAAGTTCTGTACATGACAAATACAACTATATGTACAAAATCCATTACAATTAGTATATTCCTCAGTCTCGATCACAAATTAAAATATATATCTGGTAAGATGTCTTAGGCTGTTACTAGCACTTTAAGAGATGTAAATGAAAAGTTTCCCTAGATAAAGTGTGGTGAGGATCCTCCGTGTTTGAGTGACAAGAAATTTTTATCCTTATTCCAAAAATAAACTAAGATTTTCATTTGTCTTTTATTAAGATTTTTCTGTGATATAACATAAGGTCAAATATGGTAACATTCAAAGGCTTGTCAATCAATAAATAAACATTATATACTTAATCACATTTAGCTTATTCCTGGTACAGTATCATGTAAAGTAAGCAAAAAGATGCCATAACATCTCTTTAGCAGAAGGTCTTGATCAACAACATGCCATAAAAGATCTTGGTTATATTAATTAATTTAACTACAATAAAAGTGGTGTATTAATTTATACAGGCATTAGAAAAAAGCATGACATTAACACATGGTAGTCACACAATATGATTGATGCATTAATAAAGGCAGCCAGGAAAGAACAAGTTACCCAGACTTGTGGTCAGTAGTAGAGGAAGTTTGAATAAAAATTAGTTAACAATGTGTTTTCTAAGTACAGTATTAAACAAGATAGTGCGTGTGTGATATATATTGTACACATCTACAACATTACAGTACATACCAAAGATAGTTATTTGTACATTATTATTTAACACTTCCCATATATATACAGTGTATAACTAAACCCAAAACCAAGTACTGTACCATTCTTCAATTTTTATGATTATGAATAACAACAATCTTTAGAATGTTAATATTAAAGGAGATGAAATAATATACATGTAATCATTGCGCACTTTTCAGCAACGTCTGGTTGAGTCTTCATATCACAATAAAATTGAAAGAGAAAAGCTGAGCGTTGTCTTATAAATCCTAATGATGTGGAAACTCAATGTGTGTACTGCACAGTACTATATATAAAAAAAATACTATGTGGTGAATGATGTCGGCGGGGAATGCATTCCCCCCACCCTCCCATTTACATTAATTCTTATGGGGAAAATTGCTCTGATATTCGCAGTTTCATTAATAGCAATGACTTAGGAACTCATCCCTTGTGATACCGAAGTATTATTGTGCTGTACTAAAATCTGGACTGTGTAAAGTACGGTACATTAATATACTGTACAGTATAAACAAGTTTCAGAATACTATTCAACTAGATACTAAAAAAAAATGCATTTTAATTTTTTTATAAAAAAATGTTGACCGCCACATTGATGTTTCAGATTTAAAATCTTTATGTATGATATTTAGATACTTTTTTGTTCACTGTACATGATTACAGCAAGAACAGAACTATTACTTTGGTTACTACATAACTGGGAGTTCATATTAATAGATAATTTATGGCTCACACTTGCCTTACATTGAAGAGATGAATTCATCTTGAATTTACTTTCTGATTTTCACCGATGAAACTCAATCTGCCAGTCTCAAATATGCTGTACTGTATGTACCTTCATGGAGTTTCCAAGTACCTGTACTCAAACTGGTACTGTATAAAGATATCAAGATTTTGTCAACGTCTAAATATAGCAAGTTAAAAATGCATATAACTGGTAACAATTATTTTTCTGCATCCTGTAAATTAACTGATAGAATTGAAATTTTATTTTAAACCTGTATAAAATATGGACGATGAAACTGATATAATTCAGAATTAATATGTTTACTGAAATGTGTCATTATTTGTTCTTTCTTATTTAACTGAATGCACAGAAATGCTGTACCAAGTATTCAATGATACTGTTCAGCTGATCAAAGTGAAAGCTGCTTATAACTACTGGGAGCTACAGTAACAGCCTCTACCAGATATAAAATATTCCTACTGAATGAACCATACCTATGTGTTATTAAACAAGAGGAGAGACACAACTTAATCATTCCACAGTGTTACACTGTAATTATTTTAGTTTCAGCAAATGTAACTCAATTTAGACTTTAGCCTTAACTGTAAATATTATATCAGACTCAAACTGCTGAATGGTTAAGACAATATTACACTAACTGCTGAAAATGAACAAATAATGAAACCTGTAAGGATGCATCAGAGGTGTGAGTCAGCTGGTCAGTGGGTGAGGAGTGTGGCAGATACCAATGTTCAGTCAGATACTCTCACACATTTCCTTGTTGTCCTTACTGAAAAAAGAAGGTTTGTCACCAAGACTACATGTACAGCAAGTGGAAATGTTAAATATAATGATGCTAAGGTTTCTGAGCATTAAAGAGGAGGATGTTGTTACCCTGTAAGATCAAATAATACATTTTCACATTAACACTTTACAAAAATTATCATTCCTATGTAAACTTTGTTTTTCCAATGTTTAAACAAGATAGCTAGTTCAGTGGGTAAGGTTTTCATTATATTTTAGGGAAATATACTACACTTAGTGATGAATACTGCATTATAGGAAGAAGAATAAGCATCTTTCTAAAAAGTACATATTGTTCTGTACCAGCTTATGTATTTTACAGAAAATGTAATACAATACAGTACACAAATTGACTCACTGAAAAACTTGAGGGAACCAAAGAGTCTCACTTGAAAACACAATGTATGTGTAAAGAGTGAACAAATGTGAAGTACTGTAGGGAAGGTCATGCTCACCTGTGAGCCCCATTGGTGGTCAGTACCGGTCCATTCACCCATCTGGGATGTCAAGAACTTACTGACCACAAACTCCAACCCCAGAGCAAGTACAGCCACTATGAACCCCATCATGAGGACAAAGAATGCTGCCTGGTCAACACAATATTCATGTTACAATCACTCACTATAATTATGAATACAACCATTCAAATATTCTAACTAACATCAATATTGCATCTATGTCACCAATAAGAATCACCACTTTTATCACTATAAATTCCTAACGTCGATCACCACCACTCACCTGAAGATGCTTGAGGGTGATGGCTGAAGGGCCTCTCTCAGTAGTGGAGTCCTGGGCAGGAGGTCCCCCTGAGATCATCTGTATCTCCTTCTCCTTCCAGTATGCGATCAGTCCAGCTTGTGATATACGTGTCAGCCTAGACCAAGGGAGCAGAGACCCTTAGTATGATTGAGTTACAGGTCCAGTAATACTGTACTGGGTTTAGGATCCATGATATAAACACTTCAAAGGACATTACTCAGTGAAATATGAGAGCACATGAAGAAGTGTACCAGAGATTTCCATTGTTAATTGAATGGGTTGAACATTATATTCTGGTGAAGTTGATCAATGCCTGAAGTAGGTGGATTCAGCTGTCCACTACAGCTTGTATTAATAAGTCATCTGATCTAATACTGTTAGTTAATGTTAATGTTCAGTAAAGAAATATGATAACATTTGGGTCCCTTCCTCTATACATACACCAAATCCATATGCACAAATTATGTCTAAACATTTTTAAGAGAGGAAACTTTCTTTAGAACTGTTCATTAGGAACAGTCCTGTTAACAGTTCCTCAGAACCACCACACAGGCAATAAATGACTTATAATAAATACAACAATAAGCAAACAAGCCACTCACATCTGGTTGAACTTGGGTATGAAGGGTGCGCCCTTGTTACAAGCTATCCCATAGCCTTGTGGATAGAAGGGCTGGCGCCCCAAGTGGTACTTATCTTTACCCCGCTGGGCAGCGCGCACCTCAGAGTTCAGCTGAGGATTCATCAACACAAACTTCCTTCTCGTGATCTGTGGACCACAAAATTTTATTTACTTCTGAATTTATGATAAATGTTTGTTTATGAAGACACTTGGCCCCAGGTTTGATTCTTGGCCCAGGTCGGATATGAGAAAGGTGTTATCCAGTGTACACTACCAAATATGGTAGCTTTCCTCAGGGTACTTCAGTTTCCTTCTATACTAACACTGGACATTGAAGGTCATAACAAAGAAAAGACCGACACTCTCCCCGCCCCCCACAAACATCTAAAAAGCTGGTAAGTGGTAGATTTTGTTTTGTTTTACACTATTAGCCTATAAGCCATTCAAGCAATTGGTATGTTCTTCATTTACTGTATTTCATTCCTATCTTTTTATTATTGTTATTCTTACCATTGCTTTTTTCTGACTGTTGTAGCCTGATAAAAGCAACAGGGACCATCTTTAGCTGCTATCGTTCTTATACAGGTTGCAATACATAATATTTACTTTATCATCTTTGCTACTGATTCATCTGTTAGCCACTTAGCCAGTCAGTTATGCTTCTTTTATGCACTGTTGGCAAGTACTAGGTACATACTGGCTCCAGAATGTATCTGTACCTGTGCCAGTGTTGGTTAAGTCTGGTCTTGAATAAGCACACAGATTTAACCAACACTGCATAGATCATGACCCAAAATCACTACCAAGCAGGAAAAGAATATCAGTGTCCTGTAGGTGACCTCTAAAGCTGACATATAAAGTCTATTGTCTTCATATATATATTGTACAAAACACATCCCTTGAGCCCATCGTTATTATAATTGCGTATGTCCATCATAGCAGTGACAACGAAATCACTATCAACTTACCTGGTCAAAGCCCGGGTCAACTGTCTTAAAGAAACTTTTTGATCGATCCTTGTGGTTGAACAGCCCCCAAACCTCCTTGTAGATGCCTTCCTTTGCCTCCTGTAATGGTACAATACTTTGGTAACTTTCTTATTAAACACAAGATAAACAAGTAAGAAACAATCAACAAGTCATCCTCATGTTGGTGATGACAGCTTTCTACTCTCAACAGTTTTGGACAGTCTTTACTAATGTGCTGCCAGGATAATTATCCGTCTTTATGAAAATAAGTATGTTGTTAAAGTTACCTCACCTTGAACATGTATTCAATGTTGGAGTCACCGAGGGTACCAACAGTAAAACCGTCAGCCACAGCGTCAGGCAAGTCAGTTAGGCTGTCGATGGGTTCCTCATAGGCAGGCAGCGCCAATACCGCCGTCAATGTCCCAGAGTACAGAGCTGGGGAGCCGTAGTGTTGGTGTGGCTTTGGTCTTACATGACAAATAGTATTTCTTTTAATTATTGTCAATGTTATCAATTGTCTGGACAGTCCTGCACCTATTTGTTCTATGTTACAGTTGCTGTGAATCCCAAGTTTCAGAATTGTAAACTCATTTTATACTTCTTGCAGGACTTACTTGTCTAGTTATGAAAACTATATTGATTAACATCAAATAAAAGATGAACAGTACAGTACAGTACAGTACAGAGTACTAAACAACTAAAATACTCCTGAAAGCCAAAGCAACAAATCTTTGCATAATGTACTACAGCAGGAAATTAAAGATGTATGGGAGCTTGGGTGCTGACAGCACCTGGTAAGCAGTACATAAAACTCTTACCATAGATGTAGAAGCAGAAGAGGTACCAGAAGAAAAACACAAGTCTATGTGGCCAATGAGGGGTGGTGAGGAGGTTACCCTGTGTCACCATGTTACGGTACATGTTGAAGGAGTAGTCGCGCAACTTGCGGCGGGGAGGCCAACTGACGTAGAGATCCAGCCCGTGTCCCAACAAACTCACAATGGGACCGATGGCTACTGTTGATGCCACAATACACAGCCACACCTGCCAATACAATGGAAGACAGTTATTCTCTTTTTCTCTCTTTTATCCTCTTCGCCACTGATCAGCTTGTTAGCCGCCCGGGCGATCGGTCACGTCTCTGTCACGTACTGTTGGCAAATACTGGTCATGCACCGGCTCCTGAATGTACCTGAACCCGCTCCAGTGTTGGGCAAGTCTTGTCTTGAAAGAGGTCACACTCGGCATCATATAATTTGTGTTTAATGACATTTAATATATTGAACTGTAGTGGGCTAAGATGTTAGGGTGACTCTTGACAGGCAGTATATTTTCCATTTATTCTTGTACAGGAAACCTAACATTAGAGAATTAAGCCACACTATACAAAACTGAGAAGACTGAAAGTTAGAGCAGGTGAACTATGACTCCATATGCCTCCCACCCTCCCTGCCTCACACCCCTCCCTCCCTGCCTCACACCCACCTGCACAGAGAAAGGGGAGAAGACAGCGAAGACCCTATTCTTCTCAGCTGGGGCACGGGACACCAGTATTAATGTCTCCAGGTAGTAAGGAATCGTGAAATCCACCACAGTCTCACGGCTGCCTGTCATCATTACCAATTAATCTTTTAACTCATACAGAAAGACTCATCAATAAGTAACAATGATGACATGATCACAATACAACAACAATGTCTCTCTCTGACAGGAGAGTGTTGTGTGTGTGTGTCATGTAAACACTTGGTCATAAGGGACAAAATAGCAAGAATAACAGTGTAAGGGAAACTTTTGATTCATTAAATTCACTCTTGGTCTTACATCCATACAATGGCCTAGGCCACTGGCTGTTTCAAAGACAGATACAACCCTTACTGGATGGTCTCAAGTGAAGACCAACAAAACTATATTTAGTACACAATAGGAAGCAGGTAAGTCCCTACCTTCAGTACAGTAATATACTGAATTGTTCAAAAGAATTGTTGTCTTGTTTACTCGAAATTTTACACAGTATTTTCTTCATAATTTACTTTATCTTTATTTGTTTTAATAACTTGAATGTATTCTTATCTATGTTCAGTTACATCATATCATGCAAGATTAAATTATGTAGGTTAGTTACGATTATATTATGCTTAATTAGGTCAAATAATGAGTTAGATCATAGGTAAGGTTAAGTCAGATTATATTAGGTAAAATTAGATTATCAGAAAGTTACTTTATGTTTCATTATAATAAATTAAGGTACATTATGTTAGTTCAAGTTAGGTTAAATTTCATTAGGTTATATATTATTAAATCAAATTTTGATTACATTACTTTAGGTCAGGTTAATTACTTTATCCTCTTAACCACTGATCAGTCTGTCAGCCTTCGTACAACTCAGATGATCAGTGACTTTTGTGAGGAGTCAGCTGGTCTCTTACCTGTGACGGTGATCTCACAGATGGCCACGTGTGCCTCCCGGCGAGCCACCTGGCCTATGAGCCCTGATACTGTACCATCAGGGAGAGGACCACCCCACTGACCGTCTGCCGGGGACACAACATGGTACCTGGGGAGTGGATCTTACCTGTGGTCACTTGCTACCTTACTGCCTTGTTCTCTTATCGGGCAAATCATTTATGAAGCAAACTAATAACAATGGCCTCAGTACACTGCCCTGTGGTACCCAGCTTGTCACAGATACACATGACAATTCTGTCCCAATAATTACCACACCCACACACTGCCTGGGTATGGGTCATGTAACGACAGATAAGATTGGTGTACAAGTTTGATATAGGTTGGTCCAGTTGGAGACATGGGTTACCACAAGGGGTCTGGGAACACATTTCTGTAACTGTACTACTGTATAACTAATGTCACCTCCTAAAATACAGCTGCTCTTCTGTAGTTTGTATTAGTGTATATTTCCTAGTCTCCCATTCGTCCATTCTCTCATTCTATTTCACTCACGTAAAGTTCAGGAACTGGCCTAGAGTGTTCATAATTTCAATGTCGATGCCGGTTTTTTTCTGCACCTTTCCATCCCTGAACTTATCCAGACCAAAGAATGGCCAGTTGTTATTGGCTGTCACAATCAGCTGCCGTCCACTCATGTCCGAGTACAGCTTCAAGGGATCTGGCACCAGAGGTTCTTGTACTTGTACCACAGGGCCTGATGGCGTCAGTATCCAGGACCCGACCGGTACGAACCTTCAGGAAGATGTTCATAAATAATAAAGTGTTTGTGTATTGTTAAATGGTGCACAGGATATAGGGAAAGTGTTGGAGCGGTACAAGGTAGTGTCCCGTACTTACTTGGGAAGGCCGGTACTGTCTACCCTAGAGATCATGATGCTGTAGGAGGTGGATGAGGTCCTCACAGCCAGTGTCACCTGTCAACACAACACCTCATCATGTCTACCTTCACATACACTAATTAAGCTTCACACTATACCAAGTATAAACAGTAGGCAGGAGCATGAGTGAGGACTCACCAGGGAGCCCTCCCACAGTAGTGGCTGCAGGGTCTGGGACAAGTCCGTCTCCCCCACCATCAACCACCAGAGACTCGGCAACTCCAGCTGTCTCTCCCGTACCTGTTAGCACAGTTATAGTGATAAAGGTTTTGTCCATAATCTGTACACATTTTAGTTCATAAATTATTCATCAGATGAGGCAACAGGTACAAGAGGGTATAATAACATTACTTTACATACAAAATGGAGGATGCCACTACAGAGTTATAATTGCTGTCTTTAATGACTCTCTCTCTCTCTCAATGTATTTTCTCTGTTCTCTCTCCATCCTTGCTGCCCTACTATATTCCACACCCCCTCCTACACTGTCTGGTACTCACATATTGGAAGATTCGTTGAGTATTTTTTGTAGAGCAGAGTACGAGCACGTGTCTGGTGCCAGTGTGTGTGGCTGTGGTCGTCAGCACCGCCTGTAGAGGTGACAGATCCTCGGAGTACTTCACCACCGTCACCGATTTATCACCGCTACCAACCTCTTGGTGGCTCCGTACTAAACCATCCACCTCTGAAATGTTGATTTTGTTTATTATTTCACCATTTATGAGTTTACTGTACTAGCTGTTCAGGCAGTTGGTCTATACAGGAGGTATATTTTTACCCCATAATTTCCCTCTACTTCAAAGCTCTGTCCACTTTGTGTGATCAAATTTGCATTTTTAAAAATGAAATCGAAAAGAAAAACCAACACCTCAAAACCGCTGATCAATAATTCAATTAATAATGTTAAAGTTTAGGCTCTGGCAGAATTGTTTTTGATCGTTTACATTTGGAAACACATTCTAAAATAGCATCATCGTAACACTACCTGCTGTTAGTGTTTTAGCTGTCCTCTTTTTAACTTTATTCTATGAAAAAAAAAAAAACACACACACACACACACACACACCACACGCACACAAAGCTTCTTCTTTGAATACTATAAGACTTTGAAAGGTAAAATGGCTTAACAATCACAGTGTTACATTTCAGACTGGGAACACGAGGACTTACCATAGTTTGTGTGGTCATAGAGGAGGTAGAGGTTGATGTCGACGGTGGCGGAGGTCAACAAGGCCACCAGCCCTTCCTCAGTGGTCAACCTCACCTCTGTCACGCTGGACATGAGTAACATAATATTAAGACATGAAAATAATGCTTACAGATTCTCTTATAAAAGCATGACTGTTTATACTTAATGTTTTGTAAGTGACATGCACAAGAAAATTAAATGTGGTAATCTTGCCACATTGTAACACATTTGTATACATATTAAGGTTTATGTATACAATACCTGCGGTTGTAGGAAGGTAGGAGGTGTTGAGAGTAGTCTTGGTGGAGGGAGAGTGTGACCCCTGGCAGATGTGGCAAGACAGGTGTGTGGGAAGGCAGGTGTTGACGTTTGCTAGGTTCAGGTAGTGCACAAAGCGCCCTTGCCAATACACACACTGTAAGGATGTATTCAGATCTCAGCAATAATTTAGCAAGCTTAAATATAAAGTTAACTTTATGAGCCAGAGAGAGAAAGAGAGAATATGCTCTATCATCCAATACTTCTGGACAAAAGCATGTTGTCAATTCCTAATTCTGTAGGTCAGCTTCAACTTTCATTACAGTTAAAGCTTTCCAAAATTATATTTTATTTAACCCTTAGAAACAGATTTCCAGGGCCTTACCCGAGAACCATTCGGCTATGAGACCTTGAGATAGGAAATATTCGGTTTCCACTATAAGCTGTGGAAATTTTACGCATTCTAAGCTCTTTACTTTTAACAACTTTAGTCTTTACAAAGTTTATTCAATAGAAACATTTCGAAGCATCATTTAATAATTAAGCGCCTCAACTTATTCACCTGATGATCAAACACTAACCTACCTGGGGAGGAGGTTTGCTTAGGTTAAATTAGATTAAAGTAGCATTAGGAGGGTTAATTTTAAGGTGAAATAAACTGGGGGGCCTAATCGTCACATGATCTGAAAGTTATCCAAGCTGAAACATACAAACTCTAGGTCTTTTGAAACATATTAACACATACTATTTTAATAAATACATATCCAGAGAGGTAAATATAGTGTGACACATACCTAAGTACAGTAGAGTGAGAGAGGGTAGGCAGCCTGGCATCATGGTAACCCTACCTGAGGGTGAGACAAGATAACTTCAAGTTATCATTCACAGGATGACACTTAAATCATATAGGATGATAAAATAGACAGTGTGCGTGTGTGTGCGTGTGGTAGTTACTTACCTTACTCACTGGAGGTGGAGTGGTAACTGAAGGACGTTGCACATCCGCAGCTTATATATACTGTATGCTGATGTTCCCCGCCTGGCAACTCATCCAAGACAGTGCCTGACAAATCAAGGTGTATATCACATTAAAATCAAGCTGTGATTGGTTGCTTAACTTTTCAATGCTACTCTCAGTCAATCACAATACAAAAGGACAAAGATTTAATTTTTTGTAACGAGTGATTCAGTGGATGATTACTTTTCATCTGATTAATAATTCCAGTAATATTTTAAAGCCAATTGTGATGAAATTGAACATTTCGATGTATAGTGTTGGCAGAAAATTTGGTTTGATTTACACTGTCCCTAACAGGCAAACATGACTTTGATCAAATTTCACTGTGGTAAGACAGTAACTGTTCAGTATACAGTAATGGTTATCTTCAGATAATATTTGTTCCAATGTGATTCCTTGAGGAAGTAAAGCACAGAGGGTACTGTAACGAAGCTTTAACCTGTTGTCCAGTTGTGAAACAATTTACCCTCTGGCTGCTACCACAGCTGACATTGGCCATGACGGCAGGCAGCACCAATAACTTGTTGGTAAATGACTTGGTAAATCTGCAGAACATCCTACCAGAAGCTGCAGCTCAGTAGAAGCAATATGAAATTATTCTGGACAAGCTTAGAAAGAACAAGGGGGGGGGGGAGCCTGACCAAGTCATTACATTCTGCTTGGAGTAGTGGAACTGGCGGTTCACTACTGGACGACAACATTATGTGGTTAATATAGATTCCCACTCCCTGCTGTTGCTTCATCTGCTATGCATTTCTTTGTTTTAACTTTGCAACACTGGAGCAGGTACAGATACACTCAGGAGCCGGTGCATGCCCAGTACTTGCCAACAGTGCGTAACGGAGACGTAACCAATCGCCCAAGTGACTAATGAGCCGACCAGTGGCGAGGAGAATAAAATTAAAAGTATTGCTTTATACCATAACTGTTTTTGACGTAATCTGGTAATTTTTTCTAGTCTGTTATATAGCAGGAAAGAAGAATGTGTTTTCTCTTGACCACAGACATCAACGTTCATAAAACAATATTCACTGTTGACAACCAACAAAAAAGGAATTCAAGAATATACATATATAAATATGTACATAAATAAATGAATGTATATAAAATTCTATGGATGTTATAAGATAATGATAAATGATGTACTGTTCTACTCAAGTGGTGACAACGGACATGACCAGAGACACATGTTGGGGCCACCAACTTGGTGGCATGATTTGAGTCATAAATTATGACCTACTGGCCTTCCTCTTCAGGGAAGGAAAGGGATGGTAGGGACGAGCCTCACAGTCCAAGCGCCGGGTTTTTTTCACTCTCCCTTCTGTAGAACTTGAGTGAGTGATTGATTGAAGGGAGGTAATTGTCGCCAAAAATGTCCTATTAAAGCTACAACATTAAAGACTGCCAAATAAATATTGGTTCCTTTACACTCACAGTTCTCCGCAACCCATCAGAAGTATGTCATTATAGTCCATATTATGTATTCTGCCACCAACCACCCTTTGAGTTACAGCTATAAAAACATTAATATCTAGGATCTTGTCGTTATCACCATGATCAATGTGATAAATATTAGTGGACTGTCGAGACTGTTGTCCTCCTACCAAGTATTTCTTAGTATCCATCCACACCCAGTATTGATTTATAGCTCGAGCTTTGAGTTACAGTATATATAAATGATACCCTTCTAGCCCCTCCTTATGTCAATCTCTCTCACTCCCCCATTCTGTTTGTCAGTCAGTCTTTCTCTCTCCCTCCTGTCAGCTTTTCTCCTCTTATCTATTAGTCTCTATCTTTTCCTTTACATTCTGTCAGCATTTTCCTTTCTTCTCTCTATCTATCGGTCTTCCTTCCTTCTGCCAACCACTGTTTTATCTCCTCAGTATTCAAAATGTCTTAAATAAACGTTGAACTGAGTCACTGTGTTCTAGATAGATACTCATAGATAGGTAGGTAGAGATATTGGAAGATCATTGATTTAGTATTTTCTAGTTTCATTAAAATAATAATTAATTACCTAAAACTGTGTACAATAGCGTTATGAGGTTGAATATTTGGCTCCAAAAGCAAAGGCATAATATATTTAACACACAAGAAAACATGTCAAGTAGTGGAAGAGATGTGCTTTTGTATGTATAGGATAATGAGCTCAGAGGGAGGGTGCATCATTAACTTTGGTTCGGTCTGTGAATCAGTGACATAGTAGAGTACATCCTGCACTTATTGGGTTTTTTATTATTGAATTAAGCATACAGTATTCTGGAGATACAATAGTATTCATTAAGTTGTCATACAAGTTCATAGTAGTTAAGCAATATACATTATGTACAGTAGTCAGTTTTGGTATATAAATAATGGTAAACACTAGTTCACAGTCCAGTGTTACTCAGCACAATGCTGTATAACATTACAGCTGTAGTAAACAAGTAACTACAGTAGATCTATAAGTGAGAAACAAGAAGCTTGGGCAAAATAATTCAGGTAACTGGAGGTGTAGGAATGTACCTGCACTGTTGACTGAAGGTTAAGAACAAACACAACATGACATTAAAACCACCTTCTGTAATGTTGCCTGCTGATAGTTCATAAAATAAAATATTTTTCATTTCAATCTTTGCACTATTCTCGTTTTCACTTTCTCCTTTTATTCATCTACTTCTCCTTCTTTAATTTGTTCATCATAAAGTGTTTATATTTTTCTACTTCTGTTCTTGTTATTCTTTCAAGTGTGGAGCAGCAATGGCTAGTCTGTACCTCAGAGTCATATACTATACCTGTATTGTATTGCAGCCAAACCACACTCTCAGTATTCATTGACCAAAAAACAATACAATCATTATTATATCACTATGAACAGTAATAGCAGACTCCCCAAATGCAAGGAAACTACTTAAATGTTTGTGATCCATCCATCAATGCAAATAGGTACATGTATTGTTATGTATTTTAATGAAACTCATCCCTTCATCTGTTACCATTCAATCTCCTGTCTTCTAAATTTCCAATAAAACTTGAGGAAGGCTTTGTCAACACCCACCAGACAACACCATTTACCAGTACCCCATGATGTTTTTGCGTGAAAGATACTTATGAAATGTCATCACTTATTGACCACTGACAATGTGAAGCACTTGTTGGTCACCTGGTGTCCTGACAGTCCTGGTCCCATTGACTAAGGTCCATGTTCACAGATACATACCTAAGTACATAAAATTTTCACCATTAACCAAGTATAAAAGAGCGCCATTACTACTTACAGGACAAGTCTAGTGCAATATTTACTTTACTCACTCTGCCGTCTTTGTGCTCTACATGTATCTTCCATGAATCAGTTACGTGGTTTTCGGAATAACCGGCGAGAGAGAAGCTTAACGTATGAACCTTTTAGGATATTAACTCAGAATACGAGGTGAAGTATGTTCAGTATTGAGGGACAGTGTGCATGAGTGTTCTCCATCAAAGGCAGCGTCACACAAGTTTCATAAGCTATATCTACCAGCCTACCTAATATTGCAGCAATGACACTATAAATATTCGTTATTGTTATTTTTCCATCATATTGGAGACGATCTGATAGCCACTATTAAGTTGGTCCATCAATTCTAGATTCTTTGTTGATGTATTGGTCTTACTCCACTGAGTGCTAACACGTCTACATTTTCAGCTACGTATTTACACGTTTGCCGTGTAATATTTTACCTGTTCTTCGTCTACCTTTTGCGGTTAATAAGTTTTTCGTGTAATAATATTTTTCCCCTGATTCACTAATTCTCAGTATTTTATTATTGGTTTCTTCACTAATGATTACTAACTATTCCCAACTAAGTTAGTGCTCTCAACCTGCATAAATTGTATTCTGTATTCGTCACAAATTCCGTGTTGGTCCAAATCTCTTTGAGGTGACCCGCCAGTGCCACACCTCACTCTGAAGAATAACGAGAACAGGAAATAGAGAAATATTGAATTATGGTGTTCAAATTGAAGAAGGAGCATTAGATAAATGAAAGGAGAAAGTGAAAATGAGAAGAGGGCAAAGATTAAAGTGAAAATTATTCTATGATATGAACTGTCAGCATTTACCATTATTGAAGATCACTAATTTAAATTAAATCACAAAAATAACAAAATATAGCACCAAAATTATACTGATTATTTTTTAATGTGTTTGTCACCATTTGGGCATCATTAATAAAGAAATTCTGAGAAACTAACTTCACTAGTAAGTTGATAAGTAGCGAATATGATAAAAAAAAACACAATTATAGTAAAGAATCTTTAACAGAGATATTAAACCTAAATTATAAAAAAAAATATATATAAAAAAATCATAAAAAAAAATAAAAAAAAATTATAAAAAGAAATTAAAGAAAAAAAAATTATAAAAAAAAAAATGACAAAAATTGTAAGTCTAAAGCCTTAAAGGATTTTTGGCCAAAATACGTTTTCTCTCTGAACTAAAATTTAATGTGCCTAACTATTTAAGTACATCCAGAATAATACACAAGCACCAAGAAATGACCTCGAAAACCCATAAGTGGCGAGTAATTAGCATTGCAAAAGTAATTAAAATATTCTAAAAATCATTTGAACATTTTCTAAAAGCCATTTGAACAAGTTATAATCAAGATATCAAATTTTGGTTAACAGATCCTTAAGCAGCACATTCAGGAGTACCTATACTGAAATTTTGAACAAAATCCATTTTTTGGCCGAAAATGACAAAAATTGTAAGTCTAAAGCCTTAAAGGATTTTTGGCCAAAAATACGTTTTCTCTCTGAACTAAAATTTAATGTGCCTAACTATTTAAGTACATCCAGAATAATACACAAGCACCAAGAAATGACCTCGAAAACCCATAAGTGGCGAGTAATTAGCATTGCAAAAGTAATTAAAATATTCTAAAAAACATTTGAACATTTTCTAAAAGCCATTTGAACAAGTTATAATCAAGATATCAAATTTTGGTTAACAGATCCTTAAGCAGCACATTCAGGAGTACCTATACTGAAATTTTGAACAAAATCCATTTTTTGCCGAAATGACGAAAATTGTAAGTCTTATGCCTTAAAGGATTTTTTGGCCTATATGTGATTAATGGCAGCAGGGGGCGAAAAAATGGCAACAACGTCAGGCGATTAACGGCAGCAGAGGACGAAAAAAATGGGCAAATAATTGCCTTATATGTGACACGGCAGAGTGGCGAAAACAAAAAATGGCAATTATTGCCTTATATGTGATTAATGGCAGAAGAGGGACGAAAACAAAAAATGGCAACAATTGCCTTATATGTGATTAATGGCAGCAGTGGGGCGAAAACAAAAAATGGCAACAATTGCCTTCTATGGGAATAATGGCAGCAGAGGGGCGAAAACAAAAAATGGCAACAATTGCCTTATATATGATTAATGGCAGCAGAGCGGCGAAAACAAAAAATGGCAACAATTGCCTTATAAGTGATTAATGGCAGCAGAGGGGCGACAATAAAAAATGGCAGCAATTGCCTTATATGTGATTAATGGCAGCAGAGGGGCCAAAACAAAAAATGGCAACAATTGCCTTATATGTGATTAATGGCAGCAGAGGGGCGAAAACAAAAAATGGCAACAATTGCCTTATATGTTATTAATGGCAGCAGAGGGGCGATAATAAAAAATGGCAACAATTGCCTTATATGTGATTAATGGCAGGATAGGGGCGACAATAAAAAATGGCAACAATTGCCTTATAAGTGATTAATGGCATCAGAGGGGCGACAATAAAAAATGGCAGCAATTGCCTTATATGTGATTAAACACAGGTCACTAACACTTCAAAGTCATCAACACAGGTCACTAACACTTCAAAGTCATCAACACAGGTCACTAACACTTCAAAGTCATCAACACAGGTCACTAACACTTCAAAGTCATCAACACAGGTCACTAACACTTCAAAGTCATCATAAACATCGACAAAGTCATTATCAACACAGTTCATTAACACTTACTAGTCATCATCTAAACAGGGTCATCAAGACTTGGTCATTATTACCGCGAAGTCATCAACACTTAGTTATCATCACTTCGACGTCATCATTACCTCGAAGTCATCATCACTTTGACGTACTCGCCACCTCGAAGTCATCACCACCACAGGTCATCACTCAGGACGCTGCAGGTGAGCTATCATGAGGTTATAACGAGCCACGGTCTTACCATCCTCTGCCTGGGTCTTCAGTTTAGCCAGCTCAGAGAGGCACTCCATCAGGAAGGTGTCTTGCTGCTGACGAGGGATGCGTTTGAGGAAAGGATTCACAGCCTTGATAGCATCTGGGGGAATGTTGGAGAAGAGCAATTTAATATCAAAGGTGCTTTCATCTATATTTTCATGGCCTCTTTGCACTTAATTAAAGACTGAAGAAAGAGAGAAGACAATTGTTTAAGTTTATAGTGACGTTTTCTTGAAGTTTGTTTCTCTCTCCTTTATATATATCCACAAACTTGAAAAATAAATGTTTCCCCTAAATATAGAAGAAAAAAAATATCGTTTTCTTTAGTACTTGATTAAGCTTGGACTGACTTGTAATTGCTTCACTATTCATGTAGGAAAGAAGTCCCAGTAAAAATAGGAAAAGGAATCACAGGAAACTTAGGCTCTAAAAACCCATACATAGACAATAAGAAACAAACTACCACTCACTCCTCAGGTAGTTGATGTTCTCGAAGACAAACTCGAACTGAGGAGCTTCGCAGGAGACGATCTCGAAGCCGACGTCCTCAGCAGCGTCCATCATAGCCTGGGCAGGATCAGTCTTGTGTTGGTAGACCGAGATAAAGCTGGTGACGTCCTGTTAAGAATATCCAAAGACAGTTTCCTTGACTCGTTTGATGAGTGATTGCTAACACATAGTTTATTTCACCTTAAGATTTGCCATTCTCATTCTAAAGATAACGTAACCATTCCAACGCTAACTTAATCTAACCTAACCACCCTAACGCTAATTTAAGAACCTAACCTAGGAGAGGGATGAATAGAAAGTGGGTGATTGAAGAAGAACAGGAGGAGGAGAAGAATAAGTAAGAGCAAGATGAGTAGGTATGGAATTTCGAGGAGGAGACTGAGAAAAAATAGGAGGAAGATGTATTGGATTTCGAAGAGGAGTAGAAGACGGAAGAACAGATCAAAGAGGCCCTATCGTACCATACCTGCATGTAAGGTTGCCACTGGGTCTTCTCGCTCATATTCTGATAGACGGTAAACAGAGGGTTACGGGCGAGGAACACCAACAGCGCCTCCCCTCCTGGCTGCAGAAGCTGGAAGATATTGCCTAAACACGACTCCTGTTCCTTCACCCAGTGTAAACAGTAGAAGGAAAACACCTGTAGGGGTAATAGTGATTGTGAGTTGTGGTGGTTGTAGGTAGGGTGTGCTAATGGTGGTTGTGGGTAGTGGTAGGGTGTGCTAATGGTGGTTGTGGGTAGTGGTATGATGTGCTAATGGTGGTTGTGGGTAGTGGTAGGGTGTGCTAATGGTGGTTGTGGGTAGTGGTATGATGTGCTAATGGTGGTTGTGGGTAGTGGTATGATGTGCTAATGGTGGTTGTGGGTAGTGGTAGGGTGTGCTAATGGTGGTTGTGGGTAGTGGTATGATGTGCTAATGGTGGTTGTGGGTAGTGGTAAGGTGTGGTAATGGTGGTTGTGGGTAGTGGTAGGGTGTGCTAATGGTGGTTGTGGGTAGTGGTATGATGTGCTAATGGTGGTTGTGGGTAGTGGTATGATGTGCTAATGGTGGTTGTGGGTAGTGGTATGATGTGCTAATGGTGGTTGTGGGTAGTGGTATGATGTGCTAATGGTGGTTGTGGGTAGTGGTATGATGTGCTAATGGTGGTTGTGGGTAGTGGTATGATGTGCTAATGGTGGTTGTGGGTAGTGGTAAGGTGTGGTAATGGTGGCTGTCAGTGGTTGTGGGCAGTGGTAGGGTGTAGTAATGGTGGTTGTGGGTAGTGGTATGATGTGCTAATGGTGGTTGTGGGTAGTGGTAAGGTGTGGTAATGGTGGCTGTCAGTGGTTGTGGGCAGTGGTAGGGTGTAGTAATGGTGGTTGTATATGGTGGTAGGGTATGTAATGGTTAGGGAAAGGGTTTTACAATGGTCACACAAACCTTGGTAAAGCCATCTGGAAATATCTGACGGGGCTGAACTCCTCTCTCTATATCCAGGTGCTGGAAGGAGAGGGAGTTGTGTTGAAAGGTCTTAGAGGCGAAGTTCACCATCTCTGTCGACACGTCTACCCCAACAACCTGTTCGACTCTGGGCAGCAGTGGCATCAGTAAGTTCCGTGTCACGTCTCCTACGGAATTGAAGGTCAAAGGGTCACGGGAGGTCGAGTAAAAGTCACAAGAGGTCAAAGTTATGGGTCACAGCAAGAACTTATCTCACCTGAGCCACAACCCACGTCGAGTACAGCTTCACCCTCCTCCTGCCATACCATCTGCGGCAGGTACTCCGTCAGCACCACCAGGGCGTCTCGGCGCTGAAGGGCATTGGCTGACACATACAACTGGGCATCCTCCATGATCCTGTTGGGTACACATAACGAAGTTGACCCCAGATATCAAAGGTCACTGCGTTCATGTTAGGTCATCCAGATAAGCTACACTTGACTCGTAATTATGCCACTAAATAGCTCAGCAAGAAGTAAAGAGCTCGTAAAGTGATCCAATTAACTTACCTTTACTTAACACTCGGGCACACAGCCGTAAAGAATAACAACAAGTCCTTCTTAAAACGACAACTTTGGCGCTTGGTTAGAAAATCCTCCTAAAGGTCGGAAATCAAATCTGCTTCCGTGAAAATTACCAGTAAACAAGGAAAATTGGGTTGGGTGAGAGTTCTAATGAATGGCGAGGGTGTAGAGGGGATAAATAATAAAGAAATTGTGCCAGCAAACGAACAAGTCAGTCGCTGGTCTTGTGTCTAGGGGAAAAAAGAGGCGAGTAGGAAGGAGACACCGGTAGACGATGTTCCTGTGAGTGTGACGGAGGATCTTCTGATTAACTCTGGCGACGACACGGGGTTTATATACCATAGGCTAGACAGCAGCAGCGCCTTCTAAAAGGGCGAGAGGTTGACAAAATGGCCCCTGGCCCCCTTGTAACAATAATTTGGGAATAACGAGGACAAAATTAATCACACTTAAACACGACATCATCTGGTAGGAATAAATCAACACAAGAAAAATTTAGGAAACTAGTGCTATCTATATACAGGTAAACAACATGGCGCCACCGAGTATAAATTTGGCGTAACTCTCCATGCATAAGGAACTATGAACAGGAGAGGCCTAACACGCCCTCTACTGTCACAACGTTTCCTTTTGTCTTTGGAGGTTCTCGATATACACACCATAACAAAGAGAGGCGAGTAAAATAGCACACACTACCCCTGATTCATACTTCTGGGGTCGGCGGGGATCTCTCTTCAGATAATCGATTTGGTAAGAATTATTTCGCGAAATTAGTATTTAAAACAATTCCCTTCCCTCCTAAATTAATTGATTGCGGTAAATAACAATAAATGCATTCAGAAAAGTATATTTTATTTTTACTAACACAATTTAATCCGGTTTATTATATAGTTTCAATAACGTTAATCATTTTTTTTAAAACAGTTTCTTGAGTCCGTTGTGATGTTTACGGCATCAAAACATCACCTTCAGTGTACTACAACGACGCGTTCCTGTGATGTCCTCTCAACAGACGACCATAGATCTCTCCACAGAATCCCATTAGAAGGTTAATTTCATCGGTACAATTATTTAATATTGTAGTTATTAAATGTGTGTTTATGTATGTGTGTGTGTGTGTGTGTGTGTGTGTGTGTGTGTGTGTGTGTGTGTGTGTGTGTAGAAATTTACGGTCAACCATTCATTCAGTATCCTTGCTGTGGCATTGTCCAGATCAGTCAATAGAGAGAGATAAGAAGGGCGTCTCAGGGTCAAGTGTTTGACCTGACCTCCTGGGTAGAGGTCATTATGTGCCTGTAGCTATACTTGACCTGAGATGACCCCCCACTGTAGAGAAAGATGATTGGGTATTATTATTGTTATTTATCGGAGGGTGGTGATAGTAGTAGTAATAAAAGAAAGGATACAAGCTTATAGACGGGGCGTGGCATAGCGTAACGGGGGCGTGGCTTGAGATGACGGAGGAGGAGGGGCGGGGTGGAGATGGTCAGTGTGTGGTGAGTCTTCGATGCGCTCACACGGTGCTTCTCTCTCTCTCTCTCTCTTTCCTCTCGGGACGCGCTACCTAAGGATACCTGCCTGCGTTCATCCTACTCCTCCTCCTCGCCTTCCTGCTGCGGTGAGTGTCCTGTCTTATCTGTCTTGTTTTCTTCTACCTGTTTATCTCTCTGTCTGTTGTCTTCTATCTGGCTATCTCTGTCTCCTATCTGTCTATCTCTGTCTGTTGTTTCCTATCTGTCTATCTCTGTCGCCTATCTGTCTATCTATCTCTGTCTCTTGTCTCGTATCTCTCTATTTCTGTCTCTTTTCTATCTTACTCTTTCTTGCTGGGCCACACACCCACACCAGCTGGGCCACATACACCAACTGGGCCACACAAACACACACACCTCCTGGGCCACACAAACACACACACCTCCTGGGCCACACATACACCAACAAACACACACACCTCCTGGGCCACACATACACCAGCTGGGCCATTTATACACCAACTGGGCCACACAAACACACACACACCTCCTGGGCCACACAAACACCTCCTGGGCCACATACACCAACTGGGCACACAAACACACACACCTCCTGGGTACACACACCCACCAGCTGGGCCGCATCCTGCTGGGCCACAAACACACACACACACACCTCCTGGGCCACACACCCACACCAGCTGGGCCGCATACCAACTGGGCCACAAGTACACACTACACACACCTCCCAGGCCACACAAACACCTCCTGGGCCACATACCAACAGGACACACAAGCACACACACCTCTGGGCCACACAACACACACACACACCTCCCTGAGCCACTATGCAGCTGTACATACCAACAGGCCCCACCTGGCCACACACACCTCCTGTACACCCCACACCATGGGCCCTTTATACACACCAGCCTGAGCCCACACAAACACACACACACCTCTGAGCCACACAAACACACACACACCTCCTGGGCCCCACACACACAAGCACACACACCTCCTATGGGCCACATATACTTTTCCAACTGGGCCACACAAACACACACACCTCCTGGGCCACTGGAAGCACCTCCCCTGGGCCACATACACCAACTGGGCCACACACAAGCACACACACCCATCCTGGACACACACCCCACACCAGCTAGCAAGGCCACATACACCAACTGGGCCACAACACACACCTCCTGGGCCACACAAACACCTCCTGGGCCACATACTACACCAACCAGGCCACACAAACACACACACACACCTCCTGGGCCACACAAACACACACACCTCCTGGGCCACATATACACCAGCTGGGCCACATACACCAACTGGGCCACACACACACACCAAATTGGCCAAACATTCACTAGGTGGGCCACACACACACACACCTCCTGGGCCACACATACACTACCTGAGCCACACACACACACACCAACTTGGCCACACATACACCAGCTGGACCACAAACAAACCAGGTGCGCCACACACAAACCAGGTGGGCCATGTAAACACGCTATATGGACCACACATAAACCACCTGGGCCACACATACACCACCTGGACCACACATAAACCAGGTGAGTCATGCAAACACACACACACACACACACAATATGGGCCACATATACACCATCTGGGCCACATATACACCAGGTAGGCCATAATAATGACCTGGTGTGGACTAACTGACTCACTCTGCGGGTCATGTTATATATTTGTATTGTTGACTCAGAAAACAACCTGATTTGTGGCCCTGACGTGACTGTCTCTCTCTCTCTCACTCTGTTTCTGTCTGTTTCTGTCTCTCCATGATTCTGTTTCTGTCTGTTTCTGTCTTTTTGTCTCTCTCTCTCTATGACTCTGTGTCTGTCTGTCTGTCTGTGTTATAGGAAGACGCAACATCTGATCCGTGTGTTGTGATTATTAGGGAGGGAGGAGGGAGGGTGAAAGATGGAGTGGGGGGAGGAGAAAGGCAAGTGAGGGATGAAGAGAGAAAGAGAACTGATGAAGGAAAGAGATAGAGAAAGAAGGATGGGTGTAGAGATAATGAGGGAGGGAGAGACGAAGGAGGAAGAGAAATGTTAAGGAAGAAGCTAAGAGGAAGAAAAATGCGAGAAGGGCGGAGGGGAGAGGGAGAGAATGAAGTAGGGACTGAAGTAGGGGAGAGAAGAGAGAGGAGTGGAGGGAGGGAAGAAGATAGGGAGAGAAAGAGAGATAGATGGAGATAAGGAGGGAGGTGGTCTATGTGCACAGGAGACGTTTACAGTGTGTCTATGTGCACAGGAGACGTTTACAGTGTGTCTATGTGCACAGGAGACGTTTACAGTGTGTCTATGTGCACAGGAGAAGTTCACAATGTGTCAGGAGTGTCAGACAAAGACAGAGGAGTGTCAGCTGATCGATATTGGTGACGACTGACGCGGTGAATCAGACAAGAAAATAAACCAAAGCTCGTGTTTACATAAAGCGGAATTATATTAGTTGTTTTTCTTTATATGTAAATAGATAATTACGGCATTCTTCTGAGGAACACGAAGGATATTACCTCTTGCTCTCTATTTCTCTCACTTTCTTTAACTTTCTCTCACTTTCTCTCTAAAAATACGAAAGGATTTTTTTTTTTTTTACCTACGAATCACACACTGAGACAACCCCAGCGCCCCCTGAGAGAGTGGCTGGCAGGATCCCACGTACCAAATCCCTGACGGGGTGGATAACAGAGCCTCTCGTAAGTTGGCATTAGTGTAACATTGGATCATGATAGTGGACCGCTTGCGTGAAGATGACCTCAGTAGACGCCGAGATATAATTTCATTTTTTTTTGTCTATATCAATGTAGGGTCTGTGATAATTAATTAATATATGTTATAATTCATATAATTGGTTCTCGGGGTGTTAAATTTAGTGCGTATCAAGTGCGAGGTATTTAGTGATTATGGGTTAATTTGTGGTGTAATTGTCATCATAAGTTCTTTGTTTTCTTTGATGTGTGGAGTGACAGGTACGTACAAGTAGTCACAAGTACAAGTTTAAGTACATATACAAGTACAGTTACAGATACTATTGCAAATATACGGACAGTTATACAGTAGCTAGTACAGAATAGCTACTTCGTGTCAACTGCTTTAAAAAACATCCCAAATAGATAATTAACTTCCCAATCCTTGCTATTTTTTCCCACCCCCTTACGTTCTGCGACAGGAATAAGCTAGTTATCCCGGTTAATTATCATATCATAATCCATTTTCTAATTTGTGAGCTACCCCAAGGCATAAGATTAGCGCAGATTTAATTATGAATAAATGTCTATTGTATTTCTCACTCCCTAGAGTCGGAGTTATTTAATTTACCTCTTTACCTCGTTAGTCTAATTGCCTTTCGGTAGTTGAGTTAGAGAGTAATTAAAATTGCCTTTTGGGGGATAGAGAAAACGGCAACAGATTAATTCATTTAAGCGATAACTAAAGTATTTAGTTTTTTCTAAGTTATATGTCGCAAAGTTTACAAGAGATGGTTTAAAACAATATTAATAATAATAATAATAATATTAATAATAATAATAATAATAATAATAATAATAACAACAACAATAATAAAATCAATAACAACAATAATAATAACAATAACGACAATAATAATAACAATAACAACAACGACAATAATAATAACAATAATAACAATAACAACAACAATAATTTAGGTCTTCATTTACACCCCTTACGTTAGCAAAGGTCAAAAGACAATAAATTATCATAGATTTTTGTGAGAGGGAGAGAGAGGACAATTTGACCTGCACTCGTG